TCCTGTAACGCTCTTCACCAAAGTGCGTACAAATTTTGGCTCTTCCTGTAACACATTGCGCGTTTTCTGCAATGGGGGATGCTTCGTCATACAAACCCCAATATGTTTCGCTGCGCTAAACTGGCCGGCGCTCGTCAAAGCATACTGGTTTTTCCTTGATGCAGGTAGCTCGCTTACAAAACACTAGAACCACGACAAGATCACCTTGTTGTAGGCGAGTTTCTGTAGATTTGCGGCATATTTTTAAATTTCTGAGAGGATGTCTAGTAAAAAAGTTATGACCATTTTTCCGCGGAAAAAGTAAAACATTGCGGTAAACTGGTCGAGCACCTTAGACTACTTTAGGATTTGTTCACACCAGGTCGATGGCGCGCTTCGCTCGAGAATCTAATGGTAGATGCTCGGGATGAAAGACTGATCCGACGGTTCGACAACGACCTCCGTTGTCCGTAAGGGATGCCCACCACAATTTCACCCTCATCAGGATCGTCATGCATGACAAAGAATGCCGATCCATTGTCACGAGTCGTAAACGGGTCGAACCCTGCGGCGGAAGTACCGAACATGGCCACACGCGACGGCGGCGGAGGCATCGGCAAGTTCTCGGTCGATAATGCCTCCGCGAGACGATCGTAGTTCACCGAGTGGTGGTTCACCACGCTCCGGCCGAGCGCCAAACGACGGCCCTCTAAACGCATATCCGACAGCGAGCCCCGATCTGCACTATCAGCCCGCAGGAAGTACGACGCCGTGTTGAAGTCGCTCGTCGTACTGATCTCATTCGACAGCGCCTGCGCCAGCCTCTGGTCCAGCAGTGCCATACGCGTGGCGATGTTGGCCAAGGCAATGGACGGTTGGATGACCAGCACTCCCTGGGCCTTCATCTCCTTGCTGAACTTGCAGTCCGGGACAAGCGCGATCATACGCGGGTGTGAGGCACCGAGCAAAGACTTGAGCAGTTGCACGTTCTCGCGTGTGCGGTTGGCGTCGCCTGTGAAGATGAGGACGTCGGCCGACGACATGGCCTGCGCGTTGTCACGGTCCTTGAGGGTGTTCTTGTACGAGATGAGCTCGCCCTTGGCGGTACGCGAGAGAATGGTCTCGTTCATCTTCTTCCACTTGCTGGTGCGCTCCTCGTCCAGCAGAGGCACGTTGACTTGCGCTCCGTAGAGCGACAAGTTGAGCGCGATCTCAAAGGCAGCTTCGTCGTCACCGATCACAACTGCGTTTTTCACCTTGTAGAATGGCAACGGCGCGTGGGGGTCTGCACCTTCATGCAGTGTAAACCGGCTGGCTGTGCTGACTCTGACAGAGGCGCGACTGCGACGATCTTTGTGGTCACCTTCGTCCCCATCGTTGTCAGCATCCAAATCCTTCATATCTGCGCTCGCTTTCTCGTCGTGGTCTTCTGCTGCCCGGTCTGCGAGTGTTTCACCAGCTCGGCTCAAACCCATCGCACACAGCACGGGGCCAACGATCTGGTTCACCACCACAGCAGCCACGATAGTGGCCGCAAACTCAGCAGCCCACGGTTCACTGCTCATCGCCTTCACCTCGTTGGCCAAACCCAGCGCCACACCAGCCTGCGGCGTCATCGTCAACCACAAGTTGTTGTACTGCCGGGGCGTGAGCTTCAACAGGAAGCGTCCACCGAAGTAGCATGCGATGAAGATCGCCACGTATCGAAGCAAGACGTACACCGTCATGAGCGGAATGGCCGCCACCACTTGGTCCAGCTTCAGAGCCGCGCCCGTCATGACGAAGAACGGCAGGAACAAGTAGGGAGCGGCGGTGTCGAGGATCACGTGCATGTCGTGACGGATGGCAGTTTGGTGTCCGGCGATGCACGAAGCGATCATGAGCACGAGCAGCGGCTCAAACTTAATCTCCCACGAGAGACCGTAGGCTGCAGCGGTTGCCTTGGCAACCGTAGAGGTAGAGATGTAGAACACATACCCCATAGTCAACCAGATCAAACCCTTCAAGCATAGCGTCGCATACGGCGTCAGCAATGAGGAAGACTCGGTGCTTGCTTTGCCCTGCTCGACATCCTCGTCGAAAGCGTTGTGTGGGTGCGGCTGGCTATCCACGTCGATGATTGAGGGCTTCGAGTCCGTCTTCTGGTTGTAGTAGAGCGGGTTGTTGGGCGCGTGGCCGTCGCAGTACTCGGCATGTTCGCCGTGGTGAGTCTCACCGCCCGGAATCATGAAGATCAAGTAGGTAAAGCCCGCTAGGATCACACCGAGAAGCACGTTCGACATTACGATGCCCAGTGTGAACATGAGGTTGCTCACTGACACATTCAACTCGGCGCAGTAGATGGAGCACACGATACGAGAGACCGAAAACGACACCAGCACCACGAACTCCGCCGTCATCGTCGCGCCCAGCATCAGACTCGTGAACGGACCCACGCTGTTGAGCTCGATCTTGATGGCCATCACAGTCGCAGGCGAGCCCAGCACCGAGATGGACCCGAACATGAGCGCGATACCCAACTGGCATAGGAATCCCATGTCGTCGTAGAAGAAGGCGCTCTCCGTCAGCAAAATCGCAGCGGTCAGGATGATCATGGCCGTCACGTAGAGAGCACCCAACAGAATCATGATTGACTTGAGCTGCGGTCGCAATTCCGGAAGGTAAATTTCTTGGCCAGCCTGGAACGAGATGAACGACAGCGCCAGAGCGCTCACGTAGCTCGACAACATATTCACGAGGCCATCCGTCAGCAGGTTGGTCACGAACGGTCCGGCGATGATGCCGATGACCAGGTAGCCCGTGATGAGAGGCAGCTTGAAAAACTTGGGGAAGAAGAGTCCGAGCGGGTGGGCCGCCACCAGGACGATGACGAACGCGAGACCATAGCGGAGGGTGTCGATGGTGTTGTTCCACGAGTTGAAGGGCACGGTTTTGTCCTCGTCCCCGGTGGCACCGCTTAATCGACGCATAGTGACGTCGTGATCATGAGTAAGACCCGTGACACCTTCCCGCACTTGTGTATCGGCGGAGACCACTGCGAAAGTTGAAGCGGCCGCGATAAGCACGAGTGCGAGCGCGCATGGGCGCGAGACTGCACGTCGGACTGATGCACACTCTGTCGGCATCAGGCCCGCTTTTCTAAGGTTCCGTTCGTTGAGCGTGATCAAATGCCGTGCCCGAAGGTGAAAGGCGGAATGAAGTTGCCACGATGTCGTGGCTTGACCGATGTCTCGCTTTTCTGATCGTCTATCCCCCTCCACAACCCCTCAACTGGACAGGACACAGTCCATGCATGGAGTCCATGTGGCGCCACCACCCGGGCGCTTCCTCGTGGTTCGTGCCAGTTCAGCAGGATAACCCTCCGAGAAAAGCTCACTGCCGACGCCACCATACTACACGTACGTACGCGAATACTAAACTAAACCGCAAACTTCCTCATCTGTCGAGTTTACCTCTGGCCCTACAAACGATCACTCCGACCTTTTAGGTAGATTAAAACAGCAAAAGGATTAAGCTTGCCACACATGGAAGCGAGTTTAAGGGCTGTAACGTAGCGTACCTATTCTGCAGATACATGTACGGTTGCCGCAAGAGCGGTCGTGGCGTTGTCGCTGTCAATGGCGCAAGTTGAAGGGCCTACATGAACGCGTTTCCGCCGACGCGCTTTCCTCGGCCTCCTCCACCAATTCGCACGCGACTCGATCGCAGCTGACGCGGTGCTCCATGGAAACTCACTCTGAAGCTCCCACGAGACGCATACGGCCCGTGGTGGTCGCTCAGAACGATCTCCTCCGCGTTGTCGTGGTCGTCGAGCATGACGAAGAACTCGGATCCGCTCCGTTCGCGCTGGAACGGGTCGAAGCCGGCAGCAGATGTACCGAACATGGCCACGCGAGAGGGTGGCGGAGGCAACGGCAAGTTCGCAGTCGCCAATGCCTCGGCGAGGCGGTCGTAGTTCACCGAGTGGTGGTTCACCACGCTCCGACCAAGCGCCAAGCGACGGCCCGCCAAATGCATCTCCGACACCGATTCACGGTGGCCACTATCGGCCCGCAAGAAGTACGAGGCCGTGCTGAAGTCGCTCGTCGTACTGGTCTCGTTCGAAAGAGCCTGAGCCAGCTTCTGGTCCAGCAGTGCCATGCGCGTTGCTATGTTGGCCAAGGCGATGGATGGCTGGATCACGAGCACTCCCTGCTCCTTCATCTCCTTGCTGAACTTGCAGTCCGGCACGAAGGCAATCATACGCGGGTGCGACGAGCCCATCAACGACTTCAACATGCGAATGTTCTCACGCGTACGGTTGGCGTCGCCTGTGAAGATGAGGACGTCCGCCGACGACATGGCCTGCGCGTTGTCACGGTCCTTGAGGGTGTTCTTGTACGAGATGAGCTCGCCCTTGGCGGTACGCGAGAGAATGGTCTCGTTCATCTTCTTCCACTTGCTGGTGCGCTCCTCGTCCAGCAGAGGCACGTTGACTTGCGCTCCGTAGAGCGACAAGTTGAGCGCGATCTCAAAGGCAGCTTCGTCGTCACCGATCACAACTGCGTTTTGCACCTTGTAAAAATGCTGCAGCACTTGCGGGTCGTCGTTGCCATAGAACATGGTAGGCGTTGAGAATCGTCGACTCACTTCAAACTGACTCACACTGTTTGAGCCGCCACCGTCGTGATTGTCATTGCTCAGGGCATCCTTTTCCTTTTCGTCACTAGGCGCGTCTCCTTCTGCAAGTCGGTCTTGCAAGGTTTCTCCCGCTCGGCTCAAACCCATCGCACACAGCACGGGGCCAACGATCTGGTTCACTACCACAGCAGCCACGATCGTCGCCGCGAACTCGGCAGCCCAAGTATCACTGCTCATCGCCTTCACCTCGTTGGCCAAACCCAAAGCCACACCAGCCTGCGGTGTCATCGTCAACCACAAGTTGTTGTACTGCCGGGGCGTGAGCTTCAACAGGAAGCGACCTCCGAAGTAGCATGCGATGAAGATCGCCACGTATCGAAGCAAGACGTACACCGTCATGAGCGGAATGGCCGCCACCACTTGGTCCAGCTTCAGAGCCGCGCCCGTCATGACGAAGAACGGCAGGAACATGTAGGGAGCGGCGGTGTCGAGGATCACGTGCATGTCGTGACGGATGGCAGTTTGGTGTCCGGCGATACACGAAGCGACCATGAGCACGAGCAGCGGCTCAAACTTGATCTCCCACGAGAGACCGTAGGCTGCAGCGGTTGCCTTGGCAACCGTAGAGGTAGAGATGTAGAACACATACCCCATTGTCAGCCAAATGAAGCCCTTCAGCGCCAGAGAAGCGTTGGGCGACAGCACCGAATCGTGTTGCAACTCGTCCGCAGTGCACTCGTCCGCGCCGTTGTGAGGGTGCGGCGTCATATCCGGGTTTGAAGCCGAAAGTTTGTCGCCCGTCTTCTGGTCGTAGTAGGTTGATCCGGGTCTTGCGTCGCCGTGGTCAGCTCCGTGATGCTCATCGTGGTGGTGGTGCTCTCCTCCCGGAATTTTGAAAATTAGGATCGTCACGCCGGCCAGGATAACGCCCACCAGCACGTTGGCTCCGACGATACTCATCGTGTACATGAGGTTCAGCATCGACACGTCCAGCTTGGCGCAGTAGATGGAGCACACGATACGCGAGATCGAGAACGACACTAGCACGACGAACTCCGCCGTCATTGTAGCGCCCAGCATCAAGCTTGTAAAGGGGCCAACGCTGTCTAGTTCAATTTTGATAGCCATCACGGTCGCAGGCGAGCCTAGCACCGAGATGGACCCGAACATGAGCGCAATACCCAACTGACAGCTCAGTGCTAGGTCGTCGTAGAAGAAGGCGCTTTCCACCAGCAGCGTCACGGACGTCAGGATGATCATTGCCGTCACGTAAAGAGCACCCAACAGAATCATGATAGCCTTGAGCTGCGGTCGCAATTCCGGAAGGTAAATTTCTTGGCCAGCCTGGAACGAGATGAACGACAGCGCCAGAGCGCTCACGTAGCTCGACAACATATTCACGAGGCCATCCGTCAGCAGGTTGGTCACGAACGGTCCGGCGATGATGCCGATGACCAGGTAGCCCGTGATGAGAGGCAGCTTAAAAAACTTGGGGAAGAAGAGTCCGAGCGGGTGCGCCGCCACCAGGACGATGACGAAGGCGAGGCTGTAGCGGAGGGTGTCGATGGTGTTGTTCCACGAGTTGAAGGGCACGGTTTTGTCCTCGTCCCCGGTGGCACCGCTTAATCGACGGATAGTGGCGTCAACTTGACCGTTAACAGCATCGTTGTCGCGCAGAGTTGGATGACCCGAGGCGACCTGGAACGAGCAAACCACAACGAGAAATAACACGAGTGGAAACGCGCTTGGGTGTAGCCCAACGACGCGGTTCTTCAAGGAACTCATGCTCGTCTCTGGCGTTGGAATTTGAACAATGCTGCGATCGAATCCGAGGTTGAAGCGAGTGTTTGGGATATCGATGGCAAATTGCAGAATGAACTCGCCGCAGCTGCTACATCACTCGATAAGCTGCAAAGTGACGGCGCGAGCGTTGGGAGGCGAAGCGATGGATCGTTCGCCTTAATTAATCACGGCAATGTCTCGAGTTTCCATCCTTCAAGGGGACGAAGCACCGTATAGCTGTTTTCCGCCGGCAGTTCCTCCAGGTTCTTATGTATTCGACGGCCCATTACAGATAGCACACCGAGATAAGCGGCGTTTCCGAGCCATAAGTTGGGTGGGCCGTATGCCGAGAAAATCTCTTGTGTGATAGTTAATGGCTGAGGACTTTACTAACTTTACCACATCACGGCTCGAAGCGTTGAACTCCCAACAATAACGCGAAGAGCAGATTAATTTCCAGACTAAATTTAGGTTTGACGAACAAATGCGTTATCGGCGATAACTTATCGAGCCACTGGGCCTAGAACCCGGGCTTGCGACCTGGGGTGCGTCTTCCCCGGCCTCCTCCAGCGCCACCGCGCTGTTGGACGCGACTGGCCCCGAATTGAATCGATGATCGCTGCAGACTCAGTCTCGAGTTTCCACGCGTAGAGTACGGTCCGTGCTGGGCATCCAGAATGAGCTCCTCACCTTCCTCCTCGTCGTGCATGACAAAGAACTCGGAGCCAGCTCGTTCCCGTTGGAAAGGGTCGAAGCCAGCAGCAGATGAAGTACCGAACATGGCCACACGCGACGGCGGAGGAGGCATCGGCAGGTTCTCCGAGTGCAGCGCGTCCGCGAGACGATCGTAGTCAACCGAGTGGTGGTTTACCACGTTGCGGCCAAGCGCCAAGCGACGGCCCTCCAGACGCATGTCCGACAACGAGCCACGCTCTCCACCGTCAGCGCGCAAGAAGTACGACGCCGTGTTGAAGTCGCTCGTCGTACTGATCTCGTTGGACAAGGCCTGCGCCAGCTTCTGATCCAGCAGAGCCATACGCGTTGCGATATTGGCCAGGGCTATCGACGGCTGGATAACCAGCACTCCCTGGGCCTTCATCTCCTTGCTGAACTTGCAGTCCGGGACAAGCGCGATCATACGCGGGTGTGAGGCACCGAGCAAAGACTTGAGCAGATGCACGTTCTCGCGGGTGCGGCTGGCGTCACCCGTGAAGATGAGGACGTCCGCCGACGACATGGCCTGCGCGTTGTCGCGGTCCTTGAGGGTATTCTTGTACGAGATGAGGTCGCCCTTAGCAGTGCGCGAGAGGATGGTCTCGTTCATCTTCTTCCACTTGCTGGTGCGCTCCTCATCCAGCAGAGGAACATTCACCTGGGCTCCGTAGAGCGACAGCTCCAGTGCGACCTCGAAGGCAACTTCATCATCACCAATGACGACAGCGTTCTGCACCTTGTAGAACGGCAGTAGCGACCGCGGATCTCCGTTGCCGAGCGTGACAGCCGGACTCGACGCCCGACGGCTAACCTCGAACTGGCTGATGCTGCTGAGACCGCCACCGTGGATGTTGCTGAAACGACTGCCCCGCACGCTCTTGTCCATGCTGTCCATGTCGTCCTTGGGGTTGTCCGACACCATCATACGGTCTGCCAGCGTTTCACCCGCTCGACTCAAGCCCATCGCACACAGCACAGGACCAACGATCTGGTTCACCACCACGGCGGCCACGATCGTCGCTGAGAACTCGGCGGCCCACGATTCATCGCTCATCGCCTTCACCTCGTTGGCCAACCCCAAGGCCACACCAGCCTGCGGCGTCATGGTCAGCCACAAGTTGTTGTACTGCATCGGGGTAAGCTTGAGCAGGAAGCGTCCACCGAAGTAGCAGGCGATGAAGATCGCCACGTAGCGCAGAACAACGTACAGACTCATCAAGGGGATGGCAGCCAGCACTTGGTCCAACTTCAGAGCAGCTCCGGTCATGACGAAGAACGGCAGGAACATGTACGGCGCCACCGTGTCGAGGATCACGTGCATGTCGTGGCGAATTTCAGTTTTGTGCCCGGCAATGCAGGACGCAATCATGAGCACAAGAAGCGGCTCAAGCTTGATCTCCCACGATAGACCGTAAGCTGCAGCGGTCGCCTCAGCGAGGAGAGAGGTCGAAATGTAGAACACGTAGCCCATCGACAGCCAGATGAAGCCCTTGAGAGACAACACGGCCTTGGGCGACAGCATGCCAGCAGGTTCGTGCTGCAGCTCGTCCACAGAGCACTCGTCCGCGCCGTTGTGAGGGTGCGGCGTCATATCCGGGTTCGTGGTGGAAATCTTGTCCCCAGTCTTCTGGTCGTAGTAGGTCGAGCCGGGTCTTGCCTCGCCGTGGTCGGCGCCATGGTGCTCGTCGTGGTGCTGCTCTCCTCCGGGTATCTTGAAAATCAGGATAATCACGCCGGCCAGGAAACCGCCGACCAGGATGTTGGCCCCCACAATGCTCATCGTGTACATCAAGTTCAGCATCGACACGTCCAGCTTGGCGCAGTAGATGGAGCACACGATACGCGAGATCGAGAACGACACCAGCACCACGAACTCCGCCGTCATCGTCGCGCCAAGCATCAGACTCGTGAACGGACCCACACTGTTGAGCTCGATCTTGATGGCCATCACGGTCGCAGGTGAGCCGAGTACCGAGATGGACCCGAACATGAGCGCGATACCCAACTGGCATAGGAATCCCATGTCATCGTAGAAGAAGGCGCTCTCCGCCACCAGAATTGCAGAGGTTAGGATGATCATAGCCGTCACGTAGAGAGCGCCCAGCAGAATCATGATGGACTTGAGTTGCGGTCGCAATTCCGGCAGGTAGATCTCCTGACCGGCCTGGAACGAGATGAACGATAGCGCCAGCGCACTCACGTAGCTCGACAACATGGTGACGAGCCCCTCTGACAAAAGATTCGAGACAAAAGGTCCGGCAATAATGCCAATCACCAGGTATCCCGTGATGAGCGGCAGCTTGAATAATTTAGGGAAAAAGAGTCCGAGCGGGTGGGCGGCCACGAGCACGACAACAAAGGCGAGAACATACTGGAGGGTGTCGATGGCACTGCTCCACGAGTTGAACGGGATGGTTTTGCTCTTGTCCTCGCCACCTCCGCTCAGTCGGCGGCTGTAGTCGACATCGTCGTCATCCGCGGCTTCCCGCAGAGCAAAGTGGCCTGAGGCTCCATGCAAGGAAGAGGCCACGACCAGCGAAAGCGCGGCCAAGAGCACCGTCGAGCGCCTTGTGCAGGCCTGGAACGGCATCTCCTTGAAGCTTTTTTTTTTCTTTTTCTTCGAGGAGAGCTTGGAGCTGCCGACGGTAAATCCTAGAATGAACGAACACTGTGGAGGTATCCGCAAGCGCACGTGCCTGGCCAAGCGATTGGCTTTGGGCTGGTGAGAAATATACCCGGATGGAGATGGAGACCATCTGGCCATCATGGACTGCATCCGAGGACGCAGTGCCGCGGGACGACGATCCGGCTCGTTGTGCTTTGGTCGCCAACTTGGCGATTCCAACTCGCAGAAGGGGCTCGGCTGCACCGGCGATGCAGGTCACCTGAGACATCGCTAGTGCAGCTCCGATTAAAAGTCGCTTAATCAAGGGTGGCTTGACAAGCGCGTTTATACTGTACCTAAATGGCAGCAGCACCAAGGAAATGGCAACTTCTCGCAGGAAACGCCTGGTTGCGGTGTGCCCACTTGGCTTCAGGGCCACACAGATGATCGCTCTCCAAATCCCCAAATCTTGGAATCTTCACGCTCCACTGGCCCTCCATTTCGTCTTTTCGCTAGAATTCGCCCGCAATCCGGTCCGGGAATTACGAATTGAAAAATACAGGCGTCCCCGGGCTAGTCCCGGCTGTATATTTTAATGTACCTCACACAGGAAGTACAAGCAGTTCTCAAGATTTGCGCGCTACTTCTGCAAACATATTGATTTAGATGAATGTACAGCGAGACCTACTGCGACAAGTGGCACGTTGCGGGAATACCTCCACCGTATTCTTGTGCTAAGCTTGTAGTAAGTCAGTACATACTCATCTATGTTCAGACCGCGTGAATCTTGTTGATTCGCAAACATCATAAGTACCACTGTGGCGAATAGGCCGGGGACGCCTGTAGGTACAGCTGCTAAAGTAAACAATGAGCGAACAACAACTACAGTATTGTATTATAATTACATGTACGACTTGTCCCAGTTGGTTTTGCTGCATTTTCTGGGGATTTCGAGCTGGATAGCCTGGTGTATGACACTGTAATGGAGACGGTCACAATGACCCGCTTTGCTGCACTTGGTGACACCAAGTTGGTGTCCAGTGCCCATTTAACAGCAGCAGAGCTTCGGGATCAATTCGTTATCTTGGTCGGCGACTTAGTTAGTGGCGCAGAGCACTGCTGAGATACGATATGCTACAAGATCTCACTGGTATCACAAGGAAGGAGCTACGTACGCCCGCGAGTACACCGCTATGTTGCCGGCGTCTGTTGCACAATAGGTTAGTGCTGGTCATACAGTGTAGCTACCTCATGTACTGTAGCTGGTCGCGTGTTGCATGGTTGTCTCGAAATATATGCTCGCGTTTGCGCCGAGTACGTGTACCCATCGAAACCCATCGGACCAAGCTCGCCTGTCACTTTGCAACGGGATCATCTTGCGTTCTCTCAAAGTTGCGCCATTTTCAGTAGGCTCGTGCATATCCTAGAGACTTATTAGCGTACGACCACCGTAGGCAGAGGTGCAGATGTGCGCGTCTCCGGGTGTAGATAGATTGCCGACTAAATCACAACATATTCAATTCAAAAGCGCCATTTACAGTACATGCGCCTGGGATATTGTACTGTAGCTGGTCGAGTACGGTACATACATGAGCTTCGGTTGCTGTCTTCATCAGTTGTTCGTCACCATAATCTGTTCATCGTTTCGTCACAATAATTGAATTGAGCAGTTTTAATTACAATCAATTGTTTTCAAATTAACCATTTTAGCTACAATTGATTCAAACATTTAAAATACATTTTGAACACTTCAATAATTGGATTGGTTCCAATTTTTGAATTGAAACAATGATTGTTGCTCGAAAGTTCGTGTGGCCAATGGGATCGCCCGACCTCTACCGCCCCCACTCGCTTCAGTCTCCAAGTTGAGTTGGGGAGCTCCTCGTCGTCGTCAGCCAGTCAGCCAAGCCAGCCCCGCTAAGAGCCATGAGGAGCGACGTGACCGCGGCGGAAGTGGCGTTGCTGCAGCGGCCGTTCGTGCGCGGCGAGAGCGACATCTTCGCGTACCTGACGGCGCTCATGAAGCAGCGCACGCTCATCTTCGACGGCGGCATGGGCACCATGATCCAGACGCACAAGTTCACGGAGGAGGACTTCCGCGGCGAGCGCTTCCAGGACTCACCGTGCCTCGTCAAGGGCAACAACGACCTGCTGTCCATCACGCAGCCGCAGGTCATCAAGGACATCCACAAGCAGTACATGCAGATCGGCCGAGCGCAGCTCATCGGCACCAACACCTTCTCGGGCACGACCATCGCCCAGGCCGACTACCAGATGGAGCACCTGGTCTACGAGCTCAACTACGAGTCCGCCAGGCTCGCGCGCGAGGCCGCGGACGAGGTCACGGCGCTGGACCCGCTGCGCCCGCGCTTCGTGGCCGGCTCCATCGGCCCCACGAACCGCACGCTGTCCATCTCCCCCAACGTGGAGGACCCGGGCTTCCGCAACGTCACGTTCGACGAGCTCGTGGACGCGTACTACACGCAGGTGGAAGGTCTGGTGGACGGTGGCAGCGACATCCTCCTGGTGGAGACCATCTTCGACACGCTGAACGCCAAGGCTGCCGTTTTCGCCATCAACAAGTACCAGGAGGCCACGGGCAAGAAGCTGCCGCTGTTCATCTCCGGTACTATCGTGGACATGAGTGGACGCACGCTGTCGGGCCAGACCACCGAGGCGTTTTACGTCAGTCTGCGCCACTCAAAGCCCTTCTGCATCGGGTTGAACTGCGCGCTGGGCGCCAACCAGATGAAGCCGTTCCTGCAGCGTCTGTCGAACGTGGCCGAGTGCTTCGTGTCTGTCTACGCAAACGCCGGTCTGCCGAACGCCATGGGTGGCTACGATGACACCCCCGCTATGATGGCCGAGTACTGCGAGGAGTTCTCCAAGGACCGCCTGATCAACATGATGGGCGGATGCTGCGGCACGACGCCCCAGCACATTGAGGCTATTGCCATCATGGCTGCCAAGTACGAGCCGCGCCCGCTCCCTGAGCTCAAGGAGCCGTTCATGTGGCTCTCGGGTCTCGAGGACATGATTGTGACCAAGGAGCGCTTCAGCTTCTTGAACGTCGGTGAGCGATGCAATATCTCCGGCTCGCTGCGTTTCAAGCGCCTCATCATGAAGGGCGACTACGGTACAGCCATGGACGTCGCGCGGCAGCAGGTGGAGGACGGCGCGATGGTCATCGATGTGAACGTCGACGACGGTATGCTCGACGGTGTGGCAGCCATGGAGCGGTTCCTGAAGATCGCTGTGACGGAGCCCGATGTTGCCAAGGTTCCATTCATGGTCGACTCGTCCAAGTTCCACATTGTGGAGGCCGGTCTTAAGTGTGTCCAGGGCAAGTGCATTGTGAACAGTATCTCGCTCAAGGTCGGCAAGGAGCTGTTCATGGAGCACGCGCGCATCGTCAAGAGCCACGGTGCCGCCGTGGTGGTTATGGCCTTCGACGAGGAGGGCCAGGCAGCCACTGAAGCCGAGAAGGTGCGCATTTGCAAGCGCTCGTACGATATTTTGGTGAACGAGGTGGGCTTCCCGCCGGAAGACATCATCTTCGACCCCAACATTCTGACGGTCGCTACGGGTATGGAGGAGCACAACAACTACGGTGTGGACTTCATCAACGCTTGCCGAGTCATCAAGGAGCAGAACCCCTACTGTAAGATCAGTGGCGGTGTGTCCAACCTGTCGTTCGGTTTCCGAGGCGTGAACGTCATTCGTGAGGCGATCCACAGTGTTTTCTTGTACCACGCAGTCAAGGCTGGCATGGACATGGGTATTGTGAACGCAGCCATGCTTGAGGTGTACGACGATATCCCGAAGGATCTACTGAAGCTGGTCGAGGATGTGGTCCTTAACCGTCACCCAGACGCCACTGAGGCGCTTCTGGACCGTTCGCTGATTGAGAAGGAGAAGGCCGACGCTGCAAAGAAGGGCGGTGCTGTGGCCGGCGGTGGCAACAAACAGGAGTGGCGTACCAAGCCTATCGGGGAGAGGCTTACGCACGCGCTTGTGAAGGGCATTTCGGAGTTCATTGACCAGGATGTGGAGGAAATGCGCAAGGTTGCTGAGAAGCCCCTTGATGTGATCGAAGGCCCGCTCATGGACGGCATGAACGTCGTGGGCCAGCTTTTCGGATCGGGCAAGATGTTCTTGCCGCAGGTCATCAAGTCTGCGCGTGTCATGAAGAAGGCCGTGGCCTACTTGCTTCCGTTCATGGAGGAAGAGAAGAACCAGCGCCGGCTTGCGAACACGGCCAACGGTATCGCGAACGAAGAAGAGGACGAGGACTCGCAGTACGCTGGCAAGGTGCTGATTGCTACCGTGAAGGGCGATGTCCACGATATCGGCAAAAACATTGTGGGTGTGGTGCTTGGCTGCAACAACTACAAGATCATCGACCTGGGTGTCATGGTCCCGTGTGAGGACATCCTGGCTGCGGCTAAGGAGCACAACGTCGATGTGATCGGACTGTCGGGTCTAATCACGCCCTCTCTGGATGAGATGGTGTACGTTGCGCGCGAGATGAACAAGGCCGGTCTGAAGATCCCTCTGATTGTTGGTGGCGCTACGACCTCGAAGATGCACGCAGCAGTAAAGATCGCCCCGCACTACTCGACCCCCGAGCACCCCGTGATGCACGTGCTGGATGCTTCTCGCAGTGTTGTTGTGGTCGGCAACTTGCTTCGTCAGGACGAGGAGCGCGATGAGTTTGTTGAGGAGGTCATGGAGGAGTACGAAGAGATGCGCGAGGACTACTACGCGTCTCTGGATGACATCAAGCTGATTAGCTTCGGAGATGCCAAGGCCAAGAGCTACCAGATCGACTACGTGGCCAAGCCTCCCTTCGAGAAGATTAACCGCGTGGGTCTGCACGTCATCGAGGACCTGCCTCTCGAGGATTTGGTGCCGTTCATCGACTGGAACCCGTTCTTCCAGACCTGGGAGCTGCGCGGTCGCTACCCGAACCGTGGATACCCGAAGATTTTCGACGATGAGACGGTTGGTGCCGAGGCTCGCAAGGTGTTCGACGAGGCGCAGAAGCTGCTGCAGGAGATCATGGACAAGAAGCTGCTTCGTGTGCGCGGTGTGTCGGGTATCTTCCCCGCGTACCGCGAGGGCGAGGACGTGATCGTGTGCGACCCGAAGAACCCGGAGCAGGAGATCTCCAAGTTCTGCATGCTGCGCCAGCAGGCCGAGAAGGAGACGAGCGACCCGTACATGTCGTTGGCCGACTTCATCGCGCCCAAGGGTGTCGGCGGCCAGGACTACGTCGGTGGCTTCGCTGTCGGTGTGTTCGGCGTGGAGGAGATGGCCGCCAAGTTCGAGGCCGACCACGACGACTTCAACAAGATTATGTCCCAGGCCATTGGGGACCGTCTGGCCGAGGCGTTCGCCGAGTACATCCACCGCGAGATGCGTGTCAAGGACTGGGGCTACGCGGCCGACGAGGTGCTGGACAAGGAGGACCTGCTGAAGGTCAAGTACGACGGCATCCGTCCTGCCCCGGGCTACCCGTCGCAGCCCGACCACACGGAGAAGCGCGCGCTGTGGGACCTGCTCAGGGCGGACGAGTTGATCGGCCTGAGCCTTACGGACAGCTACATGATGCTGCCCGGCTCGGCCGTCAGCGCGCTGTGCTTCGCGCACCCGGACTCGCAGTACTTCGCCGTGGGCAAGATCGGCAAGGATCAGGTCGTCGAGTACGCCAAGCGCAAGGGCCAGACGCTCGAGGAGACGGAGCGCTGGCTGGCGCCGATCCTCGGCTACGACCGCTCGGCCTAATGTGGCTACATCTTCATTGAACCGACCCTGCGGCGTTGAGTTGCGGTCTATCGGTTCCTCTGCGGCTGGACGTCAAGGACGATAGAAATGCCAACGGAGAGGCGGGCACCCCTGCAACTTAGGCCTGCCTGCTCCGCTGCCATTCCTGCGTGCATCACCTACCGTATGTTGCACGGAGCTATTCGCTCAGTTGAGCTTCTTGAGCGAATGGCCAAGTCCAGACGACCAGCTTAGCAGACGCCGCCGTTAGGACGCGCGCCTTGCGTTGCGCAGGACGAGTAGCTAGTGAACCTTTCGTTCAACACGACACTCGTGCATTTACATTCTGTATGATGGCACCTTGCATTGCGTTTCCTGGCGAACCGCCCTTGTTCTTGTGTATGCCGCCAGCTTCCGTGTACTTTGAAGACATAAAACCCCTTCAAGATCGGGCCCATTTACGTCAACTTGAAGTTGATTTGTGTAAAAACGCGCCTCTCTTGTGCCCAACTTGAACCGCCACCTCCGACGCCGCCAGTCCGCAATCTCCGGTGGTCAAGGCAAGGCAAGAGAGTTAGTTATACATGTGGCGCGTGGGCGGCTCCTCCGTGGGCCCGAGCGCGCGCCGCGCCGCCGCCGCCGCCGCCTCCCGCCTGCCGCTGCTGCGCGCGCTGAGCACGAGGCTGGACGAGTCCGCGTACCCGGCGCAGTGGCTCAAGATGGCCACCAAGGAGCTCAAGGGCAAGGATCCGACCACGCAGCTGCTCTGGAAGACGCCCGAGGGCATCCCCATTAAGCCCCTGTACACGCAGGGCGACCTGGAGGGGCTGGACGTCGCGCAGGCGCCCGGCACCTTCCCCTTCACGCGCGGGCCCTACGCCTCCATGTACACGGCCAAGCCCTGGACCGTGCGCCAATACGCCGGCTTCAGCACGGCCGAGGAGTCCAACGCCTTCTACCGGAAGAACCTGGCGGCCGGCCAGCAGGGCCTGAGCGTGGCCTTCGACCTGGCCACCCACCGCGGCTACGACTCGGACCACCCGCGCGTGCACGGCGACGTGGGCATGGCGGGCGTGCCCATCGACTCGATCGCCGACATGAAGGTGCTGTTCGACGGCATCCCGCTGGACAAAATGTCCGTGTCCATGACCATGAACGGCGCCGTGCTGCCCATTCTGGCCATGTACATCGTCACGGCCGAGGAGCAAGGAGTGGACCAGAAGCTGCTGTCGGGCACCATCCAGAACGACATCTTGAAGGAGTTCATGGTGCGCAACACCTTCATCTACCCGCCGGCGCCCAGCATGCGGATCATCCAGGACATCTTCGGATACACGTCCGAGTACATGCCCAAGTACAACTCCATCTCGATCTCGGGCTACCACATGCAGGAAGCTGGCGCCGACGCGCGGCTCGAGCTGGCCTTCACGATCGCCGATGGCATTGAGTACGTGAGGGCCGCGCAGGCTGCGGGCCTCGACGTGGACGCCGTGGCCCCGAGACTGTCGTTCTTCTTCGCGATTGGAATGAACTTTTACATGGAAGTGGCCAAGCTGCGCGCCGCGAGGAAGCTCTGGGCCAATCTGATGAAGGAGAAATTTGAGCCGAAAAACGTCAAGAGTCTGCTGCTGCGTACGCATTGCCAGACGTCCGGATACTCGCTGACTGAGCAGGATCCGTACAATAACATCATGCGGACCACGGTGGAGGCCATGGCTGCTGTCATGGGCGGCACGCAGAGTCTGCACACGAACGCTCTGGATGAGGCGCTGGGTCTACCGACGGAGTTCAGCGCTCGCTTGGCTCGTAACACGCAGCTAGTGCTGCAGGAGGAGACCGGTATCCCGCGTGTGGCTGATCCGTGGGGTGGCTCGTACCTCATGGAGACGCTGACGCAGGAGCTGTACGATGCAGCCTTGTCGGTCATCAACGAGGTGGAAGAGATGGGTGGAATGGCCAAGGCGATTGAGTCCGGCATGGCGAAGTTGCGGATCGAAGAGAGCGCCACGAAGAAGCAGGCGCGCGTGGACTCGCGTGAGGAGACCATTGTGGGCGTGAACAAGTACGTGGTGGAGAACCCAGACACGGTCGACGTGCTAACGATCGACAACACGGCGGTGCGCAAGAAGCAGATCGCGCGCATCAAGGAGACCAAGGCCAACCGCGACGAGGCTGCAGCTCAGGCTTGTCTGCAGAAGCTGCGTGATTCCGCTGCGCTCACGGAAAGCACGGGTCCTGGTAAACACCCGATGAACCTGCTGAAGCTGTCTGTGGATGCGGCACGAGATCGTTGCACGGTGGGTGAGATTTCAGAGGCGTTGGAGGACGTTTGGGGTCGGCATATCCCGAAGAGCTCCGTTGTGTCGGGCGCGTACCGTAACGAGTACAAGCACAACGACGAGGCTGAAGCTGAATACAACGAAGTTGTCAAGGAGATTGAGGACTTCGCGGAGCGCTTCGGTCGTCGTCCTCGCATGCTAATCGCCAAGATGGGCCAGGACGGCCACGACCGTGGCGCCAAGGTTATTGCATCGGGATACTCGGACATGGGTTTTGATGTTGATGTGGGGCCTCTGTTTTCGGTACGTCATATCTTAACTGTTTTTGTCATTTGATGTGTAGAAGAGCTTGCGCACTTACTGGTTCGCGTTGTAGACACCGGAGGAGACGGCTCGTCAAGCTGTGGATGCAGATGTGCACTGCATCGGGGTGAGCTCGTTGGCTGCTGGTCACAACACGCTGGTGCCGGCGCTAGTTGAAGCGCTGAAGAAGGAAAGTGCAGAGCACATCTTGGTGATCTGCGGTGGAGTCATCCCGCCCAAGGACTACCAGTTCCTGTACGACGCAGGCGTGGGCGCCATCTTTGGTCCGGGGACGCGCCTCCCTGTGAGCGCCCGCGAGACGCTGCGTGCTATTATCAAGAAATCAGAAGAAAACGCAGCCAAGGGCTTGTAGTCGCCGCGAAGGAGATAGCAACCAGAGGAACAAGACCCGATTTACGTGAAGATGGTTTATGTTGCTTGCCGAAGTATTTGTTGTAAAGTGACTTTGTCGTACTTGACTCAGGAAGATGGAGAAACTTTCGCTGACTTGCGCTTTTGTTGGTGAGAAGAAAAGCACATTTAATGTGAACGTCAAGGTCGACAAGGCGTGGTACGAGGTGAAGGGCAAGATCAAGAGTAAGAACCAGAACAAACTGAAGAATGTCGATGCCAGCGACCTGCAGCTCTTCCCGGTGAAGGGGGGGGGGGTAGCGCGTGGCTCTCATCTTGCTCGGAAGATAAGGGCGAGAAGGCTCCTCTCATCGAAGCGCTGACGAAGGAAGACAAGGAGTTACAAGCAGTACATCCCCCGGAGGACTTGCTGAACGATATGGACCCTCCCTCGTCTTGCCAAGTTCACGTGCTGGTTGTGATTCCGACCAACGATGTGGTTGCTCTCCACGTTGCTGTTCCCAGAGGCCCTGTCGTGAATGTGCGACAGTCTCCTCAAATTCTTGGAATGTGAAATGACAAACAAGGACGTCACCAATTAAACCCTCACATTTTAGCAGACAACAAACTACAAGTCCGTTTGGTTGGACGGGAAACAGCGAGGTGCTGCAATACAATCATCGTGGCGCACAAAAGTACAGCGTCAGACCGCACTCAGCAGTCGATACCTGTTTGCTCTGGCATGCCTGGTTTGGGGAAAACGCGCATGCTGGAAGAAGGTCGCGAATCAAGTGCTCAAACTGGATCCCAACCGCATTGCCGGAGTCATCGTGCCGTATTCCAACGAACCAGTGGAGCAATCGATGTCGATTGAGGCGTCATTCTCGCGGCGATTGCTGTTTCGTGTTTTCTTGTACAATAATTGCTCGTTCTCAATTCTAACGTGGTTCCATTCGTGATTGCCGTGCAATGGAGGTGGGCTGACTCTGGAGCATGCCGTAACAGTCGTTGTATACAAGCTGCGTCAGAATGGACAAGATCTGTACCTCTTTCTCGGCGTTGATGACTATCACAAGATTCGAAAGGTTGGGGCCCGTCGAAAAGACCCCGTGACACCACTTGTGCGTGAACTAGCGGATGCCATCGGATCTTTGGTGCGCTCTAAGTTGCCGAATGTGATTTTATTGCCGATGTTTGCGGGGATAAATCACAACGTGATGGGATCCAATTCAACTGCGAACACCACATGCTACGTTCCCGTGCATCTTCCGATGACCTTCGTGACGGTAGATCAAATGTTTAGCTTTGTGGAGAGCGATGCAGAATCAGCTGAGTTGCTGAAGTATGTTGAGTTTCGCCGCAGCTTGTCCATTCTTGGGGGTGTTCCACGTTGGGTTGTCGAGTACGTGTTGGAAGTGAAGTGCTGCTGTGAGCGATGTGCTTCAAATGCCACCGCTGTAAAGGTAATAAACGAGGGCTTGCTGACGATCCGGGAGAGATACGTGAGCCGCTATTTGAGCACCTTAGACAACGAGATGGAAGTCTGTTTGGCGGCCTTCGCCGTTTCAGGTCAAGCGATCGACCCAGATGGTATGTTCAACGAGAGCTTACAGTGGTCAGCACTTCGGGATGCGTCGCTCTGCTTGCTGGTTCCGCCCACAGCTTTAAGGTTTAACCACAGAAGCATGCGACGTTTGAGTTCCGTATACGCTGTTACAGACTCTTGGTTCGCGTCGCAAGAGTTTTAAGGCGTTTGGGACCAAAGCAAAAGGAGGATAGCTCACTGTTTGACGTTCAACCGTGGAAGTTATGGGGGATATAGTTGCGCTCTGTCGGCGATGGCGGCGTCGCTTCGCTTGCTGACGGCGCGTGGCAGCGGCTTGCACTTCCTCGGAAAGCTGGCGCAAGGTGAAGTTGGGGAAGACTTGCGTCGTGGGCATGTGCATGCCAGTCATGGGCGAGATGTCACTCGACTTAAACCACTGCAGGATCGTCGCACTCGTAGCTGTATCCATCCGCAGCCACAACCAGGCCCAGCATCATCTGCTGAACTTGCTTGTGAAGATTTCGCGACGAAGGCATCATGATGGAGTAAGCGAATGGGTTTTTAGCGGACGTCGGCAGACTCCTCATCGGACAAGTGCTCAAGCACGAGGACTAACCCATGGTGGACGACGACTACCTGCTGACGAACGAATCGAACGTACGTCAAGTATTCGATGAAGGACAAGCGCTCAGTGGTCGACAAGAACCCGATGATGGACGAGCTCTCGCTGACGGACAACTTGCTGACGGACGAGCACTCGTTGGTGAACAACTACGCGCTGGTGCGCAACTACCCGATTGTGGCCAACTACCCGCTGTCGGACAGCTACTCGCTGATAGACGAGTACTGACCGGTGGACAAGAACTCACCGGTGGACAAGAACTCACCGGTGGACAAGAACTCACCGGTGGACAAGCACTCGTTGGTGGACAATATGAACAAGTACTTGGTGGCGGCGGACCAGTACACGGTGACGGACTACGAGGACGGTGCGGTTTGCTGGCGATTTGGCTCGGTCGATTCAATCAATCGACTTCGGAAAGTTCGACTAGAACGCGCAATAATGTCGCCCGTTCCTTATCGACGCACTTTACTGTAACGGTGCTGTGACGTTGACATAAAGGCGCTCTAACCTCCTCGCTTAAGTACGCTAGAAATTCTCCCCCCATTCCAGAATCTGCCGTTTCGAGGAAATATGGTGAAGCTCTTCTGTGCGATCGTTGGCGTGGCGGGCAGCGCGTTCGAGGTGAAGATCGATGATGCTGAGTCGGTCTCGGCGTTGAAGAAGGTGATCAAGGCGGAGAAGCCGAACGACTTCAAGGACATCGATGCAGACAAGCTGCAGATCTTCCCGGCGAAGATAGACGGCGAGTGGCTAAGGGAACGGGACGTTGTGGGCGGTGTGGATGCTTCTGTGACCAACGGCATGGCGCAGCTGATGTTTCCCTCGGCCCCGCTGCTAGCTGTTGGTTTCAAAGCGGACGAGTTGGGTGAGGTTAGTGATGAAGCGAAGGCTGAAGGACTGGGCTTCGTGCACGTGCTGGTGCGAGTGGCTAAGGAGGAGGAGTTAATTCCGAAGAAGTTGACTGAAGATGGCACCAAGATATGGAGTAACTGGGAAAAGGCCGGCACGGGTTGCCCTGCGCTCGAAATGGGCGCGAGCTCGTTTGTTCGAATCCCTGCTGCGTATGCTGATGACAGCGGTGTGGCCGCGAGGGAAGGAGATCTGCTCTTGTACCGCCGCCGCCAGCTCGTGAGTGAATGGCAGACTCTTAAAGCGCTCGTTTGCGACACTTATGCGGAGCTGTGGATCGTGGGTCCTCCAGGGACAGGCAAGTCCTGCGCAGCGTTTGCGTTTGCTTGCTCTTTGGATCGAACCGACTGGGACGTCGTATGGGTTCATTTCCCTAAGAATGGCTATGCAGACTTGCTCTGCATCCTTTTTCGTGGTGCGAGCGAGAAGTGGACGTGCAGCATCGATCATGCAGACATGCGAGTCCTGTTGAATTCGCTGAGGGAGAAGACGATTGTTTTTCTCGACGGGTTCACTGCTGAGAAGGATAACGGAACCCGGAAAGTGTGCGCGAAATGGCGCCTAAGAAACAAGCTGTACCGTCGGTTGGTGTGGGTCAGCTCGATGGTAACACGAGGGAAGGATTTCTATTCCGTCGAAAGCGGCAGCGTCCCCGTCACTGCCAAAGTAACCCTTACTAGCAAAGCGGTTGTTGGTGCGTCGATCCCGAAGTTTGACGTCAGAGACCAAGAACTCTATGAGCTCGTGTCATGGACAATGGAAGAGTACAAGGCGGCACTGGAGAACAACGACTTCTATAATCTCGTGAAGTTTAAGCTGACGAGCGACCCCGACCCTGCGCGCTGGGAAGATCGAAACGAACTATTGGAAATCAAGTTCTTTGTAGTGGGTGGCAACGCTCGATATATGTTTGATTACACTACCGAGCAAGCTGAGGCCCAGCTAAGTAGGGCAATTAATTGCACGCCAGATATCGAAGCAGTAATCAAGCGAAAGGTTGGCATCGCGTCCCCCAATGCTGTAAACCGACTGTTTTCCTGGTATCACGCTGAAGGCTCAGTGGAGACAAAGTCATGCTTGTTGAGCAAATTTGTAGCCGGGAAACTTGCTCAGCAACTTGGGCCCGACTTTGTGCAAGACATTTCATCGCTCTTCCAAATTAACCCGGCGATGGACGGCTATTTGCTCGAGCTGTGGTTCTTTGCAAAACTTGTCCACGGTGGTGTTGATTGCTACACGGTCCAAAATGAATCGACGCTTTCAACGAAAAAACATCACGGGCATTGGCATGCGCATGAGGTTCCGTACTTCGATCCACTCGGTATAATCCCGTTAACCACCATGTCATCTCAATGGATGGCTCCAAGGCTGTGGAACCAAGGCGGATATGATGCTGTGTGCCTGGAAATCCGTGAACGAAACCCCACTACGGATATCGCGGTTCCATCAAACTGTACTGGGGTAATACGAGTCCGATTTGTTCAAGTGACTCGCGCGAAGACGCACTCTTTCAAGGAGTTGTATTTCAAAACGTTTCTGACTCGGCTGACCACTGGATTGAGCAACCACAACTTCTGGTTCGAAGAAGTTGAAGTGTGTTTTGTGACCCCTATTGGCAAGCTGATGCGGGAAGGCTTCAGAATAAGCGTTACGGAGTTAACGCTTCGCAAGGAGGTTTTGCAGCCAGCCAGTATTCCGGACACAACAAAAATCAGCATCTTGGTCGTCGGGGTAGACTACGCTGAGTACGAAGAGAACCCAGCAAAGCGACTCAAGAGTGGGTGATCCCAAAAATCGAACAAGTTCAAGAGGCTTGGCATTGGCTTGCATTCCTGACATGTTTCCTTCTTTTTCTTTCAATTAAAAAAATATAAGGGAAGTAATTAATCTCAAAATACAAGGCTACTACAGTAATATTGTGTTACCAGCGAAGCTGCCAGTATGTTCGTCACTGTCATCGAGGCCAAGCTTCAAGGGTTTTGCATCTCTGCTATGAACGCATTGCACCCATTCAAGAGTTGGGGATTTTAGAATTGGGCACAGTCCTCCTCTTCCTAAAGCGTTTTCTTATCTTCACCCAACGTATGAGGTGCCGGTTTATCTTGAGTCGAAATGGGAGAGAGGAGCTCCATGTAACATTGGCGGCGAGTTCGTCTGTGGTCGCAATCAACTCGTCGAGTAAAGCAACGCTCGAAACAGTATTTCAGGGCAATCGGGAAGACGTGGAAGAAATCGTGAGGAAGAGGGCGGAGCCGAGTGGAGGATACAGCGATTCCGATGAGTTGCTGTCTTTTCTCAACAGCAAGCGGTTGAAAGTTGAGCTTCATGACCAGGGTGCGGACTTTTCAGCTTAGCAAAAAGAAAGCGTTTTGATAATTGCTAATGGTATTGTGATTTTGGACGGGGTCAACGTATCGTCGCGAAGGAATTCTCATCGGTCATAATGGCACAAGGCATCCAGGCGTTTGTCAGTTATGAAGGAGACACTAACCAGAGGAGCAAGAATCAAAGTTGCTTTTAACCCTACAGAAAGAAACCTTCTATTTGAAGCTTTTGCTCTTCCTCTTTTGTTGATATTCATCCATTCTTGCGCTGGTGCTGCGCGTTGTGCCTTCGGCCTCATAAATCATACCACCCCTTTTTTGGAGACACCTACATATCAAAATCCTACTTACGTTGTGCACCTCAGCGTGCACTTATTCCTGGCCTTCCTCGCTGGATGCCGCTTTACGTTCAAAGTTTTCATCGACCTGCTCAATTTGCTGAGATGCTTGAGCTGCAGCTGCGCTCTGGCGGCGATGGCGGCGTCGCTTCGCTTGCTGACGGCGCGCGGCACCGGCTTGCACTTCCTCGGAAAGCTGGCGCAAGGTGAAGTTGGGGAAGACTTGCGTCGTGGGCATGTGCATGCCAGTCATGGGCGAGATGTCACTCGACTTGAACCACTGCAGGATCGCCTCGCGCTCGTAGCTGTGTCCGTCCGCAGCCACAACCGGGTCCAGCATCGGGCAGCCGGTAATAGGACAGATAAGCTGCTCGGGCACGGCAGGTTCATCTCCGTCGTCTCCACCAATTCCCTCGAACTCCTCACGGTCTTCGTACGTCTCCCACTGCATCATCATTTCCTCCTCCTCATGGTCTTCATAGTCCACAGCAAGGCGATCAACAGACGTAAATGCACGCACAATATGCCCTCGGTTAGTTCGCGGGCCGCAATCGATCAGATCGTCGTCATAACCACCGTCAAAACCCCCACTAGTCACACGCCTCGGCGCAGTCCAGTACACACGCACGAACTCCAGCTTCACCTGGCCGTAGGCGTCCTTCGAGCTCGCCACAAACGTCTGGACGCCCGAGGACACACCGGAACGCAACATCTCGTTCACGCTACGCACCATCGTCAAGTACGCCTGCGTGCCAAAGAAGGCAATGAAAGCTGCCGAGTTCTCGAATTGAATACGCGGAGTATCAGGAAGCGCGCGCCAAACGCGCTGCGCGCCTGTGACGACTCGAAGTTGGCGTACGCGCGATACCTGGCTCTGCAGCTGCTGCGAGGCGTCGTGGAGGAGCGACGGACGACGCTCCACGTGCACCAGGTTGCGGTGCAGCTCGAAGCTGAGCGGCCATCCCTCCTGGCTGAACGTCTGTGCGAACACTTGGTCCTGGAAAATGTCCATCACCTCGAGTCGTGCACTCGGCGGCAGCAGCTTGGAGTAGTACTCGAGTCCACCGAAGCCCGTGAGCCTCACAATGTCCCCTTTCCGGGGCTCCAGCCCGTTGGAGGCGGCGGAGACGTCAAAGTCCAGCGCGAGCTGCAGTTGTCCCGCACTCTGCGACTCCTCGTCCGTCAGTTGGTACCACCCACGGGTACTCGACGCACTTGACATCAAACACGGCAGGAGCGGCACCACCACAGCTCCGATAAGTTTGTCCTCGGGCCCCAGCGCCGACACATTCGACGACGTCGACGAGTTCGACGCCGGCGCAGCAGACGCTGCCGTTGCTGCGTCCTTCTTCTCGTCCGAGCGATGGAACACCTGCACGTAGAGCTCCGGCGCGCACGGATGGTACTGGCGGTAGCCCATGGCAGCGTCCGCCGCAGCCGCAGCCGCCCCCGTCTTCTTCATTGCAGCGCCTCCTTTACCCTTGTTGTTGCTGTTGTTGCTGTGTTTGCCTTTGCCTGCCGCTCCAGCGCTCATGCCGCCCGGGACCCCAACGGTCTGCAGCACCTCCGTCTCGGACGGCAGCGGCACGCTGAGCCTGCCCGTCTCCTTCCAGCTGGGGTTGAGGTGGCGCTGCTTGACGCTGGACACGAAGCGCTCGCGGTCCAGCGACAGCACCACGTACGGGTTGGCGTAGCTGGGCGTCCACTTGAGCAGGCTGCCCAGCACGGCCGGCGGCAGGTTGCGCGCGCCCAGGATCTCCACGTTCAGCTGGCCCGCCGAAGGCTGCGCGGCGAGCGCCAAGCTGATGCCAGTGCTGCTGACGTTGCTGCTGACGTTGCTACTGGGCGCGCTCGAGCCCGCGACGCTGCAGGAAGCCATGGCTTCTCGGCGAGAACGAGCAATGCGATGCAAGTCGAGTCGGGTGGCTTTGGTCGTCTGCGTCTGTTCCGAATCAGAGCTCCGCGTCAGAGTCAAAGGTGACAGCACCGTGTAACCTTGAAGACCGTTGATGTGGTCCACGCAGCCGATAGTGACTGGGGCTTTTGGCTGGAGATGATTCGTCCTCGCCTGCAATGACAAGAGCCCGTGTTTGAGACCCGGTGCACCCATTCTCGTTCTCGCCATGACCTACGGACTCGACGCCGCATTGGAGCCGCCCGCCGCCAAGCGTGCGTTCTCCACGTCGCCGACCGCCACCACCTCCTCGGACGGAGAGGCGTCCGAGCGCGACGCGCTCGTGGGATCGGACGCGCTGCTCGTGGGCGCGGCGAGCCACAGCGGCGCGCACCCGAAGCCGCGCCGCCACCGCTCGACGTTCGACTGGCTGCTGGGCGTGACCTTCCTGCTCATCGTGGCGCTCATCTGGACGTTCGCCAGCGTGCTGGTACAGTACATCTTCCACAACCTGAGCTTCCAGGGGCCGTTCTTCCTCACGTACGTGGGCATCTCGCTCTTCTCGGTGAACCTGCCGCTCTGGTACGCGTCGCAGGTGCTGTACCCGAGGGTCCGCGCCTGGCTGCGCGGCCTGCCGACGGACGGCAAGCTCTGCCACAGCGAGCTGCTGCGGCGCTCGGGCAAGCAGGCCAGCTACAGCCACATCTTCCGCATCAGCGCCATCATCTCGCCGCTCTGGTTCATCGCCAACTTCACGTACAACATGAGCCTGAACCTCACGAGCGTGTCCAGCAGCACCATCGTGAGCTCCACGTCCACGGTCTTCACATTCCTGCTGAGCGTCGTGGCGCTCAAGGAGCCGTTCGTGTGGCTCAAGCTCGCGGGCGTCATCCTCTGCATGGCCGGCAACATCTCGACCATCTTCAACGACGAGGGCGCGGACGGCGGCGCCGACCACGTGCTTGGGGACCTGGTAGCGCTGTTTGCTGCCTTTATGTACGGCGTGTACACCACCTCGATCCGCCGCCTGATCCCGGACGACGAGAGCGTGAGCATCTCGCTGTTCTTCGGCTTCATCGGCGTCATCAACATGGTGTGTCTGTTGCCGTTCGTCCTGGCCTTCCACTACACGGGCGTCGAGTCGCTGAGTGGGCTGTCGCTCGAGATCCTGCTGCTCATCGGCGTCAAGGGGCTCTTCGACAACGTGCTGTCCGACTACCTCTGGGCGCGCGCCGTGCTGCTGACGTCGCCCACCGTGGCCACCGTCGGGCTGTCGCTCACAGTCCCGCTGGCTATCGTGGCCGACTTTTGGTTCCACGGCATGCTGCCCACGAACGTGACGCTGCTCGCCTCGGCGCTCGTCATCTCCGGCTTCGTGCTCATCAACGTCGGCACCAAGCAGAACCAGCACGAGTATCACCCGCAGCGCTCTACGGACCGCTCCGGCAAACCACCAGGGGGCCCTCGCTCGCGCAGCAACAGCGTCGGCGCATTCGGTGTATAAGCGAAGTAACTACTGTAGTGGTTCTCGTGCTTGAGATTTAAAAAGTCAAGTTATGTGCTGGTTTATTACCTGCCGTTGCACGGATTGAGGAAGTTGAGCTTCACTTCCGAAGTGGTCGAAGTGTCTTCCTCGACAAGAGCTGCAGCAACAAACACCCTCCAGGATTCTCGGTGGATTTTGCATGCTTATCAGCGGCAAATCACCGTGGACCGATGTCGAGTGGAATAATACGAGATGATGCCCCGAGACGCCCCGAGCTGCAAGAGTTTACCCAAGAAGTTACATCTCAGCACAGCTCCAGGTGCACTCGAAGGGAGAGGCAGCATTCTCAGCGCTATGCAAGCGCGAAGAAACTAGCGTTATGGTGGTGCAACTGCAAGTACAGTCGATCAAGTTGAAGTTAAATCCGAAAGGCGCGAGTACATTCTTTTTACTCCTATGCAAATTGAGCACATGCTTCCCATCCAATCCCAACCATTCGCAAGTAGTTCTCACTTCAGCGGCAAACGCCGCTAGCCACCTTGGTCCTTAACAGGCTATCAATACGCTCACTTCACTGTGGCTGTCTCAACTACCGCGAGGTCACGCGCCAAGACTCTCCGAGTTGTTGGGTAAAATGCAGGAAGGAGAGCCGAGATTGCTGCACTCGGTTTTATCTTCGCCAGAATTGCCATCGACTATGGCTATGGCTGTCAGGCCGAGGTCCAAAGCTCATAATCGTCTGCGAAAATGTTCGTTCTCTGGGTCACTGTAGAAAATAGGTTAGGCTGGGAGTCCTTCAATTGGGTACTGCCAGGAAGCTATGGACGACTATCTCGCTCATTTTCCTAATATGCGCTTCAGCGGGATGTACCTACGCACCGAGGGGCAATGGACTTGTAATGCTTGCTGTAATCGCTACACCGATCCTACATGATCCTTTTATCTCAAGTCGAACGCGTACCCGTAGAGTTCTATATGAAAGTTTCAAATTCCATCGATCTTAGCCTACATTTCTCAGGTATTTCGATGCAATCCTTGCTCACACCGACTTCCTCCAAGATGGTTCTTTCTCTTCAAGTGGTTCTATTTCTACTCTAATAACCAGTTCCTCCATGGCACCTCCGTGTCAATACATTTTTTTAGTAATTTTTGTCGATTTCTTCCGACTGAATTTTTTAAACGATGCATTGCTCGTATTGAGCCACGAAAAAAAAATTAAGACTCTCCAGGCATTTTTCTTTGTATTCGCCCAGCTTGCTTGTCGATCGGAGTCCTGTAGCACTCAAACTTTGTTTTCAAAGTTGAGCCTACCCGTACGCGCGGGTTTAAAATGGGCCTAGTCTTTCTTTGCACGAAATACCCATTTGCCAAGTCGGGCTGCAAGAAAAACGACGCTGCTTCGCGTTCAACGTTCATTCTCCAACTTGAAGAAGCGAAGGCAAGAAGCCGACCCGACAACGACATGGACGCACTGCCTGCCGTGCTGCTGCTGCAGGTGCTGGAGTTCCTGGACCACGAGGCGCTGCATGCGGCCGAGCAGAGTTCGCACGCTATTCTGGCGCTCACGCGCGAGCACGGTGCGTCCTCCTCTTCCGCCGCCTGTAGCAATAAACGGCAACACGCACTGACGTTTCGTCGCTGTTTTGCTTGTCTGCAGAGCTGTGGAGGGCGCTGGTAGAGCCCCATGTGGCCTGCAGTGAGGCGCTGGGCCGCGCGGAGCTGTGGAAGAAGATGGCGTGTCTGGCGCAGCGCCCCGCGACCGACGACACGCAGCTGCTGGGCGGCGTGGAGGCCTTCTCGTCCGCGGACCGGCCCAGCGAGTCGCCCGTGAACACGCTCACGTCCTCGCGCTGCTGGATGGAGCTGCACCAGTTGCAGACGACGGAGAGAGAGACACAGCAGCTGCAGGAAGAGCTAGAGCAGGACCAGGAGCGAGCGACGCTGGGCGAGCGCATCCAGCACCGCTGCGGCTGCTCGTCGGGCCACTCGTGCTACTGGAGCAGCTCGGCGTCCACGGACCAGGACGCGACCGAGTTCATCGACTACGCGCTGAACGGCCCGTGCGTCGTGAACGCCGTGCAGATCGTCCCGTACCGAGTGTTCTGGCACCCAGGCAGCCCCACGTACGCGCCCAAAAGAGTTCGGTTCGAGTTCTTTGACGTTGACGACTTGGCGACAATGCAGCAAGCACGAAGGAGCCGTGCGCTGGCGATGCGGCCGACTGCGATCAAGCCGTTTTACGCCTCGCACGACTACGAGATGCAGAATGACATGACGCTGCAGGAGTTCGTGCTGCCGCAAAAGGTGGCGGCCAGCAAGAAAACGGTGCTGCGGATCACGCTCATCGGGCGGCACCAGGCGCAGACCTTCGAGCTCCCGCAAACCCTTCTCGACGCAGAAGAAGACCGACGACCTAAATACTACTGCTGTCTGAGCTACGTGAACGTATGCGGCGTACCATGGAAACCCGTGCAGTCCTCACGAGAGACCGACACTGTCGCTGCGCGGCCGTACAGTATGAGTCCCAACCTGCGCATGGCGGCTCTGACGGGGCTGGCAGTGTACATGACTGCCTGCTACGAAGGGTTCATCGGCCGCACCCGACGATGGGAGTGAAGCACCCTACAAACACCTCCACCAAGAAAAAAACATGGCCCAGCATCATCAATTATCTCAAGGCCGCGAGCAGCTCGCCACACCCACGTACGAATAGTAAAAAATCCCTGCAATCTTGTTATCATACACGTCGTCTATTTCTTCGTTGTCACCACTTTTCAAAGTGCACCTGCATACCGCACGCGCACTTCTTGGACCAGCTCTTGGTCTCTTCATCAAAAGACTCCGCCGCGAACTCATGCCGGTGATCTGTATCTGCCACCGGCACGTACTCGGCTTTCTTTTGCTTCTTCTTCTTCTCCTTCTCTTGCTCATCCTCTGCCGCTGCGTCTGCGTCTCTGTCCAGCTGCACCAAGTGCTGCCTCTTGAGCAAGTGCTTGGTCCTGCCCGCGGCGGATCGGAACGCTCTCTTCTTCCGCTTCTGCTTCTCGCGCTGCAGTCCGTCCTCGTCCCCGTACAGTCGGTAGGCCTCTTGCACCAGCGTGCGGCGCAGATAGAGCTGCAGCGGTGCAAAGGCCTCGTGCCGAGGGTTGGGCTGGTTGAGGTGCGGGAGCCCCGTGAAGGACGAGTCGGGCAGCGCGTACTCGGCCCTGGCGCGAGACTTGGACAGCAGCTCGAACGCGCCGTCGCGCAGCGTCCGGTCCTGCTTGCAGGTCACGCACACGTGCAGCGAGAAGTGCTCGAGCAGAGTGCGGTCCAGGTACAGCGAGTCGTCACCGCACTCGCTGCAGAGACCCACGGGCAGGTCGTCCATAGTGCCAAGTGTATAGAAGATGTGGCAGTGGTGGAGGACGATCGATCGCCTCCTGGTCATTAGGCGACTGAAGTGCGGCTTTTGCCGGGTGTTGTAGAAAGTCAGTGTATCGGGGTGTGGTAGTGACATGGGTACGCGTTTTGGTTGTTGAGCTCTTGGACACCTTGGGAATTGAGTGGACGTGGAATATAATGGCGGACATGACCACGCAGACGCCCGCCGAGGACGCGCAGGCGCTGGCCAAGCTGCCGCAGAAGAAGTTCTATCGCTCGCGCGCGCACTGCAACCCGCTGTCGCACAATGACTGCTTCAACTAGTGCGTTGCCTCTGCGGACGAGTGTGGCGGTGGTGGAATGGTCTCCATTGACTTGTGTTTGTTGACTGCCGTTGTTGTTATTGCTGCAGCCCGCAGACGCCCGACGAGATGGACTGGTCCACCCACTACCCGGGCATTGAAAACCCGTGAGCACCTGTAGTTTTTAGTGTGAATATGACGTTGGGTTCAAGTATCATCAGTAAATTGTTTGTTTGGAGCAGGAGTGTCGACTTTTTGGACGTCGGCTGCGGCTTCGGTGGACTCACGGGTGCGTCGAGTGTCGATATTGTATGAATTATTCAATGGAGGAGTACATGCTGATGGTGATCGGTGCTGATACCTATTACAGTGAAGCTGGCGGAGCTGTTCCCGGACAAGTTGACGCTGGCGCTGGAGATCCGCGCCAAGGTGACGGAGTACGTGCGTCTGCGCATTGAGGCGCTGCGTGCCGAGCGCCCGGGCCAGTTCCAGAACGTTTCGGCGCTGCGCACGAACGCGATGCGCTACCTGCCGCACTACTTCCGCAAGGGGCAGATGACCAAGATGTTCTTCTGCTTCCCGGACCCGCAGTTTAAGGCGCGTCTGCACCGCCGCCGCATTGTCCAGTACGTGGTTGCATGCCTTGAGATAGCGATGACAAAGGTTGGAAGCTAACTGTTGTTGCATTTGTAGCACGCCCCTGCTGGCTGAGTACGCGTACCTGTTGGCGCCTGGCGGCATCCTGTACACCATCACGGATGTCGAGGAGCTGCACGAGTGGCACGTTGAGAAGTGCTCGAGCCACCCGTGCTTCACGCGCATCCCGGACAGCGAGCTGGTACGATTTTTCATTGAATTGCGACTTACGTGAGAAGCACATTAATCTCACTCGGCGTGCTCACACTTTTTCAGGCTTCCGACCCGTGCGTGAAGGCCATGACGGAAGAGACGGAGGAAGGCAAGAAGGTCGCTCGTGGTGGCGGCAAGAAGTACGTCGCTGTGTTCCGGCGGAAGGCCAACGAGGAAGTCGCTGTCGACAACCTCTTCTGGTAAAGAAAAACGAAAGCAGTCAAAGGAGGAACAGGAGCCCCAATGCCAACGTTAGAATCCGGCTAACTGCCCCTGTCTGCTGTGTTGGCTGTCAACACACCTTTGACCATTTTGTCTCTTTTGAATGAACTGCATTGCTTTCATACACACAGCAACGCTCGCTGCACACACGTTCTAACTACATGTCATCAGGCACTCCTGCTAACAACCTATCGTTCCCCCCTTACATCAAGCACGCAAAGGGATCGTCACTCTGCACTGGCGGCGGCGACGGCGGCTTCTCCTCGAACCCTCGGATATCGTTGCCAGCGAAGGGGTCATTCAAGTCAGGCACCAAATTGCCCGTGGCAACTGGCGCCGGCTTGGGCGTATTGCTGCCTCCGAAACCCGGAAGGAGTGCTTCAGTCGTCGTAGCCGTCGCGGTTGTAGTCGAAGTCGTGGCCGATGAAGAGCCTGACGAACCGATGGCGCCGAGGCTCAATCGGTTCACAGACTGCGAGACCTGAGAGGTGAATGACCACGAGGACCGTGGCGACTTGTCAGGCGGGGTGGACGGCGGGAAGCTGGAGCCGTCCGAGGCGGTGAGTCCCTCGTTGACCGCAGCGGAGGCATCGGTGATGTTTGTGTTGATGGTTGTGAGGAAATCCTCCATAGACCGCGACGAGGCTCGTCGTTGCTTGCCCGTCGTCGACAGACTCTGCGAGCGTAGCTCCATCAAAATGACGTTGATGTCGCCTTGAGCATCTTCAAGAACATCCATGATCCGATCGCTGGTCGCCTGAATAACCACTGCACACACACAAACGAGAAGGTAAAGTGAGTACGCAGATTTGAAACAGCATCGAGCCTCAAGAGACATGTCAACTTACTGGAGAAGTTGCCATAGTTGGCGTTCATCTCGTTCCAGAGGAAGTCGAAAAGAACAAACACCTCCGAGAAGAGCAGGTGGAAGGCCTCGCTGTCATAGAACAAGGGCCAATTGGCTTGTCGTTCACGAACAAGCTCGCCGTCGAACTTCCAGAAGAGACGGGCCACCATGCACGTCACATTGATGCCTGCAGGACCCCACGGATACGTGTTGTCGTGCGATCCGGGAACTTGGCTCGTTACCATGCGCACAGCGTGGGACGTGTAGTGTGATGCGAAGTAGACCAAGCAGTCCAAACTCAACATGCCACCCGCACGGAAGTCAGTGGTAGGGTCTGGACGCTGGAAGCCCAGTCGACTCCACGATTCTCCAACTCGCTCGAACTGCAGCTCTGCCGGTTCAGAAGCTGTCACATCCCCAGCTTCGTCACCGAAGTCCAGCAGGTTGCCCTCCGCAATCGACTGAGGCTGCTCGGATTTGCCCTCCTTGAACGGCTGTTGTGAGTAGATAGCATGCCAGAGGTCACACAGCATGCCTTCGTACTTCTCGTCACCACTGACGCACGTTTGCTTCAGCAGCGAAAACCGCTCCTGCATGTGCGTGATGCAAGGCTCCTCGGGCATTGCAGACTTTCCCTGGCGTGCCCACAGGGTGCCTTCAGCACCGCCATTTCCACGCATAAAAGCTGGTAGAAGCTCCTCCCGTCTTTTGTTGCGGAGCAAGTCGCGCTTGGTCGCCTGTGCCAAGGCAGCGCGCTCGCGTTCTCGGGCTTGCTTGTCCAACCCCACAAGACTCTTGCAGCCATCAGCAACACCGAAATGCAGCGCGTAGGCGACAACAGCGCCATCAGCATAACCACACACAATACAGCGCTCGTCCTGGCCCATGCTCAGACTCGTCAACTCGGCGCCGGGGCGTTTGCAATCGATGCGCCGTACCACAGAACCCGGCATACCAGCGTCACGCACCTCGATGGCTGCGTCGGCACCAGCACACGCCGTGATCAAGTACTCACCCGAGCGTGTAAACAATACACCGCGCTCAAGCAGCAGGTGTGGCGCTGGGGGTCTGCTGCCCTCACCCTCAGTCACCTCCTCACCTTCGCCTCCCACAACCAGCTTATCGTGGGAGACGACATGCCCATTAATGGAGACCACGTACAGCTCGGATTGTTGGTCATCGCGTTGACGCTCCTCCTGGTCATCGTTCGTGGCTACATATCCACTACTGGACAAGCCACCCGCCACCATACTGCTGTTGCCGCCGCCATTTTCACCGACGGTTAGTCTAGCCTTGTCGTCGGAGAAAAGCGAGTTGGCGCGAGAATAGCGGCCACTGCGTTGGGTCTTGCGCGTGGTAATGGAGTGCACGAGGGTGTCGCCCTGCGCCGAGATGACCATGTGAGCGACAGCTGAAGTCTCCATTGGTCCCGGCGTAAGAGCCAAAGCGTGAAGTGGAGTCGAGCCACGAAGCGAGTGCAGCAGAAGTGTGTTGTCCTTCGAGGCGCTTACTACCACGTCCAAGTCCACGTTGAGAGCCACAGCGACGACAGGACTCGTGTGGCCAACCAAGAGAACCCAAGGAAGTCCGCCCACAGGCAGCTCCTTTTTGAGGAAGAGCCGTCGCGAACGAGACGCCGAGAGCTTTGACAGCGCCCAGACTGACACGGTGCAGTCTTCGCTGCCAAAGGCCAATGCCAGATCACCAGTAAAGTCGTCTTCACTGCGCGCCATACAAAGAATAGGCTTCTTGTGGAAGGCGATCCGCTGCAGGAGCTCGCCGTCGGCGGCCCAGTGGATACGCCAGCTGCCATCCCAGTAGCCGCAACTGATCATTTGCTCGTAGAACACCACACCCTCATTCACCAGACAGCCTGCAGGAAGCTTCCACCATTGGTCCACATCCACCATCGAAAACGGGCAGGAACGCACAGTATCGGGGACCGAGTTCAGATAGCGCTTCGCCAGCACCACACCATCACTGTCTGTAGTGTACACAACGACTCCATGATCGTTGCTGCCGGTGCTGTGAGCTCCCATGCCCGTTCCACTTCCAAGCCCAGGGGTCGAACCAGTCAGCGCAGTGAGTGCCACGGCATGGTTCAGAGCATTTGAGAAGCGCACGCTCTTGACGGCAGCGGTATGCTTGGATGGAAGGTCATGACGACGCACCTGTCGGCGCGAAGACAGAACAGCCATGCTGTGCGATGCCGGGTATCGCGCCTCCAATGATTCGTCCTGCGTCATGCGTGCAGGGTGAGGCTTGCGGAAGAGCTGAATCGGAACTGTGCCGCGCTGAACCAGCTTGGCACGCACTCCATCGCTCGAGGTGCTGAGATCCAAACGCTCTGGGTAGCACGCAATGTGGTACGAGTTCAGCGCGTCCACGGCGGGCGCGCCAGTTTGCTTGTATCCGAAAATGAGGTCGATCCAGTGGTGGAGGTTGTTGGATACGAAGTCGCTCTCGAGCGCTAGGCGATGTAGGCGCACGAATTCGTACGGCGACGCAGCCCACGGAGGTAGCGTCACATCACGCGCTAGACCCGCCGTCGCACTCACATCTTGTCCTGGGGTAAAGTGGCGAGCCAACGTCTTGTTCCGAGCGCTTGAAAACAGCTCCGGCAGGTAGAAGAACTCGGGCGTCAGCTCGAACATGTGACGCTCGTCGCTCGTGACCATCTTGAAGGCTTCAGGCACCGAGTCAAACGTAGGCTCACCGGCTGCCTTGTGGTGGAGCTGCTGCTCCTCGCTGCCGAGGACAGCCCCCGTAAATGGTGCGAGTCGGATCAAGAAGTACAACACGGACTGCATGTTCGAGTACGTATTCGCGTAGTGGAACGCTGGGATCGGCGTCTTCGGGTCCCATCCTTCGTGCGTAGCTCGCGCACGCTGAATAGCTTCCGGCGACTGTGCGCCGATAGGCCGGCGCAAGTCGCGGTAGATATCTTCATCGTCCAAGCGAAGCTCCGCCGATTCATAGTCCTTGATCACCCACGGAAACACAGGATACTGAGAGGGGTCGTTGTAGGAGCGGCCCGCTGACACGTTCAGCGCCATCAGATACTCGAAGTTGCTGATCTCACGCCGCACCCACATCTCCGTCCACTTGCTCTTGGAAAACATTCGTTCGGCTGTCAATAAGCGCTTGCCCCATTTGGCGAGGCACGGCGGCTTCCGCTCCTTCAGTGTGGCATACACGAGGTCAGCCTCGCCGTAGCTTTCAAGTCCAAAGAAGCACGAGCTGCCATCCACGAAGTAGATTTCGAGGCCGTTTTGGCCTTCCATGAGGAAGCGTCGTCGGTGAATTACACGGATCACGCGGACGCCCCACACACGACGCTTGAGCTGTGAGACGTAAGTCTCGTGCAGGCGCTGGGCGCTGCGCTGTCGTGTAGCTACACCGCCATCGTCGTTTGACTTGAACGCGTCAGCAATACTTCGCAGTGTTACCACACGTTCACCTTCAAAAACAATAGTTGCTGCCCCGATACGCAGCACACCGTGCACCAAGACACCTGACGGGAGCACCAGATACGCCTTGGTGCGGTATGGCGACCCCAACGATTTCCATTGGTCGTGCTTGCCGGATTTCTTAACCATTCGCGACGACGTAGTTGGGCCTGAGGAATTCCGATCCGACGGACTGGTGGGTTTCCTTCCGTCGTTACTTAGCGGCGCAGCGCCCTCCTCCCCTGCCGAGTCCGGCGACGTTGAATCCAGAGGACCTTGCTCGTCATCATCTTCTTCTGAAACATTCGAGAGGCGTCCCGAGCCGTCGGGTCCATTCGACGATGTTGACAACGTAGCTGGACGTGCTCCTGCTAGACGCATGATACCCGACGAGAACCTCGTCGATATGGTACCGATGCGACCCTTTGCTGACTTGACAGTCGTCGCCACATCCACGGAGACCGCACGGCGGTCACGGATGGTGGCGTCATCCGTGCTAGCGATATTCTCGCTAACATCAGGGGGAGCGGTTGACAAGAGGTCGGGATTCTGGCCTATGACGTCCAGGCGTGAAGCCGCATCAACAACCTCCCCAACGCTGTCGCTGCTGTGCATTCGGTCGCGCAGCATTGAGCGTGGTGCACCACTATCACTGCCTGCACTAGCATCCAACGTCGTTGGGCCGCTGTCATCATCCAGGTATCCTTCGTCGCTAATGCGCCGCGCTAACCCCACGTACCCCGGCTCCTCGGACTCCGTAGCTTCTGATCCTTCTCCATCTCCACCACTACTGACAGTGCGAGCCTCGTCGTCTTCTTCCTCCTCTTCCTCGAAGGCTTGCTCCGCCGATTCAGCCGATGTCGCCAGAGCCGCATCATCAACGACAATTGAATCCACTGGGGGCATAGCCAACTCGTCCGTCATGTTGTTAAGCATCTCGTGCTTCAGGCTTGCCGAGGCACTATAGTTGTGCGAAATCGTATCGTCCGTGTCCGGCAGCAGGCGGCAACGGATCCAGTTGCTCGACGTGTAAATGTCGACGCGCCAGAATTCGTTGTCACCCCACAGGCCAACGATGGTACCATCATCAGAGGTTACCACAGACTCCTCTCGTACTCCCCACACGTGACGAACGCCCCACTTGGCCAACACGCGCAGCTTCATCCAGTCATCGATATCCTTGGCCTTTACTCGCTCAAGCCAGACGTGGTCCTCTCCTTCGCTGGAAGGTGCACCTAGCGAGGTGGCAGAGCGGGTGAACTTGCTGATTCGCTCGAGTTCACACTTGGCCCGATTCTTTTCGTCGGCTTCCTCATCGAACATGCCAGCACGACGCATCGCTCGGATATCGCGAGCATGTGCCATTTGTTCATGGTAGAAGCAATCGCGACGGCGAACCTCTTGGTTGTTCGTGGTAAAATCATTGCGAGCAAGCAGTTCGGCCAGCTGGTCCGATGAACGAAGCGGCAGAGACACCAAAGAGGCCAAGATGCTCGCAAGCTTCACCGCCGACTCCGACCAGCACTTTCGCCGTACGCGATCGATCAGCGACGAGAGTTCCGGGATCAGCCAGAGCAACAGAGTTGTCTCATCACCGGGGGCAGCCTTCACGCATTCACTAGCTGTGACTAGTCCAGCCGTCGTCGTCATGCCGTTAGAGCCTGAGCGAGATGGAGCGAAGCACGAGTCGAACTGTGCGATCTCGTGGCCCAAACCCATCGCGTTGATAAAGTACTCAAGCTTGTTGATACGCGCGAAAAATACCGAGTTGGCCGGAAGGCGCAGTTTCACCGACGAGAGTTCTTCTGCTTCGTTGTCTTCACCGTTAGTTGACACTTCAACGTCGTCAGAGATGAGTACGAGATACAGGCACCGCAGTAGCAGCTGCAAGATTTGACGCATCGGGCCACCAGGGTGAGGTCGAGCTGAAATGTTGCTTCCTCCAGACAGCGGCGTTGACGGAGAAGTGGTAGTAGGTGCGCTTGCAGCAGCACCGGTAGGCAGCAAGTTGAAGCCGAATCCAAGCATACTCGTCGCAGCATTAGAACGCGCCGAAGATCCCGACGGCGGAGGACTTTGCAGTCCGCACTCCATAGGACGGGGAGGCGTGCTGCCGCGGCGGTTGTGGGCATTGCTAGATCGCCGCGCAAAGCTGGCGTCCGAATCCGAGTGAAAGTGGGATGCAAAGTGCTGCCAAATGCCTAGAATGGAGTCCACCAGCTCGGCTTCATGCCAAATCGCGCGCTCACACTTCCAGAAGACCAAGCTTTTCGTCACATCCTCAGTGGCCGGAGCACTCACTAATTTGCTCGGATCAACTTCGCCCAGCGTGTCAGGGTCGTAATGAAGCACGACAGCTGCCGCCAGTGAAGCTAAACTCTCAGCGTTCCGCCACAAGATGGATTCGCGCGAGGGTGTGCCTTCGTTAATACGCAAATTCATTTCAGCTGACAGCATCTCGTTCATTTTGTCCAGCGTGGTCTTGAGCAGTGACACCACGACCACTTCCAGTTCCTCCGCGGACGCGATAAAGCGCGAAAGGGTAGTGAATGGATCCTGCAATAAGAACCACGCCATCTCGTTCGTCTTCACCTCTAGACAGATCATGGAAGAAATAACGTCGTACGACATGTGCGTAATGAAGTCCACGCATCCGCTAGGCTGGTAGACGGACATCAACTCCACAAGGGCCAGCTTCATACGGCTCGACATGTCATTGAAGCAGCTGGCACTCACACCTTGCTTCTTGCGGTCTCCGTCCCCGTGCAACGCAAGCAAACCACGCACGAAATCGACGTCATCCTGTGTGATGATTGAGTAGAGCGCGTTCACGCGAACTTCGTCCGGCTCCTGCGTATTCAGCACCATGTCTCGCAGGCGGCTCATGGGAACACCGGGGCAGCCACGCAACTCGATACCAAACAGCGATGGTGGAGGAGACGGTGTAATTTCATGCTGACGCTGGGGGTCACCACGCAGACTAAGAATGGCCTCGATAATCGGCACCTGCTCCGTGGTGGACGACTCCGTGGCGGTGCCACCCATATTGGATATACTTCCAAAGATCAGCACATGGCGGTTGATCGCACTGGCCATTGTCGAAGAAGCGAAAATAATCTTCAAATGGCGGATAGCAATCATGCGTATAGTGACAGAGCTGGCACGTACCAAGCCCAAGAACGCAGACATCATGTTGCCGTGCCAAATCGTCGCCGTTGCCAGCACATTTTCGTCAATAAGAGCATCAAACGCCGCGGTTTTACCATCCAGCGCCTTCATGTCCTTCTCAGTCACTTGAATTCCGAGAATCATAAGCAAAATTTCAGAGTACACACCCATCGAAACTGGCCGCTTTTCGGGCTTCAGCGAATGCATGATCAAGTACGCATCGCCCACGGAAAGCTGCACTTTGTCCGGATTGTTCACCATTTCCCGGTCTTGAGTACACTCACACTTCAAGAACAAGTAGGTTCGCAACAGTCGCAGCGTCATAACTCGAATAACATCGTTCGAGAACTCCAGCAGCGGCAGCCAGATACGGAGGCCGCCCAAGCGACCAAAAAGATCCAACATTCCAGCGGGTGCTGTGGGTTGAACCGACAGCTCAATCAATAACTGCAGCAGGTCCGGCAAGTCCGTCTCAGGTACGTTTTCGATGACGGATCCGCCGCTATCGAGGTCACTCTCGGGCATACTCTTCGAGCTTGACGACGAAGCTACCGTTGCGGAGGAGGATGGCCCATTGGATGTTCCAACCTCCTGGAGCGCCGGCGTTCCATCGATGTTCATTCCTGGGATCATGGGATTGCTTGGCTTGCCAATCATGCAGAAGATCAGAGAACGCGTGCTTTCATACGACAACTGGGACTTCACCTCTTTGCCCTTTCCAGGAAAAGCCATAACAGACCCCGCAACCTTCGGCGGGGGCGATTCACATAGTACAATCTGGATCATCGCCAGCACGCGCTTCCGCAACGCATCAATCTCATCCGGGGAGAACTCTCGGGCACGCCGGAGTGTAGTCGACGACGGAACGCGCCAATAAATCCACGATAAACAGCGCAAGAAGTGGCGAGTCGAAGCTGGAGACAAGTTCTTGCTGTCCTTTCGCGTCATGATCTCCAACTTGTCGAACATTGTGTCTTGCAGCTCCACCGGCGCGTTCACCCAAACGCGGAAATTGAACAGCAGGAATTTGTAGATCTCGTCCGCCAGAATTCGATCCGAGATGACAGCGCTGCGTAACCGCTCGATTGCGATCAATAGATCCGCCGTCAGGTACTGCGGCGGAAGCGAACGCATCAGCAGAGCCATGAGGCGCACACCTTGACTGCGACGAAAGATAAATTTGTTGACAAGCGAATGGCGCATGATCTCGGCGATCAGCAGCACAACTTTCGGGATACTGTGGACACCCATTGGACGTGCAATCAGGTCACTCATTTGTTTTAGAAAGTCCGAATCCTCGTCGAACTGCGTTGTCAAAGCTCCACTTGCGGCGGACAGGCTGTCCCTGATCGCGGGGGACGCCTCTGATACGTGCTCTCCATTGGAATCTGTAACAGGAGCATTCACAGTCGAGACAGCAGCGGTTGTAGACGTCACGAGCAACGGAAGGCATACCAACGGTCCACCTAACTGCGCCACCGCTTGCTTGAACGTCCCGGCATGGCGCAAACGAACTCCAGCACTTGCAGCAGCTGCGTGATAGTCATTACCACTAGAATCGTAGCATAATCCCTTTAGTCGGTCGCAATGCCTGGCATCATATGCAAGCAGCAGTCCGTCGGTAGTATTCGACCCTCCGGGCGTTCCCGGCGCTCCACTGACTCCTCCACCAGATGACGTCGACGACGACGAGATGTACGAGTTGAACTGGAACACCAGCGCGTCATACTCGTCCACGCTGCGAATATTGTTGATAATGCTGGCCGGTAGAGCCTGTCCAAACAGAGCCGTGGGGCCGAGAAGAATACGCAGCGCGTTGGAGCCATTGCTCTCGCGCATGGCCAGATACGCCTTCACGACGGGCGCCATGAGCGCCGTGTTCGGGTACGCCAGGCGCACGCTCTGGCGCAATTCCCCGTTGAGATACACGTCCAGCTTGGATCCGCGGAACTGGCGGTGCGTGTGCGTGATACACAGGAAGTGCCACCGTCCGGGCGTGACCAGGTCGGGCACCTCGACGTGTCCGTCGTTCTTGCGCTTGTCGAAGCTCGTGATCATGAGCGACGAGCGCAGGAAGGAGCACATGATGCCCACGCCCGTCTTGCCGCAGAACGTGAAGAGCGGCGCGACTTCTTCGGGCAAAAACTCGAACTTGATCCACGCGCAGAAGGTGTAGCCATTATTCGGGAAGGCCGGCAGCACGGGCATCAACAGGCCCGAGAACTCGCCGTTGAGGTCGAAGAAGGACGCGGGCCCGAACGAGTCGCGCGCGATCATCTCGAGCGTCGACAGGTAGTAGCTCACGGCCTGGTCGTCGGGCTCCTCGTGCACCATGCGCATGCTGCGGAAGACCGCGAGCATGGCCTGGATGTCGTCGATGCTCACCGAGTGGTAGGCCAGGTACAGGAAGAGCCGCAGCAGCTTCTTGAGCACTGTATGGGGCAGACTCGGGTCCGCGAAAAGGCCGCGCTCGCTCAGGAAGCCCAGGATCTCGCGCTGCAGGCCGGCGGTGGAGCACGCCTCCACGTTGCCGCAGCTGCTGCGCACGAGGCTGATGAGCGCCTCGAGCGCGCGGACCTGCTCGCCCTCGTCCAGCACGCCCACGATGTGCGAGAAGAGCGTCTTGAGCCGCGACGGCCGCCGGATCTGCAGGCGCGTGGCCTCCGTCTCGCTGTACTCCTTCCCGCCCACTGCCGCAGCATCAAATTAAACAATAATTATTATGATGCATACAAGGCATAAAGAGATGATTGGGTAGCCGCTGACGTACGCAGCTCCCGCAGGAAGACGGAGACGGCGTCCTGCGCCTCGACGAGCTCCATGGTGGGGAGGGGCTGGCTGGCTGGCGGATCGATCGATCGGGGAGGGGGAGGCGCTGATTGGGAACTGATGCAGCGCTGCAGTTGACCCTTCCTTCACTGCTGCGCTAATCCCCGGAGCTGTGAGCCTGTCCACCACACTCGCAAATGGCTTGCTTCTTCCCCCGGCGGGTTTGGCCGCCATACAAATCGCCAGTGCTCGCAAAACCCGCCGCTCCTCTGCAGCTCCTCGGGATTGGCCGAGCGTGAGATGGATACATTTTTAAGGTGGTGGCCTGTGGACGCTACGTGTGACTAGAAGCTAGAAGCTAGAAGCTAGAAGCTAGAAGCTAGAAGCTAGAAGCTGAGCGGCTTGGCCAGCAACGTCTGGATGAGCTTGCGCAGCGCGTTGAGCTCCTTCTGCTCGATGAGCTCGAACTGCCGCACGAAGAGCACGAACCGCTTGAAGCAGAAGTTGAGGTGCGCCTCGGCGTGCAGCGCCACGTAGTTCTGCAGGTGGTTGTGATACATGTGCGCGTAGACCCGGAAGAGCCGCTTGAGGATGTTGCGCGCCGCCCGCATGAACTTGGGGTTGCACTCCGCGCTGCCGCTACCGCTGCTGATGCTTGTGCTGCTGCTGCCTGCAGTGCTCGAGGCCTCCGGGAAGAGCTGCGGGTCGTCGAGCTGCGCCTCCACCCACCCGAGCAGCCGCGCGACGTACTCGGACGCCGGCAGCGAGATCGGCGTCACTTGCTGCACGCCGTCCGCCCAGAGGTACGTGTAGCACGGTCCTGCCGACATCTGCGGGCACGAGCTGTGCGTGCAGAACTCGGAGATGGTGCCGTACAGCAGGCTGATCTCGTTGAAGAAGTCGATCACGTGGACGGCGACCCACTCGTCGAGCTGGCAGCCCTCGGGCAGCTGGATGCAGTCGGCCAGGTCGAGGCCGCACGCCATCGAGTCTTTGATGTAGCGGTGCAGGTTCCACGTGCGCGTTCCGGAGACGTGCTTCTTGCGCGGACAGATACTATGCTCCTGGTTGAGCACGTGGTTGGGCATGACCCGGATGGGGTCGCTCGCTTGGAGCTTCTTGGGAGGAGCGATTGCTGTCGGGAACCGCGGAGACGGCGGCTTCTCGCTGCGAGCGGGGTCTTCCGAGTGCTTGTCGTCCGCGTTGTTGTTGCTGTCGTTGTCACTGTCGCTGGAGCTCTCGGCGGCATCAGTTTCGTTGGTCCGCTCCTCGCTCACTTCGAGTCGAGTCTGCATCAACTGCTGCTGCGCCTTCTTCTCGGTCGCAAGAGCGCGATACCCTCCCAAGTGCCTCTGGAGAGTCGTGACTTCTGCTTGCATCCATTTGGCAGTGAGGATCTGGTGCTGGAGCAGTAGCTGTACACCAACATTCCAACAACGGCAAATGTAAGACAACCGCAGAGATGGTGGTATCGACAAAAGCCGGCACATTCTACCTTTTCGATGGACTTCCCAGCAAGCTCGGGTAGGTCGTTGGCCAGTACAGCCGCAACGTCCGCAAACACCTCGTTGTCGATCTCTTTGAAGCGTGCGAGGGCGACTTGATACTTGCTTCGGTTCTGCGTGAAGCAGCAAATGAACGAGTTTAGTCTTTTGCGCTGAGCTGATCAGCCACTTTTCACTACTGAGACTCACGCGTCGTAGGCGGGAGGACTCGGACCGCGTCGTCGACTGGATCTCCTCGAGTTTTCTCTCATATCGAAGCATGACGCTCTTGGCGCTGTTGCGGTGGTCGCACTTCAGCTACGCAAAACCAGAACAAGCGTCAGTCGATCCGCAGTCCAACAGACTATGGCACAACTCGTGCTCGCACCTTCAGCTGCGGGATATCAGCCAGGATAGTCTGCAGGGGTGCGATCGAGCTCGTCCTGAACGTTGTGACATCCGCCAGCAGCTTGCGTGCTTCTGACGCTGTCACTTGCTGCTCAACGCCTTCACCACCATACAAGTTATGGACACACGAGGCTAATTCGCGGCTGGAGGCAACGATTTCTGAATGGGAACGGGGCGGTTGGCACGGAAAAGTCAGACGTTGCAACTGCAACAATGATATGGTACCCCCCAGTGCAATTGCGCGACGGTACCGCAAATGGCTTGGCAGTGGCGTGACAGCTTGTTGATCGTGTCCTTCAGTCCAACTGCACACACAAAAGATCAACGTTAGACCTTCTTATCCGATGTCCTTGCGTTGCTTTGGCTGCACGTATCACCTTCGAAGCGCTCGAGCCGCACGACCATCTCGGCGAACTCGGTGTTGCGGTTGCCATTGCTGTCGGCTTCGGGCTTCTTGGCCGCACTGTGCCCAGTGCTCTCACCGCTGTGGAAGAGCTTGCGCAGCATGTTGGCCGTAGCAGCTCCTTTCTCCTGTGGGAATAAATAAATGGCTTAATCAGTGCATCAAACCATTCCTAAAATGGCTGCGAAGTTGACCAAGAAATCACTTCCCCACCGAAAATCCACCACGTTCCCCTGTGGTGCCCGTAGCAGTGAAGGAGTATATTAAGCACAGCGGCAACAAGGGTGTTCACAGTGGAATTGTTGACACCGCGGTCTAGAAGGAAGAGAGGGGCGGTGCTCTTCTAAGGCTCCTCTCTCCTCCCTTCGCTCCGTCCAACTCCAGCTACTGCGCGCTGCCGAAAAGAGAGTCGATACACGGGCCTGTAAGGTCCGCCGTCCCTCCCTCAGCGCGGTGACTCACGACCGCTGCACTTCAACTTGACCATTACTCGCGCCTCGTACTTATGGCGGAGACTGTGCCACACACTTTGTAACGCACGGGGGAGGGCACCTGCATCTCGGTCTGCTGCCTGTCATGCTGCCGCACCGCGTTCCCGTGGCGACGTCCAGGCGGCTGCGCTCGCCGCCGCGCCAGAAGGTCCTGTACTACGTGCTGTGCCTGCTGGGCGTGGCGGCGGTGCTGCAGATGCTGCGCTTCCTGTACGGCAAGTGCGATACCCGCGCGCACATGTCGACGCTGCTGACCAAGACGTCGCGGATCCTCAAGCGCAACAACGTCGAGTACTGGCTGGACAAGGGCACGCTGCTGGGCGTGCACCGCGACGACGGCCTCATCCCGTGGGAGTACGACGTGGATCTCGGCGTCATGAACGCCACGTGCGCCGAGATCTCGGCGCTCAAGGGCGAGTTCGAGGCCGTCGGGCTCACGGCCTACGACCGCCAGGACGCCATTCCGCACAAGGTCAAGCTCACGTACGACACGGAGAACCACGAGTTGTACTGGTCGGACCCGCGGCTGCACGACCCGTGCATCCGCGTGTACGACGCCACGGACGTGGGCACGTGGGTGGACATCTACTGGTACGTGGAGCTGACGCACGAGCAAGTGGCGGCCGACCGGGAGAACGTGCTGGTGCCGCCGGGCTACGACGAGGAGGACAGCCTCGTGTGCTGCTCGGAGGGTCTGCAGGCGCACACGGAGCACATGTGCTGCGGCGGCTGCGTGCCGCGCAAGTCGCTGTTCCCGCTGCAGCAAAAGTTCGTGAACGTCCACGACGGCGTCGACCCTGTGCAGGAGCAGCCAGTGCCAGCCGCAGTGACACAGTTCCTATCGATCCAGTACGGCGAGAACGCATTGACGAGCCGCGAGATCAAGGTAAATGAAGACTTCTGGGCGTTAGGATACCTTGTCCGTGGTGCTGACTGACTGACTTGACCCCGTGTGGTAATGCAGGGCTGGAAGGGCGTGGTGTGCGGCTTCTGGACGAGTCCGCTGCTATTTATGGTGCACCTGGCGCTGCTGAATGGCGCGCTGGTGGCGCTGGTCCTGTTCTACCGCCGTCGGTGCGCCAATGGCAGCTCCAAGCGGCGGAAGCTCTAGCGCGGGCGCAAAGGCGCCGCTTGCAGTGCAAGTTGACAAGAGCAGGACAAGCAAGATACGCACGTGACAGCGAGTCCCGGAGCGAGTGGCTGGTGTGCACCGAGCTCTGGAGCTCTGGACTGCAGCGGGCAAGCTCCGAGTGCTACTATGGACTTGGTTTCAGCGAGCCCGCAAATGTCGCGGACCCGGCGTCGCAGGGGATCTTCATTGCTGTGCTGTGGATGCATTGCGGTCGTCGCGCGGCGCCAGGGAGCGAGCGGGTCGTCCAGCACCACCAGCGACGCCGAGAGTTTATAGCAAGCCGCTGCACGATCGTCCAATGCACGCACGCGAACCAAGCAAACTGAGCCTGCGCTTGTTTTTCTATTTTTAGGCGATTGGTTTCGTTCGCGCGTTGCAAGTACACAAGAGCGAATTTCGTTCGAGCTCACTCCTTTTGGCTTCAATTCTCGCAGGCGCTCTCAATCTGTAATTGGAGTTGTGCTACGTAGTATATGCTTTCTAAAAATGGCAGTGCCAATCAGCGCATTTGTTTCGAAGGGTATAAGTTATCACATCGAGGTGTGGACCCACCTCCTGTCTCTCGCGCCGTCGCGAGCAAACAACCGTCATTTCCCAATTGAGCACAAGCAGTCGCAGTCGCTGGCCGACTCCGATTCACTCGCTCACTGACTGGCTTGCACACACACACACTCAAGCGCGCCGCCATGGACGAGGAGTTCTCTACGCCGCCGCGGCGTCACAACCCCAAGCGGCTGCAGCGCAAGGCCGAGTCGTCGCCCGAGGTGCTCGAGCAGATGCAGCGCCACAAGCGCGAGATGAACCTCACGCGCGAGCTCATCGACTTCGACCTGATCAAAGGGTGCGTCAGCCAGCAGCTGCCGTCTACGGTATCCTTCTTCTTCTGCTCCGACTTGGTGCTAATGCTGATGTGCTGTTGCTGCTGTTAGGTCGGCGCTGTTCCACACAAAGCCCTCCAGTCACGACCGCAAGCTCGTGCAGGAGGGGCTCAGCCGCGCGCTGTTCGTGCCGTTCCACGCCAAGTTCTGGCAGCAGAAGCCCTGGTTCTACGAGATGGCCACGGCGCTCTACGCACTGCACGTGGTGGCCGTGTGCATCTACATCTTCCACCACAAGACCACGTCAGCGCACAGCTCGTTTGAGGTGTTCTTTCCCATATTCCTGCTGCTGCTGGTAGCGATCGGCTACGGCCGCGTGACCAGCGCATTGCAGGCACCAGACGCGGACCCGGCGCTCAAGATCCTGTCCCCCATCATCAAGCAGGCCACGGAGGGCGTGTGCAGCTCCGAGTCCGAGACTTCGCACACGACGTCGGGCTTGGGATCGGGTTTGGCCGAGTCGGAGAACTCGGACGGCACAGATAGTGACGAGGACAGCGGCAACTCGTCGTCTTCTAGCGACGAGTCGAACCCCAACGACGACATGTTCCCGCACAAGAGCAACTCCGCGCCGACATCTCCCAAACGCGTACGTCTGTCTATTTGCTGGTTCTGTGGCTTGAGGTGCAAGTTGCAAACTGACATGTTCCCATGCCGACGCAGGTAATAAGGCGGGGGTCTTCCCCAATTGGCAAGCCGCCGATGTCATTGCCGCCTCGAGTCCCGTTGGCGCTGAACGGGGGATTGGATCGTGATAGCGTGGTGGATCAGCTCGCCAGAAGGCGCGTCACCGTGTGTGTATGGGAAGATGGCTTTCCTGTAAAGCGAGCAATGTCCATCACTGAGCTGCGGAATACGATTCTTGCCAAGGTGAGAATCCATGCCATTGTGTATCCAGCTAACTTAAACTAGTTATAGCAGGAGCATCGATTGCTGTTGTACTGGTATCTTACACGCGTGGTGTGTTATGGCCATATTCAGGTGAAAGCAACGCCGACGCGGATTTTCTATCGGAAGGTTGCACAGGTCTCAGCGATAATGCTGGCGCTGGTGCCGATCGCACTGCGGTGTGCGATTAAGTGTCAGGATGTCGACTGCCTTGCGGTGACGCAGGAACCGCTCGAGGTGCTCTCGTGGATGGCACAGTTGTCCAGAGAGCTCTCGGTAGACCGCTTGTACGTCCATGCCGAAGACCTCGCATCCGGTGCATCGTTCATTGCCATCTCGTGCATGCTGTCGACGTACTTCATGGCGTCCATCATTTTCGACGCGCTTGCGGATGCCGAAGTCACGTACCACCGTCGATTCCTGTAAGTATCTGCGTTTTGCATATTTGTGCGTGCGAAATGGAGCGCTTACGCGTGTGCTGGTGTTATTGGATCATTCAGATACGCTAAGTGCTTTACAGCGCTGACGTCGTCACGGCGCTCGCGTTTGGCGAACCTACCGCATTTCCGTCTGAAGAACGTGGTCAACATCAAGGCGTGGATCTCGCTCCGCGGTGGACGCACTTGGCTCAAGCGCCAGGGTCGCCAACGCGCGGCCGATGAAATTGTGTCCTCGTCTTTTGTGGTCATCCTCGTGCTCCTCGTGGTCATGGGCATGCAGGCTGTATCGGACGGATCCGGCTCGCTCTCGTCCGAGAGCATCGTTCACATCGAAGTGGCTATCTGGTGCATGCTGTCCTCGTACGTTGCGTGGCTTCCTCGTTGTGGGGTTGCTCTCGCGCTCACTGACCAGTGTGTCTGTCGTCTTTTGATCTGCGCGCGCAGTGTGTTCATGTTGCGTTTCATGATGCTAGGCTCCAACATCAACAAGAAGTACCAGAACACCTCGCTGCTTCTGACAGAGCAGGTTTGTGCTGTTTGATGTTCGGAATCACTTGAGTGTTGCGTCGTCACGTGGTACTAAGCTGGCTTACCGCCTTGCTGCCGTGGAACAGATGAACGTTTACCTCCGTCTGCTGGCGAAGCCTCACAAGAAGGAGAAGCTGCTGGTCTCCAACAACGTGTTGAAGCTCGCGTGCAAGCTGCTGAAGGTCCGTCCGTCTGTCTGTCTGAAGTGTGTAGCAAGCGAAGCAGCTGAACGCTCGGAATTCGCTGACGTTTGTGTCTTCTTGTTGTCTCCTGCAGGAGCTGAACTCGCCCAACAAGGTGTCGGGCTTGACCATGAACCCGCTCCTGTACAACCTCACGCGCGTGGTGGTCTTATCCGCCTTCTCGTCCACGGCCTCGGACTTCTTCGGCTTCAAGCTGAAACTCTGGAAGCTCAAGGCGTAGGCAGTCGACGAAGGACGTCGGCAGAATGAGATGGACAGGCGGGTCGGAACGATGGAGAGATGCACAAGAGGACGATGTCGTTGACCAGGACAAGCAGCCAACTAACACGCAGTTGAAGCGAACGAGTCGCGCCGCAACTTGGCGCGCGACTCGCCTGCTTTCTGTACTATACAACCAACACAAAACACCAAGTGCCCCAGAGCACTTACAGCAGCGCTGGCCCCTACATACTGCGAGCGAGCGTGGCATGCGGCGAGCGCCTTTATCTCGTCGGTTCGACTAACGGATCCGAGCGATATATCGGCGGCGGCAACGCACGTGTAGGGCGACGACGTCTCGATAGATAAAGCACACACACGACACAGTAGCATTCAGTACCCTCACACATGGTCTCCCGGCTTCCGGCTCGCTTTTGATACAGTGCATTTGCTTACGGTTCGGTAGCAGGATGTGTTGCTGCAGGACCGCTTGCCCCCCGCTCACCGATGCAACGACTGTGGTGAGTCGACCCTGGCGTCGTAAGGTCAGCGCCGGAATCGAGCGCGATAAGCGTAAGAAGAGCGTGATGTGTGAACCATTGCGTCTTTTAAGTTACCTAACTAGAGTACGTGGGCCTTCCGTTGAGACCTGGGGGTAGTAGTAGTTAAATGATGGGCGTCTAGAATGGGGGCGTCGGGAACTCGCGCGACGTGCGCAGCAGCAGGGACTCGAGCTTGGACGGCTTGGTGGGGCAGATGGGTGTTCGGTCCACCTCGGCATCTGCGACCCCCATGACCTGCGGTTCCTCGGCGAACGACACGCGCGTGTGCGTGCGCTTAGGCGCCTGGGCGGGCGCCTTCTGCAGCGTGTCCACCATGGCGTGGTCCACTTTGAGGCGCTGGTACTTGAGCGTGAAGCGCTTCATGTACGAGTCGGCGGCCAGCAGGAAGGGCAGCGCCTGCTCGGGCTTGTTCTCGTGCCACAGCTGGGCGCCGCGGTCGCGCGCGATGGACATGGCGCGCCAGAGCACCGAGATGTCGCGGCTGCTGGCGTCGAAGCCGCTGAGCAGCGGGAACTCGCTGACGGCGGACGGGCTGGCGGGCGGCGAGCTCACGGCCTCCTGCGCCTGGATGAGCGCCATGGTCCACATCTGCTCGGCCTTCATGTGCAGCGTCTCGTGGCGCTCGGTCTGCTCCAAGAGCTGCGTCATGCGGCTACGCGCGAGCTCGAGGAAGCGCACGCACGTGTGCTGCTCGTACACGCCCATCTCCTTGAGGATGGCCAGCTCCTTGGCGATGGCGAAGAGGTTGCGCTCCATCACGACGCTGTTCATGTCCGAGGCCCAGGCCTCCACGAGGATCATCTTGAGCTTGAGCTGCAGTGAGAGGCCCATGAGGCTGCGGCGCAGCAGCTCCTCGCTGCCGTGCGGCTTGCTGGCGGTCGCCGCCGTCGCCGCCGTCGTGTGCTGCAGCGCGGCGCGCACGGGGCTGGCGGCCATGGCGCGCGGGGACATGCTCAGCGGCATGGCCAGGATCTTGCTCGAGTCCACGGGCTCGATGCTGCGGCGCCGCTTCTTGCTGGCGGTCGCGGTCGTGTCGGCGAGCGGCAGCACGGTCATCATATTACGGGAGGGGGGGAGGCCTCGCCTGAGTTACGGCAGCGGCAAGTTCTATCGAGCTCGACCTTTAGGAAGTGAGTGCGAGTGCAGCCGCCGGCCGTGGATTCTCGGACCAGCCAGTCATACAGACAGCCAGTGTGCGCGGAAGGGTAACGGCCAGAGCCGAGCCACGCCTTGATACCGCGCTCGCTGTCACTGGTGGATTCAAAGAGCAGGTTTCGGGCTCTCGCTTACGCCCCTCCGGCTCCCTCTCAGTTGCTGCCTGCCTGCTGGCGACAGGTCAGCGAGTGCTGCGGCAACCAGCGCCGCCGCCACCGCCGCCACTACATTAGAACCGGGACGAGGGCTGCGCGCAGATGTGCATACCGGTATGCGGCCTCGCTCCATCAGGTTGGTAACGCGGCAGCGGCTCGGACGCGCGCCGGCTGGGCCGACTCCACCCACGCCCCCACCCTGCAGCCCGGCGTAAACCATCCGCGACTATCCGACTTGGAATCAAGCCGCGCTGTGTGTGATCTCGGCTGCAACATTCAGACCCCGGTTCACAAGTCGCAGACACGCGTTCTCGGAGGTTCCTGCGCAGCCGGGATTGGCTCATAAAAGCTCATTCCCGTGGAAACCGATGCATCGTCAACGTCGGGGACATGCATACTGGCAGGTTTTTGAGAGCGGTGGGAGTCGGAATGTGCCGGATAGCTGGGGCATGCGGTACCGCTCCGATGTGCTCGATTGACTGACTAATTGCCGGGCTCCGGCAGAGCCTCAGAGCTCAGTGCCGACACCTCCCTCCGCCGCCGCATACTTTGCCGCCAGAAACATGGCCTGGCCCGCCGATACGCGCGTGCGTTGGGCATTTTCTCATGCAGCCGGCGGCCGCCGCCCGGTCAGCCGCCGAGCCGCGCTTATCCGGCCTGAGCTGCAGCTCTCTGCTGGCGAGATGACTTTTACACGTCATGCCTCCAACGTGCACCTTCCCCCGTCCTCGTGGCGCGCAAAATGTATCAATTCACTGCAGGGGGATTTTCAATTGATACTTTCGACTCGACGCCACTGTAAGCGAGACCCTAGGGCTACACTCTGTAGCTGCATTGTGGTCGGCGCCGTCGGCCCGAGCCGCGCTTGATTCAATGAATTACAGTGTACAGCGGGGTGGCGAGCAGCAAATGTAGCGGCGGCAGCAGCAAGGTGGTCGACACCTCCGCCCAGGATATCAGATCCCTCGTCGCCAAGTTGCACTTGCCCGAGTGTGCACACCTCGCGCCTGCGGGCAACAGCAACGTTAGCTGAAGACGAGCGCGGCGCTGGAAGTTCAGACTGTTCGTGCCGGTGCGAAGGCGCGTCAGTTTATTGGGGCGAGTTACAGGTGCTCCATCCCCCCCGCCGCTCGGAGGCCCGTTAGGTCACGTGCCGCATTCGCCGGCCATGCCGCCGGGCAGATCCGGTCCCGCCGCGTACATACATACTGTACTGAGCCGGGAAGAGAGGCGGCGAGGACTCCGGGTGTATCGCAGCCCGCTTCTTATCGACTGGCTTGCCGCGTCGCCGAAGACGCGCAGATAAACAGTGCCCGCGCGAGAGCTCGACTCGAGTCCGATCGCACTTTCTCTTTCGGTCTTCGGCGCCGAATCTCAGAGACACATCGTGCTCAGGGCGTCTCTGCATCAGCGTGAGCCATTTCGAGCGCGTTGCGCAATGCCAACCGCGATGCGGTGCGCTCCCGCATTGCTCCGCGCTCGCGGCAGTCCGGCTTTCAGCGCCGCCCATCGGAGCTCCGTTATCATCGGTGGCTACGCCAGCGATTAAATTTTTCTGTACGCGCACTGTATGTTGAAGCGCGCGAATGGCTACGTTGTTCGTGCCGACGCAAGCGCTGCGAGGAGCTCACTCAGTACTGCCCACCCAAGCGCGTTATGCCACGAATGCCAACCAGCACTACGGTAGGATGACATTCTTCCGAGCGAAAAGAAGCAGTTGCGCCAGACGACGCGGGTCTCAAGTTCCAGCGTCCGTCGAGCTCGAGTAGGGACAGATCTTCTGCGTAATGCAGCTAACAATGTTGCCTGTGGGCCGCTAGAAAGCTACAAGTATCCGGGGGTTAGTGGTCACGCTTGGCAGGCACAAGGCTTAAGCACCAGCTACAAGAGGATCTATAATACTAACGCAATCTTGTCCTGCTTAAGTAGAGTGTAGCTGGGCAAGCAATATGAGACTTTGTACAGTAAAAGTATTGATGCTACTGTATCGTTTACTACATGTATCACGCACTGCATTATATTTTTTGTTCATGTCGTCGAAGAGCACAGTAGCACTGATTTTTTTGGCTGAGATGCTCATTGGCACTTCCCTGCTTCCTCCCCTCCGTCAAACGAAATGGTGCGTTCGAAAGCAACTGCGGTTTACCCACACTCCGTTGAAAATTGTATCCCTGCTTTAGGGCCTAAAAATATCGACGCGTATGATTTTTTGTCATTTTTTTCCGAGCGGTGTATATTTGCTGGGAGCTTGTGTGAAAATAAACGTGCTAGACGTGTTTTTTCTTCCTACAAGCAAAAATCGCTCATTTTTGACTTTTTACAAAACGCAACTATTTAAAAAGGAAAACAAATTTTAAAGGAAAATAGCACCTTTGTCTCACGGATACTAAAGTGGTCATTGCAATAATACCTTAGAGCATCTCCAACGGTAGTGCAAATTGCAAAAGTGATAAGGCAAAGTGAAGGGTCCATTGGCAACATAAACAGGAAAACACGTCTAGCACGTTTATTTTCACACAAGCTCCCAGCAAATATACACCGCTCGGAAAAAAATGACAAAAAATCATACGCGTCGATATTTTTAGGCCCTAAAGCAGGGATACAATTTTCAACGGAGTGTGGGTAAACCGCAGTTGCTTTCGAACGCACCATTTCGTTTGACGGAGGGGAGGAAGCAGGGAAGTGCCAATGAGCATCTCAGCCAAAAAAATCAGTGCTACTGTGCTCTTCGACGACATGAACAAAAAATATAATGCAGTGCGTGATACATGTAGTAAACGATACAGTAGCATCAATACTTTTACTGTACAAAGTCTCATATTGCTTGCCCAGCTACACTCTACTTAAGCAGGACAAGATTGCGTTAGTATTATAGATCCTCTTGTAGCTGGTGCTTAAGCCTTGTGCCTGCCAAGCGTGACCACTAACCCCCGGATACTTGTAGCTTTCTAGCGGCCCACAGGCAACATTGTTAGCTGCATTACGCAGAAGATCTGTCCCTACTCGAGCTCGACGGACGCTGGAACTTGAGACCCGCGTCGTCTGGCGCAACTGCTTCTTTTCGCTCGGAAGAATGTCATCCTACCGTAGTGCTGGTTGGCATTCGTGGCATAACGCGCTTGGGTGGGCAGTACTGAGTGAGCTCCTCGCAGCGCTTGCGTCGGCACGAACAACGTAGCCATTCGCGCGCTTCAACATACAGTGCGCGTACAGAAAAATTTAATCGCTGGCGTAGCCACCGATGATAACGGAGCTCCGATGGGCGGCGCTGAAAGCCGGACTGCCGCGAGCGCGGAGCAATGCGGGAGCGCACCGCATCGCGGTTGGCATTGCGCAACGCGCCCGAAATGGCTCACGCTGATGCAGAGACGCCCTGAGCACGATGTGTCTCTGAGATTCGGCGCCGAAGACCGAAAGAGAAAGTGCGATCGGACTCGAGTCGAGCTCTCGCGCGGGCACTGTTTATCTGCGCGTCTTCGGCGACGCGGCAAGCCAGTCGATAAGAAGCGGGCTGCGATACACCCGGAGTCCTCGCCGCCTCTCTTCCCGGCTCAGTACAGTATGTATGTACGCGGCGGGACCGGATCTGCCCGGCGGCATGGCCGGCGAATGCGGCACGTGACCTAACGGGCCTCCGAGCGGCGGGGGGGATGGAGCACCTGTAACTCGCCCCAATAAACTGACGCGCCTTCGCACCGGCACGAACAGTCTGAACTTCCAGCGCCGCGCTCGTCTTCAGCTAACGTTGCTGTTGCCCGCAGGCGCGAGGTGTGCACACTCGGGCAAGTGCAACTTGGCGACGAGGGATCTGATATCCTGGGGCGGATGTGATTGGCTGAAGTTGTTGAAGTTGTTGTCGACGTTGCTATAAATGGCTGCTCAAAAATACCAAACTGTTGCTGCTGTCGATAAATAAAACTGGGGAGAGAGTGACGCTGCACCAACGAGCAGGTAGGCAGAAGGTTTGGGATGCTGGAGAAGAACGTCATGGGGCCCGAAGATGCCGAGCGCTCCGCCGTGAGAGATAAGAGTGATGCCGCCGACCGCGAGACGCCAGCACCGTCACCTCCAGATGGAGAAGAAGCCAAGGCTGATGTGACGGAGACTGAGGCCAAGGTGCTGGCGGTGGCGTTCCCAATGGCACCAATCGATCGCTACGGCTTCCTCGTCACCGACAAGTGAGTACATACCAGGATGAACTGATGCACGAAATTTGTCCAATGCTGACGCTGCTGGATTGCAGGCGCTACAACGGAGGCCACACGGCTCCCAACGCGTACAAGCACGCGGTGTGGCTCGAGAACCGACGAACGCAGAAATGGGTCAAGATGATCGGCAAGCAACTCGAGGACTGGGAGGTCTGCCAGCTGCGGTATGCGGCCACACTCAAGAAGCGCATCCGCAAGGGCATCCCAGAGGCGCTGCGTGGTCGCGTTTGGAGCCATCTGGCTGGATCGTCGCAAATGCTACTGAACAATCCAGGTGCTTACCACCAACTGCTACAAACGGCTCGGGTGCCGTGTGAAGAGACCATCGCGCGCGATATCGGGCGCACATTTCCTCGCCACTCGCTGTTTCGCGACCGCTCCTCGCTGGGCCAATGCGCTCTGATGAATGTGCTGAAGGCGTACTCGTTGCACGACCCAGAGGTGGGCTACTGCCAAGGCATGGGCTTCCTCTCAGCTATGTTTCTGTGCTACATGCCAGAGCAGCAGGCCTTCTGGCTGCTCGTGGCGTGCCTAAACCACAAGCGCTACGGGCTGGCCGACCTCTATCGCCCCCGCATGCCAAAGGTTCCCGAAGTAACCTTCGTCTTCCAGGGGCTTTTCAAGCAGATTATGCCTCAACTTTCGGCCCACCTTGAGAACGAAGGCTTGCACCCGACGATGTACCTGACGCAGTGGTTCCTCACTCTCTTCACCTACAATTTTCCGTTCGAGTTCGTCACTCGGGTCTGGGACGCCTTCCTCCACGAGGGCTGGAAGGTTATCTATCGTGTTGCGCTCGCGCTGCTCAAGGTTTCACAAAGTAAGAGTTGTGGTTTCGTCGCGAATCCCCCTCTGCCTATGCTAACCTCAACTTGCGTTACTCTTTGCAGAGACATTGCTGAGTTCCAAGTTCGAAACCATCATGGAGTACTTCCGGGATCTCCCCAACAAGGTACGCTGTGTGTACAGTAAGATATGCCCCTGCCTGCATTATGCTCATTCTGTCACTGCTGGACTGCAGGTGGACAGCGACGAAGTTTTGACAGCAGCGTTCCGGTTGCCGATCAAGCGGTCGCAGATCACGCACATGCTGGAGAAATACCACAGCTCGTCAGCTGCCTCGTGAGCTATTAGGAGTACAGACTCGGAACAGTTATCTCGATACCTTTTGCGAATATGTATGGATGTATGTCGGAATTGCCTCAGCATCATTCAAAGGCAGAGCTCTCATATATTATCTACAGCGAGACATTGGGGGAACTCGCTGAGTACACGAAATACACATCTACATGTAGTCACCTAGTCTTGCTTGAGGGTCGTGGAAGCTGCGGCGTTCGTGGCGAAATGCTTCTTGAGTCGGGGCAACACGAGGCCGCCCACGGCCGCCACCACAATGAGCTGCACTGTGGTGGCCGTGTCAATGATGTCCCCGCGCGAGCGCAGCTCACGCAGGATGAGGCCGGCCTTGCAGCTCAGGAAGTTGTACGGGATGAGGCCGATGAGCGGGCCCAGCGTGAACTGGCCGAGCGGGATGGCCAGGTGCGGCGACGCCATGTTGATGAACCAGTTGGGCGTGAACGGGAACACGCGCAGGAAAATCATGTACAGCGCCATCTCGTCGCGGTGCGCGTCCAGCATGCCGCGCAGCGTGTCCAGCTTGCGCGGGAAGAAACGCGTGACCACGCGGCGGCCGAAGTGGCGCGACAGCAAGAACATGAAGACGGAGCCCAGCGTGTTGTAGGCCAGGCAGAGCGGGAAGCCCAGCGTCACGCCGAACAGTGCGCCGCCCAGCAGATTGAAGAACACGGTGCCCGGGATGGCGAACGTCTGCAGGTACAGGTAGCAGCCCATGTGCGCGAGCAGCAGCGCGCCCGGCTGGCGCTCCGAGAAGCTCTGCAGCGTCTCGCCCAACTGCTGCGCCGCCTCCAGCGACGTGGGCAGCCGAAGCGCCGCCCACTCCGCGTCCGTGAGCGCCGAGACCACGAGCGAGTGCAGCGTCACGCCCAGCAGCGCCGAGCTGGCCAGGAAGATCACGCCCACGAGCTGCACGTCGCGCTGCCAGCCCTGCGGCGGAGGCGACGAGGCGAGAGCGACCTTGTCGACATCACTTGCGATGGCGTCTTTGTCTGCGGCGGCAGCGAACGCGGGCGAGGACTCCGGCGCGTGCGGGGGCATGGCTGCGGACAGAACGCGACCTTCTTCTTGGACGCCAGTTTGGGAATGAGAAGGCTAATTTTGCCCATCGTTTTTTCGCCGTTTTACTCGTACTTACCGTGTGGAGGCCACTTTGGCGCAAGACTGCCTGTACCATGGCATAATACAACAAACAGACTTTGTTACATGCTGCCGCAAACCGCTTGGATCATATGCCTAGCGGAAGAGCAGCAGCGTTCCTTGCGTTTTTATAATAGCAGTAGCTTCAACGGGAGGAACTGTTATTTTCCTGTGTCGGGATAGCTGCAAGGAACACTATCGCGATCTTTTTGCGCCTTGGACCGGTTCGTTGTCCTTACAGTGGGCAGCAATTATTTCTAACACGTGCATCTGAAGGTCCTGTTATCTTGTATTCTAGCGTTTGTCCTCGGTGTGGCTCAGAAGCCTTTGTTTCTGCGTGCCAACACGGCATTTATCTGTATTTTGCGACCAAACGATATGCCGCGCACTCGATACGATGTCCATGATAGCATTTCATTGCAGTCATTTCAACGATACTAGAAAGACTACAAGATATTCCTATTGAAAACCAAATGCTTCTTACTATCTATTTGCTGGCGGCGAGGAAACGCTTCATCATTGCCGTTAGTAAATCAACGACATGCCGATGGATGTACTCGATGCGTGTAGTGTGTTACAACCTCCCTACGTTAACTTGAATGCGTTATATACCTTAGAATATACTGTACATTTGCGTGACGATGACAGCGAGGGTTCCCTCTGAGCGCTACCGAAGTAAGCACTGATGTTTTATCGAAGAAATGAACGATCCAGAATTTACATTTCAGAGCCTACAAAAACGAGGAAAATGAACCTGGCAAGAGAGCGACAAACCGCTCGAAAAAGGTTGACACGAGTGGGATTCGAACCCACGCCCGAAGACTGGTGCCTAAAACCAGCGCCTTAGACCGCTCGGCCATCGTGTCCTCACATCAGTGTGTCAAGACAACAAAATATACTACAGTACTTGTGTACTTGCCGCCCGTAATGCGTCTAAACTAGACCACCCGAACAACCCACCATCGCTCACAGTACTTACTACAGTGCAGACTCGCCTCCTTCCGCTACGCATATTAACCATACATCCGCCAGATTCGTATTAAAACACTAGTTGCGCTCGCACACGGAGTCTACGTACGAACGTCACGACTTGTGTGTGGGCTCCACTTGCCTTCCCACCTGCCTGGTGCATGCATGCCTACTGTTACACGCCAGGTCTCGAAACAATTGTTGGGCGTACATTGCAGTACCGCATCCCACCCCGCTTAAGTACGCCACCGCGGCCATCAAAACCAGCGGTCGTGAAGCTACCGGCTCACTCCGTCTCCAGTCTTCCGGCAGCGATGGTGTTCGTGGCGACAGCTCGTCTCGCGGCCCGCGCGGCCTCGCGCTCTCGCCTGTCGACGCCTGCGCGCGCGTCTCCTCTTCTGGCCGGCGCGACGCAGCAGCTGCAGCTCCCGCGTGTGCAGCGCGCGCCCTGCGCCGTGGTGCCTCCGTTCCTGACGGCGGCGGCCGGCGTGGGCTCGGTGCGCACGAAGGTGAGCGAGCGCGCGCAGCGACGCAAGAACCTGCGCAAGATGAAGAGCCAGAAGGGCGCGAAGGTGCCGATGCTCAAGGACACGCTGCGCAAGCTGTACCTGCGCACGCACCCGGACCTGTTCGGGCGGTACCCGGAGCAGCAGCGCGCGAACGAGGAGTCGTACAAGGAGCTGCTGGGCATCTTGGACGCGATCGAGAAGCACAACGAGTTCCCTCCGGCCAAGACGCTGGTGCTGCCGTTCTTCCTCAAGACGCCCGTGGAGGGCCAGTTCAAGGAGGTGGACCTGCAGCTGCGCACGACGGGCGGCGCGTGCAACACGCTGGTGGAGGAGGCGCTGGGCCGGTTCTTCGGCGAGTGCGGGCTGCCGCAGGCGTTCCAGTGGGGCGAGGGCAGCTGGGGCAAGGCCGTGGGCAAGGACGCGGTGGAGAACTCGAACCTGGGCTTCGACAAGGAGGAGGAGGCCCGCGAGAAGGCGCGCAAGGAGGCGGAGGCGGCGGCCAAGCGCGAGGAGCAGATCCGCCAGTCGGCTCCGGCCTACAGCCCTGTGGACCGAAGTGCGCCGGAGGATCACTCGATCGAGAAGGCTCTGAATGAGCTTGACGACACACTGCAGTTGATCGCTGCGATGCCGTACCTGGATGACGAGGACGAGCAGCAACGGGCGATTAAGGTCCACTTTGAGCAGGGCAGTGGTCTGGACGACCTCGATGCTCAGGGCTACGCGGTCAAAGCTGGAGCCACTAAGATGTGGCAAGGCGAACGTGACCTGAACACGATCATCAAGGGCGTGGACGCGGACTCGGCCATTATTCTCCAGCGAATCCTTATGCACACGCTCGACATCGAAAAGCAACTCAATGAAATCATCGCCAAGGGGGGCTTTGATGATGACGAGGACTCTGCCGCCGATGCGCAGAAGTAAAGAGAATAGAGACCAGACAAGAGTAGACCTCCTCAATGCATGTTGCCGGCGTCGGCGTGTATTTTTCGCAACCTATTTCGAGCACTTCATTTCAAGGCGTACCATCATGTCTAGCAGCAAGCTCAGCCCCAGCTGTGGTCAATCTCGAATGCTTGCGCTTAGACAAGAATGCTGCCAAGACGTGTACCCATGATCAAAGCACACCCGTCAAGGAGCGCTGGATCGAAGTGTGTTTCAGCTTTTAGCTCTGCCTTTAGGGATACTAGCCCCGGGGCAGTGGTGCTGTATGGGGGACGGCAAGTCGGCAGCAGAAGCAACAACAGTGTTCATCCAGTTGTACCTATCCTCAAGCCATCGGTACCAAGGCCCTTGACGGCAGCCTGCGAAAGTGTCCCGACACCCGGCAGTGGTCCAAGAACCGAAGACTCTGTAGATCTCGTGGTAAAAGTGCGACTATTGCATGGCATCGACTTGCACATTCCGAGCACAAAATCGCCATGTCAGCATCCTGGACATCCAGCAGTGAATATTACAGTCAACGGCAGCCCAGTGCAATCATCCACAGCGGCTCAGCATGCTCGTAACCACTCCATCTGGAAGAAGCATGAGCTGACGTTCCAAGTTAGCGCTCCGTACCAAGCCACACCGGTTCCTGGAGGAACGGACGCACCTCCGTGTTTTATCTCGATGTACGTGTCACTATCTTATACCGCTTGCTCTTGTGCCTCCAAAAAGGATGAGGGCGTGCTAAGCTCTATCGAAATTGGAGAAGTTGGAGAGCTACAGTTGCCTGCGAAAGCAAACGAAAGCTATGAGATTTCAAGGTTCTTTCCCGTCATCAGACGCCAGCACAAAGGCTCTCAATCTCCATGTGTACTGCTCACTGCAGGCAAAGTCAAACTGTGGATTCGCGTTGAGAAACCTGCTGCCGCTTGTACTGTTGTGCAACCAGAAATTCCTAAACGACCACCATTCGCGCTACCAACGAACTTTGGAGAAGCACTCCAGCTGAAGCGTAAGCAACTAAAAGCTACCGTTGTACCGGAAGGCAGTGCACAAAAAATGAGCAAGCACCAAGCGTCCCAGGCTGACGCTGTCATCGCAATAGAGCTGATGAAGGAGATCGCAGTGGAGACAGCACCTGACCAGATTGGTGAAAACGATCTGAAAGTAGAAGGGCGGGTCGGAGAAGGCATTCACTCTTGTGTTCGTCTCGGGGCCTTACGTCGGAGCAACACTGACAGCACTCGGCCGGTGGCGGTAAAGGAGTTCCGGCACCAGCATGCAGTTCCCCCTGTCAGCGTACTCCGCGCTTTTATTCTTGAATACCGGATTCTAGCGAGGTGCCGCGTCGAGGGCGGCCACCAACACATTGTGGAGCTGCTCGGTGTAACGGTGGCGCCTCGCTTGATCATCCTGATGGAATATTTTGACCGCGGCAGGTAAACAGTCTGCTGCATTTGTTGGTCACAGGTAATACCCACGCGAGCACTAAAAACTCAACTCACATCTTTTGCTTCTGAAGTCTGGCTCAGTGTTTGCAGGATGAGGCTGCATGGGGACGACTGCCGATCAAGCAGGTATGTCCACACGCATACGCTTCTCTGTTTGTATTGGTACCAAACGCACGAAATTGATATGCACACACAGAAAGCTTTGGTTGGATTGAAAATTGCGCGTGGCATCGCATGGCTGCACAAGCACGACATGATTCACCGCGACATCAAAAGTCACAATATCATCATCAGCGGCGATCTTACGAGGCCAAGCCCATCAGTGAAGGTATGGTAGCTTTGCACTGGTCGTTCTTGCAGAAGTAATTTCCATCACTAACCTTTTGCCGTGTTGGAGTAGATCGGCGACTTGGGTAGTGCCATAGTGCGGCAACAGCAAGAGCCACTGTTGGTGGAAGAGGTCGGATCTTCAGGTTACACTGCTCCCGAGATATTTACCCGCCACGGATACGACAGCAAAGTCGATGTCTGGAGCTTCGGGATTGTTCTGTGGGAGCTAGCTTCATGTTGTGTGCAGGATCGTCTTAACCCGTTCATGGGAATGGCAGGCGACGAGTTTGTCACTAAAGCTCAAGGCGGATGCCGTCCCAAACTCGCCCATGCGCACCAAGTCTGGTTCGGGCCAATTGTCAAGAAATGCTGGCGATTCGATCCATCCCAAAGACCGGATATGGACGAAGTGGTCAAGCAGCTAGAGAAACTCATCGGCGAGCTCTGACCGTGTAAAATAAGTAAATGTTTTGGCATATCGTGCAAACAACGCTTCATTCGACGTACAATCTCTAGTTTTTGACTTCGGTGTCCTCCTCCGACTCTGCCTCATCGTCGGGGTCGACACCGCCATTTGTGAGCATCTCGCGCACCTTCCGCTCAATGTTGAGCGTGTGCAACAAGATCCGCTGGAGAATCAGAGCCGAGTCGGTATCCACGCCCTCCGTCACCTTCTGCAGGTCGCGCTCACCCTTCCAAATTCTGTGAGTGCCAGCCTTGATACTGTACCCACGCTCATCGATCTCGTCCAGTCCTGGGCCCTTCATAAAGTGTACGCGCAACTCACCATATTCCTCCTCATCCATCAACGGGACCGCCGCAATAATTTCAAACACCTCGTTCAGTTCACTCAGCAGCTTCTCTATCGATGCGTCCTCAGTGGTTGTTCCACTATCGACAGGGTTGTAGGCCGGAGCCGACTGGCGGATCTGCTCCTCGCGCTTGGCCGCCGCCTCCGCCTCCTTGCGCGCCTTCTCGCGGGCCTCCTCCTCCTTGTCGAAGCCCAGGTTCGAGTTCTCCACCGCGTCCTTGCCCACGGCCTTGCCCCAGCTGCCCTCGCCCCACTGGAACGCCTGCGGCAGCCCGCACTCGCCGAAGAACCGGCCCAGCGCCTCCTCCACCAGCGTGTTGCACGCGCCGCCCGTCGTGCGCAGCTGCAGGTCCACCTCCTTGAACTGGCCCTCCACGGGCGTCTTGAGGAAGAACGGCAGCACCAGCGTCTTGGCCGGAGGGAACTCGTTGTGCTTCTCGATCGCGTCCAAGATGCCCAGCAGCTCCTTGTACGACTCCTCGTTCGCGCGCTGCTGCTCCGGGTACCGCCCGAACAGGTCCGGGTGCGTGCGCAGGTACAGCTTGCGCAGCGTGTCCTTGAGCATCGGCACCTTCGCGCCCTTCTGGCTCTTCATCTTGCGCAGGTTCTTGCGTCGCTGCGCGCGCTCGCTCACCTTCGTGCGCACCGAGCCCACGCCGGCCGCCGCCGTCAGGAACGGAGGCACCACGGCGCAGGGCGCGCGCTGCACACGCGGGAGCTGCAGCTGCTGCGTCGCGCCGGCCAGAAGAGGAGACGCGCGCGCAGGCGTCGACAGGCGAGAGCGCGAGGCCGCGCGGGCCGCGAGACGAGCTGTCGCCACGAACACCATCGCTGCCGGAAGACTGGAGACGGAGTGAGCCGGTAGCTTCACGACCGCTGGTTTTGATGGCCGCGGTGGCGTACTTAAGCGGGGTGGGATGCGGTACTGCAATGTACGCCCAACAATTGTTTCGAGACCTGGCGTGTAACAGTAGGCATGCATGCACCAGGCAGGTGGGAAGGCAAGTGGAGCCCACACACAAGTCGTGACGTTCGTACGTAGACTCCGTGTGCGAGCGCAACTAGTGTTTTAATACGAATCTGGCGGATGTATGGTTAATATGCGTAGCGGAAGGAGGCGAGTCTGCACTGTAGTAAGTACTGTGAGCGATGGTGGGTTGTTCGGGTGGTCTAGTTTAGACGCATTACGGGCGGCAAGTACACAAGTACTGTAGTATATTTTGTTGTCTTGACACACTGATGTGAGGACACGATGGCCGAGCGGTCTAAGGCGCTGGTTTTAGGCACCAGTCTTCGGGCGTGGGTTCGAATCCCACTCGTGTCAACCTTTTTCGAGCGGTTTGTCGCTCTCTTGCCAGGTTCATTTTCCTCGTTTTTGTAGGCTCTGAAATGTAAATTCTGGATCGTTCATTTCTTCGATAAAACATCAGTGCTTACTTCGGTAGCGCTCAGAGGGAACCCTCGCTGTCATCGTCACGCAAATGTACAGTATATTCTAAGGTATATAACGCATTCAAGTTAACGTAGGGAGGTTGTAACACACTACACGCATCGAGTACATCCATCGGCATGTCGTTGATTTACTAACGGCAATGATGAAGCGTTTCCTCGCCGTCAGCAAATAGATAGTAAGAAGCATTTGGTTTTCAATAGGAATATCTTGCGTTGCCATTATGGGCAATGGTGGACACTACGCAAGATGCAATGTTTAATGAGCAAATCCAGGGCTTTATGTACATATTATTAACCCTTTCGTGATCCTCTTACCTAGACTATACTATACAAATTGTAGGTATTATTATGTAAAAGGGCGGTAGTAAGCGCCCTTTTAGTAAATCACTGTACTTTTGGTGAATGGACGATGTCTTGAACAATCCAAGCAGAACTGTAATATAGACGGCCAGTGCTCTTAGAGGGCGCACTCTGCGTCCTTTTAGATTTTGACTGTACTTTTGGAGGTGTTTTTTGTATTAGTTTTTTTTCATTATCTTGCGACTAGCAAAACTATGTGGGTACCGCGTACCAGACGTCGATATTTAATGAGTATCACGATTGCTATAGTGTGGGTCCTGACCCAACTCAACACCAAATTTAGGACCTAATCAAAATACCTGTTTTTGATACCTAAAGTTGATTTTCACTTTCTGGGCTGCGTGATAGAGTCTACAGTATTAGGCGCATGGCTCAATCTTTCACATACATGTAGATGCATGGTGCTCTAGCTTAAAAAGAAAGCTTACTCCGACATGGGCGCATGGAACTTCATCACCTCGAGCTGTTGCTTCTGGATGGCGCGTCAAAGCACTCTATTCGCGACAGCTGTCTCCGTTGATGTTTAACTTCTACATCGCCGGAGCGCTCAGCTCTTTCATACGACTATGTAGGCCCACCAAATCCTTCAAAAGTTTTGCGATTCAATCGACATATTGCATTGCAATTTGACCTGCCCAAACTACTACAACCATAGCGACTAGGATGACTAGGAAGTCCAGCTCTGCATGCATTTTGCTCCGTCCTATTTTCTCTAGCAGAAGAGATCTAGGTCGTACTGGACCTGGCCTACTTCACCGACTGTGGCTCATGACGCTGTGCTCACTGCTGCTGACTCTCGTGGTGGCCATCGTGTCCGTCGTAGTGCTCTTCTCCGTTGCGCTGGTGCCAGAGACCAAGGTCCAGGAGGACACGGGCGTGAACGCGTGGCTGTCGTGGTTACCGGTCGCCATGATGGTGCTCGTGGAGATCTTCGTCGTCACGCTCATCAACAGCCTCGTCACCATGGGATGCTATCAGGTCAATATCTTCGACCAGGTCACGGTGGCGCGCGGCTTCGAGGACATGCTGCAGGACGGGTAGTGCCACACCAGCTGCGAGTGCGGCCGCCTTTCCTGCTGTCGCGTGAGCGAGATCAGGCGCATCGTTGTCTTGAGCTTGTCCGCGAAACCGCAGGGGGTTCGATGCACCCGTCGTTCATGCTCGCGATGGTGTTCGTTGAGTCTGCTGTTGCTGGTGTCTGCTGTTGTTGGTGCTTGCGGTGACGCCGACCGAGTTGACCTGCGTTCCCACCTCATTGTCCTTCCTGGAGAAGTTGCCCAGCATGATGCCACTCACCCGCTCTGCCATATAAACGTGTATTCGTCCGACGTAGCTCATGAGCACCCCGTACGCAGAGTGGTGCTGTGCCCTGTGCCGCGCCTGTACGCATCCTGATGGCGATCTGATGGTTCACCAGCGTACGCCGGAGCAGAGCAGAGCGCCATGCCCAGTAACAACGCCCTGTCGAAGAGAGGTGGCGGTGGGCATGAAGATGCTGCCGCACGTCCATTATCTCTGTCGCCCAGCGGTGCATCAGCGTGGTTGTAAGCGCTAGGATTGAGCCCTCAGCAGCGCTCAGCAGCAGCGAGTTGTATAGCATCGACTTGCCCTCTCCGTCACCCACCCTTAGACAGTTTACATGTTAACGAGCGTCCGTAGGTTGGGGGCGATCTCCATTGTCCCTTGCATACCGCGCGGGGCGCTGCTGCTCTCCATTATCTCGTGGGAGCTCCTTGCCGCCACCTACTGCAAACACTTGCTCTGCAAATACCTAGCTATTATTTGCCAATGAACGCGTGGCATTTAGGTAGGTCATGACTTTTTATTTTACTTTACGGTATAAGATATCTTCTGTAGTAGCTGGTTCCCGTCACTGCGCTTGTGCTGGGCCGAGACAACGAAGGCCATGAGCTTCGGTGATGTCTTCGGGATGGCTCTCGAGTTCGAGTCGTTCGTCTTGTTGCGGTCCGCGTCGCACCTGCCCAAACTTACGATGATCAGACGTGCCTTCTGCGCCAGCAGCAACTCTGCTAGCTCGCCGCACCTAGGTAGGCATAACTTGGAGATGAGCAGTGAGAAGTAAGAAGTTGTGGAGACGCCGCTGGCTAAACCAACCTGAAATTTGGTGAGAGTGAGAAGTGCATTTGAGACAGCCCGGACACTGGTTTTTTATGGTTTTCATTGATGAGTTCTCACCACGCGTCTTCAATCGGTCGTCTCCAACCCAAGTACGTCGATCTTGCTAATCTTGTGGAACATACTAGTGGCGCTAATTCGGCGTCATTGATCGCAGTCTAATCGTGTAACGGATACCGCCAGCACCCCAGTGACAAACCTTCACTGCACATACTTATATTGGCGATTTTCAGCTAAATGTATTATTTCGGCTTGACCCGATATACATTCGGCAAAAAGCAACTTTGACTTCTAACAATAGACAAGCTAGTATTAGTACTAGTAGTAAATCGGCAGTAACCGGAAGCAATGGTTCCCTTCAATTATTAGAATTATCCTCGCCAGACTATTCTCTAATCAACCTAGCTCGTATGCGTCAAGGGCAGCGCGAGGGTTTGATACAGGTTTAGCTGGAATGCTGGTATTGTGAAAACCGCTTAATTTGCCGATTTTGCTCGTAAATCGATGGATTTGCACCCTGATTTAGCTCGATCGATTTGTAAATTGACGCGTCCCTGTGATGCATATGTGAGTGGATGTGCATATTAGGCGATCGTTTTATGGAGACCAAGTCGATATAGCCGCGTTTATAGCAGAATGCCCACCTTTTACTGGGCAATCGCGCAGCCAAACGATACATATAGATCACGTTTGATTTTAAACCTGATTTTTACTCTGATTAATTAGGTGATTGGGATCTAATAAGGGGTTTTAGCCGGTTGTCACAATAGAGCTTTGAGTTTTGCTGGTAAAGTAGCAATGCCAACCCTCGTATCGCTTCGTCCATCCGTTCCTCGACACTTGCTCGACTAAGAAATTGAAGTCTTCGTAGCCCTCTTCTCGAGCGACCTATGCCTGGGGTTCCTCGTCCTGCTAGGCTAGTGTTTGCTTTAGCTCGATTGACAGATATTTCAGCTTCTCGCCTGTTATCCATGGGCTCTCAGCTGCGCCCGTAGGCGTCGCGCCTTCCACCAGTAAAAGCCTCGTACTACTTTATCAATATCGTTAGTATGTCGTTGAATGGCTCGTGGTTGGGCGGGATCTAATTTCTCGCTGTCAGCCCTTATTGATTGTCAGCACCACAGAGAGACCACAATGAGGTCGACGAATTTCATGTGTGTTAATGTTTGGGCTGAACATTTGGCGCGATATTCGAAGAGCTTTCTTGTTCAGTGTCTGCTTTGGCGAGTTCATGAACCTCACGAATGCAACGCGTAGCAGCCCACAAGTGTTTACACCGTTTACCGTAGTGCCACAGCTTGATCTCGGGCCATTGTCACCCCTTCCAGCCTGTTGCAGCTTCCTCGTACGCGCTGTCGTGTAGCCGTATGCGTACTTTTTGCGTCTCCACGCTGCTGCCTCGAGATCCAAGCAATCCGCATTGGGTACTTGAACAAGGACAATTGAAACCATATCAGTGCTATAGAGGCTGTGGGGCGATACATACCGCTGTCGATTCCTGTAGAACACAAACAAAATCATCGGTTAGTCACGTAGCTCGTGCTGCAACCTTTGGTTAGGGTAGTAACTTCTTGCCCACAGACGCCAATCGTCGTACTGGTTTCCGTCTCTTCATATTCCCATGGTGATAAAAGCGCAGGGGGTACTGTGTGCTTTGACATACACAAGAAGCTTAGATAGTAGTGGGTCTAGGAGAATTCTGAGACGAATAGCAACAGCGCGAAAATACGTATACCGTATCGTCGTAGTTCTAGGCGTTGCATACTTCTAAGGGTACGTATTACTGCTTCCCTTCCACACGCGAGGCACTCAGGTGGTACAGCACTCTGCCGCGCGATCGATCCTCGCACGCTGCAACACGCGCCGGCGATGACGAACTGGCAGATAGCAAGCTGCAGATGAAAACCCTAATGGGCGACTTCAGACTGGCAGGGCGGAGGTTTGCCAACCGCGGGGAACTGAGAAGGAGGCTGCTTCCCCGATTGAACTCCGATCGTGGTAGAGGGCCATACGAAGACTCGTTCACCCCCTCGCTCAACGTCCTTATGTAATTTTTAGGGAATTATTTATCAATGGTTTTCTATACCTACAAATCACCCCTCCCCCCCTCTAATTCATAAAGCAGATTTACGAAAAAGTTATGTTTCATTATCAGATACTACCTGAAAAAAACATAAAAATTGGGTGGGCGATGCCACAAATTTCACTAGAAAAGGTAGGCACAACAAACCGAGAAAATGTCTGGCAATCGGCAGGCCGAAGACGTACCCCTCCCGGATCGGAAGCATCGGCGAGTGACCCAAGCGGCTGCTGCAACTATATCGGCTAGTACCGAAGAGTCAAGCTCCAGCTGTGGCGTCCTTCAGTTTAAGAAAGCCTGGGTTTTACTGCGCAAGGAAGGTTGGACGTAAAAAAGTCCTCCAAGGCGTAGTCTAGATGGACGCTATCGGTATATCAAACCGGGTGGTGACGCGGCTGGCACCGAAGGCAAAGATGTTTTAGTTGGCGAAGATGCGTTGGTACGATACGCTTGCGGTATGCTCAACAGGCAGTCAATAGCTTCGGGCACGTATGGTGTTACATGGAGTATTACCGCTGTGTGCGCAGTGCTTTTTTGAGTGCGGTGCTGACCTTAGAATGGATGTTTGTATGTTTGTATGTATCGGAGAAGGCGCTACGCAACTTGGTGTCAAAGATTTAGTTAGTTTAAGTATTGGGACTTTGTGGATATGGTCATGGTGGGCCTGGAGGGGCTGGCAGTATGAATGGGACGATCGATGAATTGTTTGGGAGGCAAATTGATAATGCACCTCAAACCACACCAGCTAGCTCAGGCGATGCTGTTAGCAGACAAATGGACTGTTCGACTTAGGAGATCACTACCGGTGTCAGAACACCGCCGGCACTATTACAAGATTTGTATCTCAAGCAGCTAGTAGCGTTTACACCTGATAAGGAAGTTTGGATGAAAGCGAAGGTGTACACGACGATTGGATCTACTTATATAATTGGCCGCGTGTACCGCCGGCCGAAGAAAGGGAAGTTTGCGTCGCTTTTTCAAGTTCGGTGTTCAGTTTCAGTCGTCCTTTCTTTGAATTTGGAAGCTGCGGAGATTTGTGAGGAGTACGAGTTTGAAAGAAGTGGAGGCAATGAGGAATATGCGTTTCGATCCTGAAGGACAGAGCGACGGTCCACAAAACCTTTTCGAGCACCATGACGGATCCACATCTACCTTCGTGCGCCCAGAATTCGAGCATTTATTCGAGCATTCGGCTAGCTCCGTGTTTTTCGCATATCTACCGTTGTATTGTTGGTGCCAAGTGTTGTATCTGATGAGCCAATATGCCGTTGTAAAAGGCATTCAAATCATACGACCGTTTACACTACGGGATCTGATGGTATTTGTTTTCTTTTTTCATGGCACTAAATGCCAAAGGAGAATATTCTAATTACTGGGGACCTCAGCCTGAAGACTTGATATTCGGTGGAAGTACGACAGCATTAGATGGTATTATGAGTCTCAACAGATTCAAAGTGCTGCGAAGATGCTTGAGTTTTAACGTCGTCAATATGAATAACTATTACACATCGGTGCAGCCCCTGCAAGAACTTCCTGTGAAAGGTATTTACGGCTGGGGAACAATTCGCGCCAACAGTAAGCATTATCGTGGACATACGCTTCTCGGCAAAGACCATGATAGTTGTGTGCGCGGAGATCTTCGGCAAGCTGTGTCAACTGAGCACAACCTGGTTTTGGTTTCGTGGTGCGACGGAAACATTGCCATCGTGGTCTCGAATGCTGACGCGTCTACCATGCCATCTGTAACGCGTGTGGGTGGCAATCAAGATGTTGAATTCCCAACCCCAACTTGTGTCCCGCGATACAACCAAAACATACAGGGCGACGACCGATTGGGCCAGCTAAAAGGACGGTTTTAAATCTTGGATGAACACTCATTCAAGCGCTGGCACAAGAAGCTGGCATTAGCGCTGATCGACATCGCTCGAGTAAATGCGTATTTGACAAGAAGGCTCACAGAACGTGATTCAAAGACCCAGTAGCCGCATAGATCATTCATGACAGAGCTCGTCGGTGAGCTGATCAATGGAAAGTGGGCCGAAGCTCCTAGTGGGGAGCATATGCTGTACACGAACGGAGAGGCGTGCACGGAGGATCCGATTGAGGAAGTCATTGTGGGTACAGTCCGGCCAGACCGTTATGAAGGCATTACCATAATGCCGCATGAGTCTGTTGCTCCGAAGCAGATCCATTCGAAGCATAAGCTTAACCCCTTAGTTCCCGTATGTTGTAGGGTACTAAACAAGCGGTGTATACCCTAAGTCACTTTTTCGCTGCGTCTCTGGTATGTTGGACCTCCAACATAAGGAACGATTATACTAAGTGTTTGTATGGAGATAGATCCCATGATATCATATAGTGAAAGTAAGATATTTTATTAACAAAAAAGAACCGAATGCACAGGCTTAGGTTTGTAGTCTGTAGGTACGGTTGCAGGTGGTACAGAAGGGAGTGTCTCACACACTAACCACGAGTGGCCAGCAGGCCGCAGTGCTCATTTAGCAAAAAGACGAATCAAGCGCAAGATGATAGGCCCGGCCGGCAAAACCCCACGGCACCAGCTAATGGAACACGAGCGGTGCCTGTGCCTCGAGGCACTGCTGAGTGACCGCCACGAACGCCGCGTCCGTCGTGCGCAGCAGAAGGCGGGTGATGAAGCTGCGGGGGCAGCGAGGACTGCGAAGCGTACGACAGCGGCGATGGAGGTCGCCGAGTCCAACGGCGATGCCCCTGCGCAGCCAAGAGCCGAGGATAAGGAGGAGGCGAGCGCTACGGCTGCTGAGGCCAAGGAGACGACGGGTAAGAAGGCAACGAAGGCCAAGGGCGCAGCAGCCGAGACCAAAGAGACTGCGACGAAGAAGAAGGCAGCGGCGCAAGAAGAAGGAGGCGGCTAAGGCAACGCGGACCAAGTCCAAGGCTGTGGCTTAGTCGCCACCGTCCAGCCAGAAGAAAGCCGGGCCAAGTAAGTTAGTTATGCGTCTATGCTATTTGTCCTGTTGAAGCTCTAACGTTGTATTGTATTATGGTTGTACAGTGCGGCGCAAATGCAGTCTGTCCTTGCGCCGGAGCTGGTGCGAGACTACCACCGGTCCATGGGCGGTGTCGACGTCCACGAACAGCTTCGTATGCAGCGCTACAGTGTACAGCTGTGCTACAAAACGCGCAAGTACTATAAGACGCTGTTTCTGGGGCTTCTAGATATGGCGCTCGTGAACGCATTTATCGGGTACCGCTACAACAAGAAGGTGAACAACAAGCGGCCACCGAAGCACTACGCCTTTTTTGAAGAGCTGATGGAGCAGCTCCTGGCCGTGGACTCCGACATTGTTTTCACAGAGATTGAGGTAAGATATGTTGCCCTGTCAACATAAGCGCTTTGGTGTGGTACGTATGTTCGACATAAGGTGATCTAATGTTGTCAACGTGTGTATCACTTCCAGCAAGCAACTTCAGCCAGGGATCGGATGGCGGCGTCACCAGCTCGGTCCGAGTCGCGGTAGCAGACGTCGGGGCAAGATGGAGCAGTTCATGACGGCCATTATCTTGGGGAGAATTCTGATACTGTCGACGGGGAGCGGGGAGTCAAACGGCGTCAGCGCTCGTGCAAGGTGTGCGCCGTGTTCAAGGCCAAGCCGCGAAAGTTTACGAAGTACTTTTGCCCGGAGTGCTCCGCGGGCAACAAACGGTAAGTGCTGTTTTCTAATGTAAAACGAGGCTCAAAATCTAACATGTACCGATGCAATGCAGCAAGTACTTGTGTAATGTAGTCCGCGAAGGAAGAGCGAAGACGTGCTTCCAGATCTGGCACGCAGATAGGGACAACGGAAACGACATCCCGCGCCATCTACTTCAAGAGCACAAGGATCGCGACCGCCCCCCACCTTCGCGCCCACGAAAGAAGCGACGCCGCGTCAGTCAAGCGCAGGGAGCGGTGGTGAGCCAAGCTGACGCTGTCTCGGAGGTGGAGGAGGAAGCTGGAGGAAGCAAGAATGCTGATAGTGCGGGGGAAGGCATGGCTGACGACGAGTTGTAGGCAGTATTTTTTGTGCATTCTTTTGGAGATAGCAATCAATTGAAACGTGCCAATTTGCATTACCATCATTGATCGCATGTCCATTTTATCCGTTGCTGCACGTGTGCAATGCCACAAAAATCGAACGCACCGATGAACAGGACATTTCTTATGTTGATCTGTCCATCATAGGATAAATGATTAGCCAATTTTGACTACATAGGACGCCTTTATGTTGTATATGTCACTCCTATGCCCACACGTCTGCCCTCGTACCCACCCCCAACCCGCGCCTCAAAATCCGTAATTAGACGATGGTGCATACAAACATCAAGACGTTAGATTATGGGACAGGAAAAATATACACCTCGTATCTAGCCCGGGAAGTAAGGGGTTAAGAAGTGCCGCTGCATCGTGTATTGTTGGGAGGGCCGTTACCCCCATTGAAGTGGCATAGATGTCTGCTTATGTCGAGTTGTGCATGCACAAGTTGGGTCCCCTGGATATACCCTGAAACGACATGGACTTGCTGGGGAAAATATCACCGCTAGTACAGGGTAAAACTTTTGTTTTCGCACAACGGCAACATCAACCATGTGTCTGAATTTGCGAAGTTCCGCCAAGCAGCCACTGCAAGCATCACGAATGCGAAGTGAAGCGCATGTAAGTCACCATTACGATGTACGATAACGTCATTTCCATTGCATGGGTGTTGCAGCATTTAGAGCACGTAGTCAGCCACAAGTCTGACCATACCATTCGTAACAGTCAACACGTTCATATTGTATTTCACTGCATTCATATCCGCGCAAGCGCTACTTTTAGATACTAGTCCGCTAACGTAGCTCCCAAATAAAGATGATCCATCGCTGTCCAAGCATACCGATACAAGTTGGGTTTACTAGGTAGGAGCCTGATATGCACCGAAACCACTAGCCCGACTACCGCAAACTTGCCCTCGGACTTGTAGGAGAGCTTATAAACTGATGTGTGGTCTTCGTTCCTACACAGACCATGAGCGGTTGAAAGGTGTTGCCACCATCCTTTCCGTACCTCAGACATGCTCGTCGATACGGACACACCGTGGTTATAAGAGGAAAGCAACATTCGCAATTGCTGTTTCTATAACGTCAATGATGTTTATTGATTCAGTTCGCTCTACTTACGAGGGCGCTTGTTTGGCTAAAGACGTCTGTATTCGCTAAATAGAAATTGATATATCTCTGTGAACCTGGGCGAGAATTCGACTTCCTTCGTCATCCTAGGGGAATTGCCATAGCAAAATGGACAATCCTTCTTCGGCAGGGGGCAACCACGCCAAGCCCATGAATCCTCCACTTCGCACCAAGCACGTTCTTTATCCGAAAGTTGCTGAAGCAGACGTTAAAAGCAGCAAACCGGTCGTCCTGACCGTTCTCTCCACCATTCCGCCTGACAATGGTCTCAACAAAGCCGTCCAATGCAGCGGAGAGTTCCCACAGATTTGGAAGCACAGTCGCGATCTTCTTGTCCCGCTCAAACCGGTTGATGAAGCATAGCTCGACGAAGAAGCTATGGGGATGTGACCAGCTTGGCGAGGCGTGGGCTAAGCAGTCCCCTTGCACGATCGCTTGCATCTTGCAGATGTGCGATTGGGAACTTGTTGGGTGGGTGCCATTGACTGTTCGGGCTAAAGCTGGCTGCATCAGGCTCATACTCGACAAGTCTTCACACCGGAACGGTGTTGGTGCAACTGGTCAAAAACGGGTTTGGGGTCGGCATTGGAAGGGCAGGACCGTGGTTTACGCGCTCAACCTCTAGTAGGAGAGGCTGGAGTTGATGGACTTGACACGTTGGACTCGACGCCTTCTGAAAGCGGTCAAGCGTCCTCCTGGTTGGCTTGCGTATGGCCGGAGGTGGGTAAGGGGGCGAAGCTGCCACCAGGTTATTGACAGGGTCAGGCTGGGGACGAAGCGACGGAGCATCCACTTGGTTGGCCTGCTCATGGCTTGCTCATGGCTGGCGGGGGTGGTGAGAGGGGGGGGGGAGCTGCCGCTAAGTTATCGACAGGGTCGGCCTGGCGACGACTTGGAGCCCCCTGAGACGGTTCTTCCTCTCATTGCGAGGGTCCCCAACAGCTGTGCTGCTGGCCCTTGTATCGGAGTGCAGGCACGCTTCGTAGTGTTGTTGGTCGCCCGCCTTCCGGTTAGCTCTATGCCTAAAATTGCGCAAAAACATTCAGGTTTAGTAACACAAGAGATGAACTGAAGAAGTATGAGCGATACTGTACTCGACTGCCTTGACGCGATCAGAAAAGTGAGCTGATTTATATGAGCTGGATATTTACAAGAGAGATAAGAATTCTCACACAATTAGTTATTATGTTTCGATGGGAGGGGCGACGTAAAAGCGAAATTCCTCTTGTAAAAACTACGCCATATCGTGACGTCATAGCGAACCCAGGACGAGGGGGCGGAGGGGCACCTATACATACTGGCGTTCAGTATAGTCGTAGGATGGATGCTTTCTTCTGCTCGTATATATACAAAACTACGTACTAAGCCTTGCCTGTATGCTTGTCACCCCTCCTACTCCAAAATGGGTATTACGTTAGGCTTGGTGAATGTTATAAATGGTACATGTTTACCTTTTTCACAAAGGAAGGGGTGGCAGCTGTACAGGTACTGTTGTTTTATATGTGAGGGGTGGCAGCTATACAGGTACTGTTGGTTTATATGAATCAACAAGATGTCATCGGTGAAACCCGCTACGATAGTTCACAGCCACTCACATTCTCCAACTTGCCGAGAGCGACAAACCCTCGTAGTTTCCGACCCGATCACACACCAGCACGGTTTTTGCGCGTGATGGTCTAACTGTTGACGTCTCGCTTGTGTGTCTGGAGTGCCACCCGCCACCCCAAGCTCTTCCGTTCTGAGGCCATCACGCACGAATCCACCGCTGACACTACCATCACAACGATCATCGAGGACTCCGCGAAAGATGCAGGCCGAGCGGATGCACTCCGCAGCCGATCGCAAGCTTTTGCCGAGAGATCTGTGGGACGGCGAGTGCCTCCGTGGTCGGCACTCCTGTGGGGCGCCCCTACATCAATTTATCTTTTTAAAGTGTAATAGCACCCAAACGTAAACCAAGAAAAGCTGTTTTTGCCGCAAAATCGGTGCGTAATGTTGTCATTAGTATGCTCATTTGTTTCCAGGAATGAAGTGACTGCATATGCTTAGTGTGATGATAGATTGCATACATGACAATTATCTGTGGTTCTGAAGTGAATGTGTTTATCAATGGTGTAGTAGACGGCATAATGCTGGAGAAAAGATACTACTTTACCCCCCCCCCCCTCCTGTGCTTCATCCCCCCCCATTTCTTGGCCATCGCTATCTGTGTCGACGCTTGCAACTCCGGCAAAGGCAGCGACCAAATTAACACAATGTTGGCGCATTTTGTCGAGACGAAGTTCTGACTGTGTATGTCGACAACTCCTCGGGACGGAATAAGAACAACTACGTGATCAAGTTCTAGCTGACCCTTGTGGGCATGGCATTTTCGAGTATGTGGACTTCAATTTTTTCGTAAAGGGGCATACGAAAAACTCGTGCCACCGTGGTTTTGGCCACATTCGAAAGCACCTGGCCTCCGCTGAGTGCTGGACGATGCAGCTCGTCATTGATGCAGTAAACGCAGCGGCGTCAAACTCCGTGACTGTGCATGTTCCGAGAGGTAGCAGGCTCTTCAAGTCGTACAAGCCAGTGTTAACAAAATTATACAAGCGACTTGGCGGTGTGCAGCAGAACCAGATCTTTTCGATCGACAGCGCCAAGCAGGGTGTAGTGGCGTGCAAGAAGGGTCCCGACTTAGATACAGAGGAGCAGGACTTACGTCGAAAGATTGATGGTATTTCATGGCATAGGACGAATCATGACAGACCACATTGAAATCCTGTCACCTCCACCTATCAACGCTGAGAAGAAAGAGCAGATGTACAAATCAATTAGGCCGGACGTCCCGGACGAGTTCCAGAACGACCCGTTGTACGCGAAGCCAAGTGAGGATGAAGGAGCTGCAGCTAAGACAAAAAATTGGGCTCGCTTAGCGCCTCGTGCTGCAATGGCAGCGGCGGCCAAGAGGAATCAAGAAGAGCGTGGAATGGCGGCCCAAAAGAAGAGAGCGGCACCCAGCAAGAATGCTGTTGCTAACTCCAAAAAGCGCAAGGCTCCAGTGACGCCTGGCGCTGACGATGAGTAGGCGAAAGAGTGTAGTGCATCATTTGGTACCTATGTCCACTAGTGAATCAAAATGTTATTGTGGAAACCGATTAGTTTGTCCTCTGATTTGAAATCTTAATAAGGCCATTGTGAGTTCGTTCGTAGTCATTAATCATGACCATATGCTGAATCTAAATAGGTGTGTAAATAAGACCATGTGGCTCTAATTCTGGGTGACTCTATACCTCGAGCTTGGGGCTCAAAGCTGCACGCAGACTTAAATCGGCGATCAGGACACCACAACAGATCACGGGGCAATGTACGGAGCAGACTTTCGGTGGAGAGCCATCGTTCTTCATTACGCGTACAGCATCTCATGCGACCAAGTTGGCCGCATTTTCGGGGTTTCCGGGCGAACGGTGAGCCGGTGGTACTGTCAGTTCAAAGAAAATGGCCACGTCTACCCGGGGGAGCAGCCTAAGAAGCCAAGACACAACGAGGAGTTGGTCGCTTTCGTGAGCAAGTACGTCACAGAGCACCCGTGCTTTTACATCGAAGAGCTACAGGAAGCTCTGAAGCAGCGGTTCGGCTACAATGTACAAGGTATTTCGGCTACCAGCATTCTGCGGTTGCTTCGCTTCGACCTGGGTCTATCGCGTAAGGTTCTTGAGCGGCGTGCGCGTGAAGCAGTGCCTGAAGTGATCGAGTGCTTCATGAAGAAAATGCAGAAGTGGTACAGCTACCCTGAGCAACTAGTATTCCTAGACGAGACGTCGAAGAATGGCCTCGACGCCATGCGCCGGTACGCGTGGTCTGCTAAAGGCGAGAGGGCTATTGTTAAGGCCCCCTTCGCCCGTGGAAATCGCGTATCGATTTTTGCTGCATGTGACTCGTCTGGGTTCATCGCGTGGCGCACGACGCGAGGGACGTTTACAAGGCTGAAGTTCCATCGTGCCTTCGTGAGCTGCGTGTTGAAGAAGCTGAATCCGTGGCCACTTCCACACTCTATCGTCGTGCTAGACAATGCACGCATTCACATGTACGCCGAGCTTGAGGCCGCCGTCCACTCAGTGGGAGCCGTGCTCTTGTTTCTCCCTCCGTACTGCCCGCAGTTCAACCTTATAGAGGTGCTGTTCGGACAGCTGAAGCGGTGGCTCGCTCGCCACGCCAACCTGGCGTTTGGTTTGTACCCTGAGAAGGTTCTAGAGATCGCAATGCCAGCCTGCACCCGCAAGGACAACGAGGGAGGTGTTGGGCTGTTCCGCCATTGCGGGTAGGGGGTCGGAGGTGTGAATGAAGCGGTTTTTCAACGGGAGCTCGGTACGTACGAGTAGCATTGGGCGCGGGGAGGCGGAAGGGAGGAGGAGGAGGGGTGGGTGGGGAGCTGACGAGCGTAGCGAGATAAAAATCAAAGCAACCTTGTATTTTCGCACTTAAAAGCTGACGAGCGTAGCAAGATAAAAATCAAAGCAACCTTGTATTTCTGCACTTAAAAGGTGGCACCTACTCGCTCATGTGGTCAATGTCGCTCATGTCCTCGCTGGGTTCCTTAGGTGGTTGAAATGATGCGAAGAGGCCTTCGGCTAGTAGACTGTGGTTGGGAAGCTCGAGCGCAGCACGGAGCTCCTGGAGATTGAAGGCCAGTTGTAGATCCGACGATCCATTGAGGCGCACAGTGATCGTGCGGAATTCAGGGTCGCTTTGCGCCGGGGGTGGTTCCGAACGCATAGAGTCGAGGTGCTGCATCTGCCTAAACGTAGCGTTGTTGGGCAGGGCCGGCTCAGTTCCGTCAGGCTGTCTGGCGTGGGTTGTCTCCCAATACGTCCGGGCAATCGGCCCCACTCGGACGTCGCCTCTTTCGAGAAGATAGCTATCAATTGCTCTTGCAGCCTCTTGGATCCGGCCCGTTGTGACGCGTCGAATTCCTGCACTGCGAAATGCGGCTGCACGAGCTGCAAACACAAAGAGATCAAACTCGAAAGGACCACTTACATTTTTGCGCTTGTGATAATTTCCCCTCGCTATAGCGACGTAGTCTCTCCAGTTGGCAGACGACAAGGCGACCCACTCAACTTGCTTGGCACCCAGACTTGGCTTCAGGTAGATAGTGGCGTCGTCTCGGGTCGTCTTAGGCTTGTAGGCCACGAGGGCGGGAGCTGTGCTCGATCTTAGCTTGTAGCTCGTCGAATGAGTCAGCCTCCTCGTCAAATGTGAAGGTTGGCTTCTCAATACTGACGTTCGTCCGACTGGTCTTCGTGATCACGCCGATTTTGATGGAGACGCAGGCGAGGGTCATCTTGTCTTGCGGTTTGCACTCGGAATTGCGTTCTGAGCACTCGGAATGCCGCGAGTTCATCGGACATTCGGCCCGATATATTTGTAAATCGGTATCGGCCCTCTGTTATATATAAATCGGCCTGGGATTGGGCTGGGATTGTACGTGCCTAAATAGCAGTGTTAATATGAATAGGCGAATCTAAATCGAGACTACCCCTGTCGGATTTATAAATAAATCAGGGTTGGTAATCCTATTTGAGACCCTAAAGCGTCGGATTTACTGATCGATTAGACAAACAAATCGGTTTCCACAATACTTAGTGACTTGATCCAAATTTCGGGAAAATACTCAAAAATATACCCCCCGTGATTTGTACTGGACCGGAAAAATGTTATTTTAGCTATGTTAGACTTGGTTTTAGTTAAATCTGAGACTACCACTAGATTCCTTGCGTCATTTTTACCCTATAAAGGCAAATAAAAAATTGAGATCACGACTCAAAATACATTTTTGATGGACTCGTTCTCAGCTTCATGTGGATCAATCTGGCTGTGGAGTAGCTCAAAAGAAAGCTAAGATAGCCCTCTTTCGAAAGGTGTGTCTAAATCGCGATTCGTACTTAGGTTTATAAGTAATTTTTTGTTTGCCGTCGTATCATATATATCAAGCATTGCTTACTCACGCAGATTAGTCTAGTGTATTAGTTCAGTTACTCTATTCTTAAATGCCCTACTCTCAGACGCTCGTCCCTGGACTTCTTCCTCGGTCGGCCTCACTTCTTTGCCCCTTATCCTCATCGAAATGGTTGGTGGCAGGCTACCCAGTGCCGTCTCTTAAACGATAGAGTCCCCTAGAACTTGCTAGAAATTCAGTTTTATCTAAAATGAGAGGGTTTCGATACTCCGCACCTCATCCCCTCTCCCTTTCTCTCTTATCGACAGCCAGGGACATGCCCGGCGGCCGCTCAGCGTGGCCAGCACCGCATCACTTAACAGAAGATCCCGCTAAGAGGGAACACATTTGGAGGGGAACACAGAAAAACGCATAATGCGGAATTAGTCGGGTGTCGTGGGCACGTAAATGCTTCCAACTTTTAAGGGGCAGTACGCCGACAGCGTTGACAAGTTCTATTTTGCTATCAGCGCTGGTCGGCATATAGCTAGCGCCCTGGTAGTAGCTCTGTTTGAAGCTATTTGTAGAGAAAGAGGGTTTGTAGACATTTTTGTTTGGTACACGGTACCATTATTGGGAACAGGACCTCCCCCTCTCTCACAAATCAAACGGAGCTGGACGAGCGAGGATGAAGGGCGAGCTGCGCATCAGCGCTTGCGAAAGGTAAGAGAGCGCTGCAGGCTCCACGACGAAGCATTAGCACTATGATACTAAACAGGGTTCTTGTGTGCATGGCAATAAGAGTTTGCGCTAGCCAAGGCGCCAAGCTGAGTGGACGACGTGAACGCCGAGATCTACCAGGACGAGACGCTGCACGTGGAGCGGCTGACGGTCACCCTCGCCGTCATCATGTCTGTGCTGAACGTCGGGCTCGATGATGGACTGGCAGTCGCTGGGACCGCTCATCTTGACGTACTCAGCGTCCGTCGGCAGTGACGTGGAGTACAGGAGGCTGTAGCCGGAGGCGTCGATGCAGCCCTGGAACGAGTCAAGCGTCAGCAGTGTCTGTTGCGTGGACGAGCAGGCGTCAGAGCTGGACGAGCTGGAGGTGGTAGCCGAGCTGGTGGTCCCGCAGAGCGACAAGCAGGAGCTGGTGGAGGCCGTCTTCATGACCACCAACGTCGGCGGCGTCTGCGCCATCATGGTCACCAAGATTCTGGAAGGCACCTCGAGGGAGCTGGTCGACGTGATCAGCGCGGTGGACGCAACAAGGACGTGCAGCCGCTGCAGCCTAAGGACTTTGGTCGCCAGACCGACTTCGTGAAGCACGCGCGGTGGGTGCTGTGCTGAGCTGGTGGGAGCACCAAGGGATGGTGGGAAAGCCGTCCCGCTCTTGAACCGATTTCCATTCTTTTTGGAAATCGGTTCACAGAGCATACAGTCAATCACTCGAGGCGTCTTCTCGCTGCGCCTGCACTCGCGAGACAACAATGCTAGCTTAGACTAGGATAGCACAGTGTTAAGTTTGAGATAGTGAGCTGTCGAACGACACTAGTTGCATGTATGCTTCACTTGTTCCGCAATTAGTTTTTTTCGGCGCTCACCGTTTTGGGCTCTTTTTGTTCCCTTCATAGCGGGATCTTCTGTTAATACTCACACTATGTACTAGGGTAGAGTTCTAGAACTCGAACCCCAAGTTTCTCTCTTTTAGCTTGAGGCATTACTTAGTAGGCAGCGCCATGGTTAGAATGTCTGCGGTCATCTCTGTGGTCCCACAATAGGCTATTTGAAGTCGACCAAGCTCTGCAATGTCTCTTGTAAGTAGATACCGTATTTTAATGTACTTCTTGGCTTTGTGTTTTCCTGGGTTCTTAACTATGCTGATAGCGGTGTTACTGTCGCACCAAACCTGCACCGGAAGCTTTTGCGGAAGCCCCATCCCTTTAAGTAGATGCCATAGTCACTCACTCTCTTTGGTTTCTTCGCTGAGTGCGATGAGTTTGCCTCTGCGGTAGACAGGTAAACACCATCCTGCTTACTACAGCACCACCACAAACTCATATAGTCGGTTACGGACTTTCGTTCTTTTGGAAGACATCCGAAGCTCGCGTCTATGTACACTTCGTAAGTCACGTCGCACTTTTTCTCATTAAGCGACAGACAATACGTCGACATCCCTTCAAGTATTCGAGTACAGTGATTTGCGTGCTCAGCGAACAGTTAGAACCTTACAATTTTTGTGAGAAGGCATGTTTCCCGAGCTGTACCACACTTAGGGCGATGTATTGTTTTAGTGAACGGTGGGAATGTGCCCAATTAGGATTCCACCAATCAGCTCTCGTAAAAAGAGATCGGGCGGGAAGATCTCCAGGCCTGACTTCAAGGATGCACGGGAACGACATACATTAGCCTAGTCAGCACCATGCAAGTGAATGAAAGCAAGAAGAGCGATAGTAGCATCCAGCACGGCACATAATAAAGCTACATTAGATACACCTGAATTTCGCAGATATTTTGTCTGCACTGGGGATAACCCAGGCAAGTCATTGGCCACGTTGAATGCTTAGCTGCACTCGAAACTCGTGTGGAGACGATATGTAAGCGCACTATAGTGGTTAAGTCAGTACATATGGTCGTTGGGTTGTTAGCCCAAGTCCTTTGACAACATATAAACTGAGGGGTCATATATATCAGGTTTTTGCTGAGCACGCAAATTACTGTACCCGCCGAGCCGCATCCCAGTGCGTGTGGTTGTAGCACGATAAAAATCGACTAAGTTCTCTTGTCGTGTTGGCAATGTCCTCTCATGCCCCACCGACTAGATTTTGGAGTGAACCAATGATGCCACTGTAATCGAAAGGCCGAGCCGTGCGGTGGAAACTGGAAAAGGACCTCGCCCGAAAGACAATTCCCCGCTGCCTAATATTTCGCGATGTTCGGTCAAGCCGTACATCTATAACGACGGACATGTGGACGTCTGCCGCGAACAGACGTTACATGGTAGTGACGATGCACTGGATCGATGAAGACTGGAACCTTCGCTACATCATTTTAGGCTTTCGAAGGGTTGAGTATCCGCATACTGGGGTGCGCCTTGCTGATCTTTTACTCGACGTGATAAAGGCGATGGATGGAGCTCTGTTCGCAACACTCTGGGCTATTACAACGGACAATGCTAAGAACAACAAGACAATGGTCCGATCTATTCGTGCCAAGCTACCGATGCAGTTCGAGATCATCTGAGCGACGCGATACCTCCATCAGCCGCTGACATGACTTCTGAATCCGGTAGCGCCGTTGAAGCACCGCCGAATGTGTTTCAAGTTCGCTGTCTTGCTCATGTGCTGCAGCTTGCTGTCAAAGAAGTCCTCACCGAGTGTTCGTTCGTTGATACCTGCATCGGCACCATACGCGATATCCTGAGGAAACGCGGCCCTGAATGAAGAACTTGAACGAATCTGTAAAGTATTGGAGGCGAAGTTCGAGCAGCCTGTGCTTGACTGTGTCACGCGCTGGAACAGCACCTGGTCGATTGTGATATCCGCAATTCACTTGCGAAAGCCCATTGAGGAGCTGCTGCGGCACATTCACGGCCGCCACGAAGGCTATCGAAACTTCTCGATCGGGCCTGATGACCGACTTGCAGCTCCGCTCGATGACAGTAAATGGCAGGCTTTGGAAGAATTCTGCAAGATTCTGACGCCCATAAAGGCCGCAACCATGATGATGTCTGGTAAGAACTATCCCACGTTTGGGATGGCAGTCGTCGTATTTGAACTGGTGTCAAAAGAATGCGACGTCAAGGATCAACCAGGCTGTCGCCCGCTACACCGCCGACTTTGCAACGGCTTTCAAGAAGAAACTCGACGAGTACGACAGCTTGGTAAAAAGCCGCGAGGCTCAAATTGCTGCCATGCTCGATCCTCGAGCCAAGACGCTTCTGCCTAAGGTAATGACCGATATTGCTCCCATCAGGCAGTATGTCATCGACGAGTACGAGGCCGAGTACCGCGTCCGATTCGAGAGCCAGCAGCAAGGCACCAGTGCCTCCACGTTGGACCAGCAAGACACCGAGGAGGTCGCTCTGAGTAAGGTTCTGCACCAAATGCTGGACGACAACTTCGGGCTCGACGAGCCTACTGGGTTCGATGGAGGAGAGTCGTTTGCTTCAGAGCTTGATCGTTGGCTCGTTCACCGGGATCCCACCATGAACTCGAAACCCAGCAGCAGTGCAGTGTGTGTCTGGATGCGCACCCTCGACCAGTTCCCAAGAATCTGGATGATGGCTCGGGACTTTCTTGCCGTGATGGCGACGTCCGTCCCAAGTGATCAAGCTTTCTCTGCTGCTGGCGCCACCGTAAGTGTTCGGCGAGCAAGACTCGGAGATGATGCTGTCTCTGCGGTATCCGAGATGCAGTCCTTCATGCAATTCAACGAGACCACAGCCAAACTTGAAGCAGCCAAAAGCTAGTAATGGAATTCTGCCTCGATAATCCGGTCTCAGCACAGCACTTGCCAAACACCATGCAAACTGATCTTTGTACTGTTCTCCGCACAAATCGTATCAAGCAGCAAAACATATCCCATGCAGCAGCTCGCCAACGGTTCACGACAAATTGCCCTTGATGTCGGAAAACCAAAACCACAGCTTTGTTCAGCAAACGGTTCGTCACGTTACCCAGCACCACGCTCGTAGACCAAGAAGTTCGAAACCAGGTCATCTCCTCGCCACCCTCTGGAATGCCGCACTCCCTTTCAGATCGTTCAGGCATCGTGCTCCACCACCGCCTCGCCGGCGCAAATCGTCTTCACGTCCATGGCTTCCTTGCTCTCTTGTTCATGCGCACAGCAAGAAGCACCCGCAGAATGTGAAGTGCAGCAACTGGCGCGTCTTCCGCAGCAGGGGCCGGAGCAGGAGCAGCCTGCACTGGAGCCAACGGGGCGACAACAACCGGAGCAGCGACAGGGGCCGGCGCCGCGGGAGCCGCTTTCGCCTTCGGAGCAGACGCAGTAGCAGCCTTCGCAGCGGCGGCCAGGGCCTCAGCCACAGCCTCGGCAGCCAGACCGCGCGCGTACTCTGATGCAGAGATGTTCGACGTCGCCTCCTCGAAGTGAACAACCTCGCGGTGGCGCTGGTACCACAGAATCTCACGCGGCACTGATGGGAAGTCACCAACCTGCACAGTGCGCAGCGCCATGTTCGTCAACGTCGGAGCAGGATCAATCTCCACGAAGCGGTGAACACCACTCTATGAGAACAGCAGCGCCTGCGTCTTGATCCACTGCACAGGCACCGCAAACTGGTACGCCAGCAGCTCCACCACCAGAAGGTGCGCGAGGTGGGCCTTCGTCGTCAACTGCAACTGCATCGGGTCCAGCACCTCCGCCAAGAACGGGCTTTTCGTCGCCTCGTACCCCTAAATTCTCGACCAAGATAGAAGAATCTATCAGGTTCTGATGAAATCGCCACTAGCATCTTCCCTGCTAGCTGGAGATTGAGCGAGTCCACGTTCAGCTCAACAACTTCGCGGGACAGCGGGAACAATTTGGTAGTCCCGCCGCTGGTCCCGTCTGATTGCCAGAATTCCGTGAGACGATCTCGCTCCGCTTGCGCTGCGAAGACAAGTGTACCAGAAGGAGCACTGAAAGTGTACAGGACAGTCAAGAAGCTGGGCACGGACCCCGTACCCCCGACGCGATGTCAAGTCATGACAGTTCCGCTGGGAGTTCCGTCTGTTGTCCAGAGCTCAGATCCATGAACGCCGTCGTCTGCCTGGAAGTGGACCTGCCCGGCGAAAGTCATCAAGTAGCGCGGAAATGACCCCGTCGACCCTGTGCGAATGTCTAGAACGAGAGTCGTCCCTGACCGCGTTCCGTCCGTTGACCAGAGCTCGGGCCCATGGATGCAGTCACCCGCTTGGAAGAGTAATAGGGAAGTCAACACTGGCTCCAGCGAGAACGGAGTGGCCACCAGGTTCGGGATGTACCGGTTCACCAGAAGCGGCAGCTGGCGCTCCAGCACCTGCAAGTCGAACTTCGTGCGCAGTAGCGCCCGGAACGACGGTACGCCGCCCAGCAGCTCGCGCGAGTGGGACGGCACGTCAATACCAACCAGCGGGGTCGTCGCCAGGCCTCGGGACAGCGTAAACGGACGCCCACTCTGCTCGCACTTCTTCTTGCGAGCGCGAGTCTGCGCCAGCGACTCTGCGATCACCTTTTCCACCTCCTCCGGAGCGGTCGACTTCACGGCCTTGAACCCAGCCAACGCCAGCGACAGCGTCTCCAAGTTCACGTTCTCACCATCAACCACGTACTGGCGCTGCTGGATGTTGAAGTTCAAAATCTGCAGGAGCTTACCCGAAGCCGCCTCGATGCCGTCCACGACCTTGTACATGACCTCCTCCATGAAGTGGGGGCCAACACCTGTAGGCCATACCGTAGTCCGAGCGTCACTCAGCGTCACGCTTTACAGCCTTCTGCATGATCATTGCACGCAGGAATACTAGATCCATGAGTGCTTCCACCGATAGCGCTTCCACGAAGGAGATCAAAAACCAGCGTACTCGCCCAGGGACTAGCCAGCAAGATAGGCATCATCAGGAATCAGCTGCGCCGCCTCAATCTCAGAGAACATTGCCTTCTCCAGAAGTACCAGCGCAGGCTGGCTGAACTGGGTCGCGAACAGCAGGCCGTCCGTTGCCGAAAAGCTGTAGCTCTCAGTATCTTCATCAATCTCTGGTAACAGCGGGGTAACCTCACCAGTGACAGGGTCTTCACATTTCAGGTTCATGTAATGTTCGCGAATTGTTGCAGCCCTTCTTACCGCCAAAGTGCACCGTAATGGACTTCGTGTTCTTGTGCACCATCTCGAGGATGGAGAAACCGAACGTGTTGTGTCACATCACCACGGTCCCAAATCTCGCAACTGAGGAATCCTGGTAGCGGTCCATGCCCATGTTCACCGCGGCAGAGCCCTGGTCACTGAACACAAACGCCATCGGCGCCTGCTTCATCACAGCACGCGTGCTAACCACGCGCTCGCCGAAACCATTCACAACCTCCACCGCCAGAACTATCTTGCCGTCGTCGAGGCCGATGTGGCGCGCCTGCATGAACAGCTTGTCGCCCGGGTACACCATGCCGTCGAAGTTCACGTCGTAGTCAACGACGTTGCTGTCGAAGCAGACCGAAGCTCTCGATGACCGGGTCGCGGACCTTCGTCGCGGTCCACAGACCGTGCATGATCGGCTTGCCCTTCGGTAGGTGGCCCAAGATGGCGGCGTACTTCGAGCGGTGAATCGGATTGAGGTCGCGCGAAGCCACGGCGTAAGCCAGCGCGTTCGTCGGCACATTTCTCTCCAACGGCTTCTCCGGCACGTGCGAGCCACCGTTCGCAAACATGCCACCGGCATTCGCGTCTGCCGGTTGCACCTGGTGCAGGAACGCCACCCCGGGGCTCTCGTTCACCTCGTTGCTCTTGAGCTCGACCGTGCCGATCTCCACCTTCGAGCCAGCCTCCTCACGGCACAGCACACCCGACACTTCCACAGAGCTCAGCGAGTTGATCGACGCGTACTGCTTCGTCGTCGTCAGTTCGAACGACAGGTTGTCACCGATGCTCACCGATGCCTCGGCAGGCAGCTTCGGCCACGACTTCGGCTTCAGGATCTCCACATCCTCCTAGCGCTTGAGCACGAAATCGTCCGTCAACTTGTCGATCGAGAAGGTTGCCTCGAAGACATTGAATGAGCCGCGGACAGAAACTCGCCGTGCAGCTCCACCAGCGGCTCCAGCACCTCCTCCAGTTGCTCGGCCACCGTCTTGCGCGAGATGATGGCCACATCGTGCACTGCTGCAGTCGTCGATGTGCAGACTGCCGACATTCGACGTGCTCGGAATGTCGTCGCCAGGAATGAACATCGCGGACATCTTGAGGGATGACAGCAGTCTGTGCGAGTGCTTCAGGTGCACCAGGTCCAGCAAGTTGCCCTTCACCTCCTTCGTGAACACCGACTTGATCAGCGGACGCCACGATACGATCGTAAAGAAGTCGGCAGCGGCGCCCACCTCGTCCGCGCTGAGACCCAGTGCGGCGCGATACGCCACGATATCCTCCTTCGTGATGCTGAAGTCGGCCGTGAAAGGAGACATCACGCTACAGCCTCGCACGAATCCTCTTTTTTGTCCTCGATGGCCACCCAGAAGCGGGCGTAGAACGCCATCACCTTGTCGATGAAGCCGCTGCCCTTAGCGTGGATCGAGCACAACAGCTCAGGGTGGTGCTGGAACGTCATCTCCATCGACACGATGCCGACTTTCAGCTCGGCCACTGATGGGCAAACCTCATTCACCAAAACGGCACTCGCTGTGTCCTTCTTCGCGATCTCGATCACGGGGCCAGAAATGTCGATCGATCTGTCGAACACGCGAATGCCGGCAGCGTCGATCACGTACTTATGGCCAACCTGGGGGACAACAAGCTGGCGCAGCCGGGTTCGCAAGCCACTTCTACTCCTTCACGACGTGGGTCGACGAGATGAGCGCCTTCAGCCAGTCCTTGTCGCCCACGGACGCGGCGAGCGCTGCAAGCCACTCTTCAGCAGACGGAATGGCGCTCTCATCCGTCGCTCTCCCTGACGTTAACTCCAGCGATGTCCACAGTATGCTTGGCAGCCGCAACCGACGCGGCAGAAATCGTAACGTTGATGAAGCCCGAGTTGATGCCTCCCAGGATGTCCGCCACGGGCTCATCCACGGTGGATGATCCACCACCGTGCTGTAGCGCACAACCACGGGACCCTGCAGGATAAACACGCGCTGCTCGACGCCCTGCGGCACCGCAAGTCCTTTGAGTACTACAGAGAGGCCTTCTTGAACCACGTCTTGAAGTCCTTGGTGATCGCAGGCACGAAGTTCACCGGCTTCCCACCCGTGCGGCACAGCTCCAGGAAGATGTCGCAGTCCGGCAGCGACAGCAGCGTCGACACCATCGAAGGGTATTTCGCGATAAACGCGCTCAGCGTTCCGCGCGGGTTCGACTTGAGCTCCGACTGGTCGAACAGCGCGCCAGAGCTCATGCGGCGGGAACGTTCCTCCGTGCGCTTGATGTGCTTGTTCGCGCGCGAGAAGTACGTGCCGTGCACCCAGCACTGCGGCTTGCCTTCCATCTCTACGTATATCAAGTCGACCAAGCGCGTCAGCACGTCTCCGTACTACATCTCCACCAGCTCCGCCGAGACAACCTCGCCCGTCTCGACGTTGCGCTTGCAACCGAAGAACGGCTCTGACGCGATACCAGGCATGAAGCGGATATAAAGATAAGGAGAATGCTATCTTATTGGTAAAAATTCGTTATGATTTGAGCCAATCGAATGGTGCTGAACTAACTTTATATTCTAATTTACTCGTTAGCATAGTTCCATGTTTATCTGGTTCAACAGATGTTACCTTTGTAACCATATATCGACGAACGGTTTTAGTCGGAATTTAGTCGGAATCCGTCGGAATCAGTCGTTACTCAGCCCGATCCGATCGGATTGGTCAGACGGGGATAATCGATCAATCCGATTGGTCGATTTAACATGTTGAGGCGAGACTAATAATTTGAGCAATGAAAAATCTACTATTCAGATTTAGTATGGGCCAGACTAATTACTGTAGGTACTGTTGTGCAGCGGACCTGATAAACTGAGCTCATCCGCGTATGTGCGTCAGCCCCAACACGGTTCGCTTGGGATCTTAATACGAAGCTGAGACGGACAGCACGTAGTTTGCGGCATATTCGGACGAAGAAAAGAACGAGCTACTGGTGCTTGGCTTCTAAGAGTAGTACGTGGTAGACGACGAAGGCAACCCTGCGGTATGCTTTAGGATGATTCTTACGAGCCGAAATTTTTTTGCAATGTGGTTAAGTGCTTCTCAACACAACGCAATGGCGGGTGCAGATGACGGCACCTACCTGCTCCACTTTGGTACGTTAATTTTAATTTAAGCGAGGAGGTTATGGAATTTTTTAACATGTTTCTTTAGTGGATGGGCTTTGGTCGGCTTTGGTTCGTACGGAAGGTATTATGCCACCAACCGCTATTAACAAGCGATACGCGACTTAACCCCTCTAGCCCCATATTCTGTATCCTACAGAATAAGCATTTCGACAGGATTTAATATCCAGCAAACTTGGTTTCCGCGAAAAACTTCGCATATAGCTTTTTTGTATAGTGAGTAATCAGCCCATCATTCCTGTTGGATCTGTGATGGGTAGATAGACGGGGATTCTTCTGCAGCTATAGAAGGACGAGTATAAATCCCCAACAGGTTGGAAAATTGGGGTGTAAGGCCATAGTGACCGTTTGGCACCCAATCGCGGTGCCTTTCACTTCGGAACGAGAAACCGCCCTGACCAGACGTACCTCGAGCTCTACACGTGGTAGTGATGCTAAAGGTAAGCAAGTCTATTTACAGTCTGTTCGATATATTGTCTAAGGTCAGTCTGGAATTGTATTCAAGCGCGCGCGAGCCCATAGTGCGCCGTGCGAGGCGGTGCTGCCGGCTACCACTAAGTATCGAGACGCGCGTTCGTCACTCCTGGACCAACCACCTCCATGAATGCATCCGCAGCGGTAGCAACGGCTTCAACTAGCGCTCCACAGCAGCGCATGCGTCGTTCAGGCGCTTACCAGGTAGGGGATAAACGGCAGATGGAGGCGATGCGATAGAGGGGCTAGATGGAAGCTGCAGACCAACGTGCATTGACTGAATTTATTGTGATGGTACCTACAGAATAGACCTGTCCGGCAGCGATGGATATGACGGATGCTATAGAGCAAACCAGACCAACCCAAGTGGATACAGCAGAAGGTACAGAATAAGGCTTTGTGCTGATTTGAATACGACGGATGCTACAGGGTAAGGCGGCCGTGGAACGGAGTCTACTGAACAAGGGACTTCTAGCAAACGCTTCGACGTACACGGCGCGAAGCCTGGGGTGACCATCGAGAGCGTTTGGCCCGCATGCTACTGTATATTTTGGATGTAGCAGAGCTTATCGATAATACATTCGTATATTACATCTTATGGATACTGTGCGTGCGACGGACATGAGCGAACGCCACAGCGCGATAAAGTGATCACCAGCGCTAGTTAGCAAGACGATGGCGATGATTCGTATGGAGCGAATAGATGCATACACGAAGTCTATCGGAGGAAATAATTGCCCAGTTCCTCCTCACTCCGTTAGTTAGGAACTGGGCAGTTTTTTCCTCCGATAGACTTCGTGTATGCAGTCCTCCTCACTCCTTACTCCTCACTCCGTTAGTTAGGAACTGGGCATTTTTTTCCTCAGCGCCTGGGCCTCACCCGCCGCGTGGCATGAAGGACGGATGGCTGGTGCTGTTAACGCCCCTCGGTTCGGACTCATACCGAGCGTGACAGGTATTGTAGTTCTAAAGGTATTAACGTGTGTGTTACGTTTGTTTCGCCCAATGAGCACACACCATTTTTATCAGATGGTGGATACATTGTTCATCTTTTGTTCATCTTTTGTCCACTTTCGCAGCTATTTTGTGCTGGAAGTGCACGATTGCTGTACCGTCACCCTGTAAAGGGTTGCAATAGCATACCTCCAGCAGTTTTGACGTATACTTTAATCAAGTCATCTTATTCTGTATAATCACTACAGAATAAGGTTGGGGCTAGAAGGGTTAAGGTCAACGGAAATCACGATTCTCGAAGAAAGTCTAAAAAACTGCAAAACGCGCAAAGGCGAATATGTAGCAGCTTTGAAGCTCACAAGTAACTTCGGTATCTTGCGATGTGATGTAGATATTGCACAGAGTGCAACGATACCTATAACGATCACAATAGCCGCATGAAAATCGTTCCTCGTGCCCGTGTGTTCGAAATGGTCATGGGTTTGAAAACAATTATTTTGAAACATGTATCTTCTGAAAGCTTGTATAGCATGTAGAGTGTAGAGCGCTTGCTGCAGATGCATATTGTCTTGTCCGGGGATGATTTGACTGTACAGACCCTCCTTAGACTCGTGACTACCTGTGATGAACACATGGACGGGTGGCGACGTGATGTCGGAAGGATGCCGAGGTACGCCGTGAAAAAGCACGCCTTGAGGGTGGTAAGCAGATATTTATACGCGTACATTTGATGTGGTGTCAGCCAGCGCGCTGCGGTGGCAAGGAGTCAAGAGCAATGCAGCTACAGCCGAGGATCTGGAGAGTACAACCTCCATTGTGGCTGTTGGTCGTCGAGGGCCCCGGCCCCAGATCGCGGTGGACAAGCACCGCCGACGGTCAACGCCTCAGCGCGCGGCGTTGGAGCCGAGACCAACTATGGCCTCGATAAAGTCGCCCTGAAACCTTGGAGCCCGTCTCAACGTCCTGGTGTGCCTTGGGAACACTGACGTTGCCGCTCTTCGGGTGCATGGAGCCGTAGATCGCGCTGCCCTTCGTTCACCGCGCCTACCGTGCTGTACACAGCGCTGCTGATGTCGCTACGCCGTACACCACCCCATGCAGCGCTTGCGCGTCCATATCCGTGTCCGTGTTGAGGCCGGTGGGCACGAGTTCATGACGCTGCTACTGACCGCCGGCAATGTCGCTGCTGCTGAATTGCTGTAGGGTCGAACGCAAAGTGATAAGGCCACACCACATTGCCCGCGGTGACCTTGTCCGTGCTCGTCGGCTTCTGTTGTCGCTTCCTCAGATGGCAAATTCTCTAAATTTAGAGCAGGCCGCGACTAACGAATCCTTATTGACCTATGGTACTGTAGTTATACGCTTTTCATTCAATCGGAAATACTCATCTCGTGTGTTTTTTTTCCTCCCGACGCATGACCATTGGACCAGTTTTAGGGGAAATGAGCCGAGATACATGTACTTCCGCCTTGATTGCTCGTCAACCATCAGTTCAATTGTCGATACCGGAGTACGAGGCGATGATCAAGACGCGTACCTACACAGCGACATTAGCCTCGCATTCTAAATCGCTTTTCTGCGTTCCGCAGTATGAGCCCAAGCTACAAAAAGTGTTGACCTTACGTCGCGTATCGCTTGTTAAAAGGCGGTCATCCCGTCGACCTACATGTACGTCCGGATCAAACATCATTTCGCATACGAGAGACTGTTCAAGCTTACGAATTATTTTTCGGAAATATTTTGTTTTTGGTATTGACTTGCAGGTTGATTTTGGAAGCCTCAACCACGCCGCCTGTATTTGTGAACGCATATGTTGTTGTATGGCCGAAAACTCTCCTGCTAAATTGTTGGCTCATTTTGCTTCAAAAGTACGAGAGCGCGTGATTCGAGGTGGACCATGGTGTCATCGCGTTTCTCGAAAGGGTGTGTGGTAAGTTGTTCCTGTTTAATTTGCGTGGTTGTGGTTAGAAACGTTTTATATTTTGTATGGTATCATGCAGTGGAGAAACGTCAGAGACACATTCAACCACATTGGCAAGAAGGCCACGATATCTAAGATCGCTAGGGACCTGTTATAACCGGGGTATACCTCCCTCTATGAATGTCACCATGCGAATACCACATATAACTACCAACAATAGAAGCTATTCGTCCTTGAAGACATCGTTGTTTTCATGAAAAGCACGGATCGAACTTATTGTTGCTCCGGCAAGCTAAGGACTTTCAGCGTCTGTTCCAGGATCACGCATCTAGTATCCTTTTCAACTTCTCCACATGATGTCCACCCGAAATCTGCCTCCTATGCGTCTAATTGGGGGCAAGTCCCCTTATAATTACGTCTGTTTACAGGAAACAAATCAACGTTTTAGAAGAGATTAGGGTTTATATATCATAGAGTTTCCGGGGCCGAAAACATGCATTTTACCCGTATTTAAGAACCAAATGGGGATGCTACCTTCAACTGCGTTGACGTAATCATACAGTGCCACCTTTTAAAGTAGATACGACTTGACATCCTGATAGCTACGCGAAACTGGATGTTCCAACAGAATTAACAACTCATCCGCCAAAATTTGTTAATGGCACAATACGCTAAGTAGTGCCTCGAGGCACAGGTGCCGCACGTGCTCCTTAAGATGGTGTCGTGGGGTTCTGCCGACCGGGGAATTATCTTGCGGATGAGTCGTCTAATTGCTGACTGAACTGTGTGGCCAGCTGGCCAATCGTGCTTAGTGGGTGAGATCCTCCCTCCCCCCTCCCTGCAACCGTACCTACAGATTACAAACCTATGCTTGTGCATTCGATTCTTTTTTGGTAAACAAGTATCTTACTTTCATTATATGATGCCACACGACCTGCCTCCAAACACGGAGTCTAATACGACACGCTGCGAAAAAGTGAATGAGGGATACATCGGTTATGTAGTACCTTGCAAAATACGGGAACTAAGGGGTTAATAAGGAAACGTTACATTGCATAACCGTTTTTGATTTAAAATCTATAAGGAAATAATTATACGACTTGTTAAAGTGTACAGCCCACTTTAAAAACTGTGAGCATGCACAGTTCAACCCAACATATTAAGTATTTGATCAGACTGACATGTGAACCAGATCTGACGGTAATGCTACATGTTTGCTGTTATTTATGGTATATCCCCTTGACGCGTCCAAGTGTAATGAGACACCTATCCATCAATGGAGCTCTACCAAAACCCACACACACTCGATATTTGCTACGGTCATAAACATGGCGTATTTATCGTAGCAAATCCGTTGCAATTTGTGTAAACGAGTTTGACGTCTCCACAAATTGCGTCGAGCGCAAATGATGCGTACCACTATTTTGGTACAACTTCCAATCACCGGTCAGTACATTCACGCACTGTCCACGGGTTGGGCGCATTCATGCGCTCCAAGCTCCGCGTCAGCGCACAAGCCGTTGACAGTCGAGCCAACGGAAGAGGCTGAGGGCTTACTATTATACCAACCAAGTTGGTTGTACGTGCAAGTTCACCTACGCATTGTTTGTCTAATGAGCTGACTGGCCACAGCACGACACGGCCACTACCGGTAGCCAGCATGTACGATGAGTGAGTGTAGCCATGCATTTAGCACTCAAATATGTTGTTTTTGGTCGGTATCATAGGTTGTAGCAAACACGACGTAAATTTGGACATATTTGATACATAAATTGCGATTTGCGACAGCGTTTGTGTTAGTTTTGGAAGAGTTCCAATCTCACAATTCTAATAGATTTTATAACATTCGATATGTCTCCGATGTCTAAACGCGCGGCTGGCGCAATGGATAGCGTATCAGACTTCGAATCGGGGGGTTGCGGGTTCGAGTCCCGCGTCGCGTACATTTTCGGTTATACAACACAGTTTTTTAACTAACGAAAATTCCCAAATAATACCCCTTACACGTATAGTACCCTCCAAAGCGTAACCCACTGCGTAGCCCAGAGTTACATGGTTACTTCAATACAAATATCAAGTATAATTTTGTGGTCTTATTGTCGAAAGCATATTTATGCGCAGGCCAGCACATCGGTCGACACGCTCGGAATGACCGGCACCGTGTCGAAAATAAAGAGCCTCGTTGCGTGGGCGGGGAGGGTCGGAGACGCGAGCTGAGGGTCGGCATGGTTCGGCATGGTTCGGCATGGCGACGGCGAGTGTGAGTGGATGCGTTTGATGCGTGTGTGATGTGTGTAGGAGGCGTGCTGGCGGCGCGACATGTGGGGGTGTTGGTACGTCCGCGTGGCCTTGTGGTCTAGTGGTATGATTCTCGCTTAGGGTGCGAGAGGTCCCGGATTCGATCTCCGGCAAGGCCCTGCTCTTTGTTTGGCCTTTTTTGACGTCTCCTGTCCGCGCTCGTTTCGGCTGCCACACGCTTGCTGGCGGGTCCGATGACAGCCCTGCTGCGTCCTGGCGCGGCTGGCAGGCCAGCACATCGGTCGACACGCTCGGAATGACCGGCACCGTGTCGAAAATAAAGAGCCTCGTTGCGTGGGCGGGGAGGGTCGGAGACGCGAGCTGAGGGTCGGCATGGTTCGGCATGGTTCGGCATGGCGACGGCGAGTGTGAGTGGATGCGTTTGATGCGTGTGTGATGTGTGTAGGAGGCGTGCTGGCGGCGCGACATGTGGGGGTGTTGGTACGTCCGCGTGGCCTTGTGGTCTAGTGGTATGATTCTCGCTTAGGGTGCGAGAGGTCCCGGATTCGATCTCCGGCAAGGCCCTGCTCTTTGTTTGGCCTTTTTTGACGTCTCCTGTCCGCGCTCGTTTCGGCTGCCACACGCTTGCTGGCGGGTCCGATGACAGCCCTGCTGCGTCCTGGCGCGGCTGGCAGGCCAGCACATCGGTCGACACGCTCGGAATGACCGGCACCGTGTCGAAAATAAAGAGCCTCGTTGCGTGGGCGGGGAGGGTCGGAGACGCGAGCTGAGGGTCGGCATGGTTCGGCATGGCGACGGCGAGTGTGAGTGGATGCGTTTGATGCGTGTGTGATGTGTGTAGGAGGCGTGCTGGCGGCGCGACATGTGGGGGTGTTGGTACGTCCGCGTGGCCTTGTGGTCTAGTGGTATGATTCTCGCTTAGGGTGCGAGAGGTCCCGGATTCGATCTCCGGCAAGGCCCTGCTCTTTGTTTGGCCTTTTTTGACGTCTCCTGTCCGCGCTCGTTTCGGCTGCCACACGCTTGCTGGCGGGTCCGATGACAGCCCTGCTGCGTCCTGGCGCGGCTGGCAGGCCAGCACATCGGTCGACACGCTCGGAATGACCGGCACCGTGTCGAAAATAAAGAGCCTCGTTGCGTGGGCGGGGAGGGTCGGAGACGCGAGCTGAGGGTCGGCATGGTTCGGCATGGTTCGGCATGGCGACGGCGAGTGTGAGTGGATGCGTTTGATGCGTGTGTGATGTGTGTAGGAGGCGTGCTGGCGGCGCGACATGTGGGGGTGTTGGTACGTCCGCGTGGCCTTGTGGTCTAGTGGTATGATTCTCGCTTAGGGTGCGAGAGGTCCCGGATTCGATCTCCGGCAAGGCCCTGCTCTTTGTTTGGCCTTTTTTTACGTCTCCTGTCCGCGCTCGTTTCGGCTGCCACACGCTTGCTGGCGGGTCCGATGACAGCCCTGCTGCGTCCTGGCGCGGCTGGCAGGCCAGCACATCGGTCGACACGCTCGGAATGACCGGCACCGTGTCGAAAATAAAGAGCCTCGTTGCGTGGGCGGGGAGGGTCGGAGACGCGAGCTGAGGGTCGGCATGGTTCGGCATGGCGACGGCGAGTGTGAGTGGATGCGTTTGATGCGTGTGTGATGTGTGTAGGAGGCGTGCTGGCGGCGCGACATGTGGGGGTGTTGGTACGTCCGCGTGGCCTTGTGGTCTAGTGGTATGATTCTCGCTTAGGGTGCGAGAGGTCCCGGATTCGATCTCCGGCAAGGCCCTGCTCTTTGTTTGGCCTTTTTTTACGTCTCCTGTCCGCGCTCGTTTCGGCTGCCACACGCTTGCTGGCGGGTCCGATGACAGCCCTGCTGCGTCCTGGCGCGGCTGGCAGGCCAGCACATCGGTCGGAATGACCGGCACCGTGTCGAAAATAAAGAGCCTCGTTGCGTGGGCGGGGAGGGTCGGAGACGCGAGCTGAGGGTCGGCATGGTTCGGCATGGTTCGGCATGGCGACGGCGAGTGTGAGTGGATGCGTTTGATGCGTGTGTGATGTGTGTAGGAGGCGTGCTGGCGGCGCGACATGTGGGGGTGTTGGTACGTCCGCGTGGCCTTGTGGTCTAGTGGTATGATTCTCGCTTAGGGTGCGAGAGGTCCCGGATTCGATCTCCGGCAAGGCCCTGCTCTTTGTTTGGCCTTTTTTTGACGTCTCCTGTCCGCGCTCGTTTCGGCTGCCACACGCTTGCTGGCGGGTCCGATGACAACCCTGCTGCGTCCTGGCGCGGCTGGCAGGCCAGCACATCGGTCGACACGCTCGGAATGACCGGCACCGTGTCGAAAATAAAGAGCCTCGTTGCGTGGGCGGGGAGGGTCGGAGACGCGAGCTGAGGGTCGGCATGGTTCGGCATGGCGACGGCGAGTGTGAGTGGATGCGTTTGATGCGTGTGTGATGTGTGTAGGAGGCGTGCTGGCGGCGCGACATGTGGGGGTGTTGGTACGTCCGCGTGGCCTTGTGGTCTAGTGGTATGATTCTCGCTTAGGGTGCGAGAGGTCCCGGATTCGATCTCCGGCAAGGCCCTGCTCTTTGTTTGGCCTTTTTTTACGTCTCCTGTCCGCGCTCGTTTCGGCTGCCACACGCTTGCTGGCGGGTCCGATGACAACCCTGCTGCGTCCTGGCGCGGCTGGCAGGCCAGCACATCGGTCGACACGCTCGGAATGACCGGCACCGTGTCGAAAATAAAGAGCCTCGTTGCGTGGGCGGGGAGGGTCGGAGACGCGAGCTGAGGGTCGGCATGGTTCGGCATGGTTCGGCATGGCGACGGCGAGTGTGAGTGGATGCGTTTGATGCGTGTGTGATGTGTGTAGGAGGCGTGCTGGCGTCGCGACATGTGGGGGTGTTGGTACGTCCGCGTGGCCTTGTGGTCTAGTGGTATGATTCTCGCTTAGGGTGCGAGAGGTCCCGGATTCGATCTCCGGCAAGGCCCTGCTCTTTGTTTGGCCTTTTTTGACGTCTCCTGTCCGCGCTCGTTTCGGCTACCACACGCTTGCTGGCGGGTCCGATGACAGCCCTGCTGCGTCCTGGCGCGGCTGGCAGGCCAGCACATCGGTCGACACGCTCGGAATGACCGGCACCGTGTCGAAAATAAAGAGCCTCGTTGCGTGGGCGGGGAGGGTCGGAGACGCGAGCTGAGGGTCGGCATGGTTCGGCATGGTTCGGCATGGCGACGGCGAGTGTGAGTGGATGCGTTTGATGCGTGTGTGATGTGTGTAGGAGGCGTGCTGGCGGCGCGACATGTGGGGGTGTTGGTACGTCCGCGTGGCCTTGTGGTCTAGTGGTATGATTCTCGCTTAGGGTGCGAGAGGTCCCGGATTCGATCTCCGGCAAGGCCCTGCTCTTTGTTTGGCCTTTTTTGACGTCTCCTGTCCGCGCTCGTTTCGACTACCACACGCTTGCTGGCGGGTCCGATGACAGCCCTGCTGCGTCCTGGCGCGGCTGGCAGGCCAGCACATCGGTCGACACGCTCGGAATGACCGGCACCGTGTCGAAAATAAAGAGCCTCGTTGCGTGGGCGGGGAGGGTCGGAGACGCGAGCTGAGGGTCGGCATGGTTCGGCATGGTTCGGCATGGCGACGGCGAGTGTGAGTGGATGCGTTTGATGCGTGTGTGATGTGTGTAGGAGGCGTGCTGGCGGCGCGACATGTGGGGGTGTTGGTACGTCCGCGTGGCCTTGTGGTCTAGTGGTATGATTCTCGCTTAGGGTGCGAGAGGTCCCGGATTCGATCTCCGGCAAGGCCCTGCTCTTTGTTTGGCCTTTTTTTTACGTCTCCTGTCCGCGCTCGTTTCGGCTGCCACACGCTTGCTGGCGGGTCCGATGACAACCCTGCTGCGTCCTGGCGCGGCTGGCAGGCCAGCACATCGGTCGACACGCTCGGAATGACCGGCACCGTGTCGAAAATAAAGAGCCTCGTTGCGTGGGCGGGGAGGGTCGGAGACGCGAGCTGAGGGTCGGCATGGTTCGGCATGGTTCGGCATGGCGACGGCGAGTGTGAGTGGATGCGTTTGATGCGTGTGTGATGTGTGTAGGAGGCGTGCTGGCGGCGCGACATGTGGGGGTGTTGGTACGTCCGCGTGGCCTTGTGGTCTAGTGGTATGATTCTCGCTTAGGGTGCGAGAGGTCCCGGATTCGATCTCCGGCAAGGCCCTGCTCTTTGTTTGGCCTTTTTTGACGTCTCCTGTCCGCGCTCGTTTCGGCTGCCACACGCTTGCTGGCGGGTCCGATGACAACCCTGCTGCGTCCTGGCGCGGCTGGCAGGCCAGCACATCGGTCGACACGCTCGGAATGACCGGCACCGTGTCGAAAATAAAGAGCCTCGTTGCGTGGGCGGGGAGGGTCGGAGACGCGAGCTGAGGGTCGGCATGGTTCGGCATGGTTCGGCATGGCGACGGCGAGTGTGAGTGGATGCGTTTGATGCGTGTGTGATGTGTGTAGGAGGCGTGCTGGCGGCGCGACATGTGGGGGTGTTGGTACGTCCGCGTGGCCTTGTGGTCTAGTGGTATGATTCTCGCTTAGGGTGCGAGAGGTCCCGGATTCGATCTCCGGCAAGGCCCTGCTCTTTGTTTGGCCTTTTTTTTACGTCTCCTGTCCGCGCTCGTTTCGGCTGCCACACGCTTGCTGGCGGGTCCGATGACAACCCTGCTGCGTCCTGGCGCGGCTGGCAGGCCAGCACATCGGTCGACACGCTCGGAATGACCGGCACCGTGTCGAAAATAAAGAGCCTCGTTGCGTGGGCGGGGAGGGTCGGAGACGCGAGCTGAGGGTCGGCATGGTTCGGCATGGTTCGGCATGGCGACGGCGAGTGTGAGTGGATGCGTTTGATGCGTGTGTGATGTGTGTAGGAGGCGTGCTGGCGGCGCGACATGTGGGGGTGTTGGTACGTCCGCGTGGCCTTGTGGTCTAGTGGTATGATTCTCGCTTAGGGTGCGAGAGGTCCCGGATTCGATCTCCGGCAAGGCCCTGCTCTTTGTTTGGCCTTTTTTGACGTCTCCTGTCCGCGCTCGTTTCGGCTGCCACACGCTTGCTGGCGGGTCCGATGACAGCCCTGCTGCGTCCTGGCGCGGCTGGCAGGCCAGCACATCGGTCGACACGCTCGGAATGACCGGCACCGTGTCGAAAATAAAGAGCCTCGTTGCGTGGGCGGGGAGGGTCGGAGACGCGAGCTGAGGGTCGGCATGGTTCGGCATGGTTCGGCATGGCGACGGCGAGTGTGAGTGGATGCGTTTGATGCGTGTGTGATGTGTGTAGGAGGCGTGCTGGCGGCGCGACATGTGGGGGTGTTGGTACGTCCGCGTGGCCTTGTGGTCTAGTGGTATGATTCTCGCTTAGGGTGCGAGAGGTCCCGGATTCGATCTCCGGCAAGGCCCTGCTCTTTGTTTGGCCTTTTTTTTACGTCTCCTGTCCGCGCTCGTTTCGGCTGCCACACGCTTGCTGGCGGGTCCGATGACAGCCCTGCTGCGTCCTGGCGCGGCTGGCAGGCCAGCACATCGGTCGACACGCTCGGAATGACCGGCACCGTGTCGAAAATAAAGAGCCTCGTTGCGTGGGCGGGGAGGGTCGGAGACGCGAGCTGAGGGTCGGCATGGTTCGGCATGGTTCGGCATGGCGACGGCGAGTGTGAGTGGATGCGTTTGATGCGTGTGTGATGTGTGTAGGAGGCGTGCTGGCGGCGCGACATGTGGGGGTGTTGGTACGTCCGCGTGGCCTTGTGGTCTAGTGGTATGATTCTCGCTTAGGGTGCGAGAGGTCCCGGATTCGATCTCCGGCAAGGCCGTGCTCTTTGTTTGGCCTTTTTTGACGTCTCCTGTCCGCGCTCGTTTCGGCTGCCACACGCTTGCTGGCGGGTCCGATGACAGCCCTGCTGCGTCCTGGCGCGGCTGGCAGGCCAGCACATCGGTCGACACGCTCGGAATGACCGGCACCGTGTCGAAAATAAAGAGCCTCGTTGCGTGGGCGGGGAGGGTCGGAGACGCGAGCTGAGGGTCGGCATGGTTCGGCATGGTTCGGCATGGCGACGGCGAGTGTGAGTGGATGCGTTTGATGCGTGTGTGATGTGTGTAGGAGGCGTGCTGGCGGCGCGACATGTGGGGGTGTTGGTACGTCCGCGTGGCCTTGTGGTCTAGTGGTATGATTCTCGCTTAGGGTGCGAGAGGTCCCGGATTCGATCTCCGGCAAGGCCCTGCTCTTTGTTTGGCCTTTTTTTTACGTCTCCTGTCCGCGCTCGTTTCGGCTGCCACACGCTTGCTGGCGGGTCCGATGACAGCCCTGCTGCGTCCTGGCGCGGCTGGCAGGCCAGCACATCGGTCGACACGCTCGGAATGACCGGCACCGTGTCGAAAATAAAGAGCCTCGTTGCGTGGGCGGGGAGGGTCGGAGACGCGAGCTGAGGGTCGGCATGGTTCGGCATGGTTCGGCATGGCGACGGCGAGTGTGAGTGGATGCGTTTGATGCGTGTGTGATGTGTGTAGGAGGCGTGCTGGCGGCGCGACATGTGGGGGTGTTGGTACGTCCGCGTGGCCTTGTGGTCTAGTGGTATGATTCTCGCTTAGGGTGCGAGAGGTCCCGGATTCGATCTCCGGCAAGGCCCTGCTCTTTGTTTGGCCTTTTTTGACGTCTCCTGTCCGCGCTCGTTTCGGCTGCCACACGCTTGCTGGCGGGTCCGATGACAGCCCTGCTGCGTCCTGGCGCGGCTGGCAGGCCAGCACATCGGTCGACACGCTCGGAATGACCGGCACCGTGTCGAAAATAAAGAGCCTCGTTGCGTGGGCGGGGAGGGTCGGAGACGCGAGCTGAGGGTCGGCATGGTTCGGCATGGTTCGGCATGGCGACGGCGAGTGTGAGTGGATGCGTTTGATGCGTGTGTGATGTGTGTAGGAGGCGTGCTGGCGGCGCGACATGTGGGGGTGTTGGTACGTCCGCGTGGCCTTGTGGTCTAGTGGTATGATTCTCGCTTAGGGTGCGAGAGGTCCCGGATTCGATCTCCGGCAAGGCCCTGCTCTTTGTTTGGCCTTTTTTTGACGTCTCCTGTCCGCGCTCGTTTCGGCTGCCACACGCTTGCTGGCGGGTCCGATGACAGCCCTGCTGCGTCCTGGCGCGGCTGGCAGGCCAGCACATCGGTCGACACGCTCGGAATGACCGGCACCGTGTCGAAAATAAAGAGCCTCGTTGCGTGGGCGGGGAGGGTCGGAGACGCGAGCTGAGGGTCGGCATGGTTCGGCATGGTTCGGCATGGCGACGGCGAGTGTGAGTGGATGCGTTTGATGCGTGTGTGATGTGTGTAGGAGGCGTGCTGGCGGCGCGACATGTGGGGGTGTTGGTACGTCCGCGTGGCCTTGTGGTCTAGTGGTATGATTCTCGCTTAGGGTGCGAGAGGTCCCGGATTCGATCTCCGGCAAGGCCCTGCTCTTTGTTTGGCCTTTTTTTTACGTCTCCTGTCCGCGCTCGTTTCGGCTGCCACACGCTTGCTGGCGGGTCCGATGACAGCCCTGCTGCGTCCTGGCGCGGCTGGCAGGCCAGCACATCGGTCGACACGCTCGGAATGACCGGCACCGTGTCGAAAATAAAGAGCCTCGTTGCGTGGGCGGGGAGGGTCGGAGACGCGAGCTGAGGGTCGGCATGGTTCGGCATGGCGACGGCGAGTGTGAGTGGATGCGTTTGATGCGTGTGTGATGTGTGTAGGAGGCGTGCTGGCGGCGCGACATGTGGGGGTGTTGGTACGTCCGCGTGGCCTTGTGGTCTAGTGGTATGATTCTCGCTTAGGGTGCGAGAGGTCCCGGATTCGATCTCCGGCAAGGCCCTGCTCTTTGTTTGGCCTTTTTTGACGTCTCCTGTCCGCGCTCGTTTCGGCTGCCACACGCTTGCTGGCGGGTCCGATGACAGCCCTGCTGCGTCCTGGCGCGGCTGGCAGGCCAGCACATCGGTCGACACGCTCGGAATGACCGGCACCGTGTCGAAAATAAAGAGCCTCGTTGCGTGGGCGGGGAGGGTCGGAGACGCGAGCTGAGGGTCGGCATGGTTCGGCATGGTTCGGCATGGCGACGGCGAGTGTGAGTGGATGCGTTTGATGCGTGTGTGATGTGTGTAGGAGGCGTGCTGGCGGCGCGACATGTGGGGGTGTTGGTACGTCCGCGTGGCCTTGTGGTCTAGTGGTATGATTCTCGCTTAGGGTGCGAGAGGTCCCGGATTCGATCTCCGGCAAGGCCCTGCTCTTTGTTTGGCCTTTTTTGACGTCTCCTGTCCGCGCTCGTTTCGGCTGCCACACGCTTGCTGGCGGGTCCGATGACAGCCCTGCTGCGTCCTGGCGCGGCTGGCAGGCCAGCACATCGGTCGACACGCTCGGAATGACCGGCACCGTGTCGAAAATAAAGAGCCTCGTTGCGTGGGCGGGGAGGGTCGGAGACGCGAGCTGAGGGTCGGCATGGTTCGGCATGGTTCGGCATGGCGACGGCGAGTGTGAGTGGATGCGTTTGATGCGTGTGTGATGTGTGTAGGAGGCGTGCTGGCGGCGCGACATGTGGGGGTGTTGATACGTCCGCGTGGCCTTGTGGTCTAGTGGTATGATTCTCGCTTAGGGTGCGAGAGGTCCCGGATTCGATCTCCGGCAAGGCCCTGCTCTTTGTTTGGCCTTTTTTTTACGTCTCCTGTCCGCGCTCGTTTCGGCTGCCACACGCTTGCTGGCGGGTCCGATGACAACCCTGCTGCGTCCTGGCGCGGCTGGCAGGCCAGCACATCGGTCGACACGCTCGGAATGACCGGCACCGTGTCGAAAATAAAGAGCCTCGTTGCGTGGGCGGGGAGGGTCGGAGACGCGAGCTGAGGGTCGGCATGGTTCGGCATGGTTCGGCATGGCGACGGCGAGTGTGAGTGGATGCGTTTGATGCGTGTGTGATGTGTGTAGGAGGCGTGCTGGCGGCGCGACATGTGGGGGTGTTGGTACGTCCGCGTGGCCTTGTGGTCTAGTGGTATGATTCTCGCTTAGGGTGCGAGAGGTCCCGGATTCGATCTCCGGCAAGGCCCTGCTCTTTGTTTGGCCTTTTTTTTACGTCTCCTGTCCGCGCTCGTTTCGGCTGCCACACGCTTGCTGGCGGGTCCGATGACAACCCTGCTGCGTCCTGGCGCGGCTGGCAGGCCAGCACATCGGTCGACACGCTCGGAATGACCGGCACCGTGTCGAAAATAAAGAGCCTCGTTGCGTGGGCGGGGAGGGTCGGAGACGCGAGCTGAGGGTCGGCATGGTTCGGCATGGTTCGGCATGGCGACGGCGAGTGTGAGTGGATGCGTTTGATGCGTGTGTGATGTGTGTAGGAGGCGTGCTGGCGGCGCGACATGTGGGGGTGTTGGTACGTCCGCGTGGCCTTGTGGTCTAGTGGTATGATTCTCGCTTAGGGTGCGAGAGGTCCCGGATTCGATCTCCGGCAAGGCCCTGCTCTTTGTTTGGCCTTTTTTTTACGTCTCCTGTCCGCGCTCGTTTCGGCTGCCACACGCTTGCTGGCGGGTCCGATGACAACCCTGCTGCGTCCTGGCGCGGCTGGCAGGCCAGCACATCGGTCGACACGCTCGGAATGACCGGCACCGTGTCGAAAATAAAGAGCCTCGTTGCGTGGGCGGGGAGGGTCGGAGACGCGAGCTGAGGGTCGGCATGGTTCGGCATGGTTCGGCATGGCGACGGCGAGTGTGAGTGGATGCGTTTGATGCGTGTGTGATGTGTGTAGGAGGCGTGCTGGCGGCGCGACATGTGGGGGTGTTGGTACGTCCGCGTGGCCTTGTGGTCTAGTGGTATGATTCTCGCTTAGGGTGCGAGAGGTCCCGGATTCGATCTCCGGCAAGGCCCTGCTCTTTGTTTGGCCTTTTTTTTACGTCTCCTGTCCGCGCTCGTTTCGGCTGCCACACGCTTGCTGGCGGGTCCGATGACAACCCTGCTGCGTCCTGGCGCGGCTGGCAGGCCAGCACATCGGTCGACACGCTCGGAATGACCGGCACCGTGTCGAAAATAAAGAGCCTCGTTGCGTGGGCGGGGAGGGTCGGAGACGCGAGCTGAGGGTCGGCATGGTTCGGCATGGTTCGGCATGGCGACGGCGAGTGTGAGTGGATGCGTTTGATGCGTGTGTGATGTGTGTAGGAGGCGTGCTGGCGGCGCGACATGTGGGGGTGTTGGTACGTCCGCGTGGCCTTGTGGTCTAGTGGTATGATTCTCGCTTAGGGTGCGAGAGGTCCCGGATTCGATCTCCGGCAAGGCCCTGCTCTTTGTTTGGCCTTTTTTGACGTCTCCTGTCCGCGCTCGTTTCGGCTGCCACACGCTTGCTGGCGGGTCCGATGACAACCCTGCTGCGTCCTGGCGCGGCTGGCAGGCCAGCACATCGGTCGACACGCTCGGAATGACCGGCACCGTGTCGAAAATAAAGAGCCTCGTTGCGTGGGCGGGGAGGGTCGGAGACGCGAGCTGAGGGTCGGCATGGTTCGGCATGGTTCGGCATGGCGACGGCGAGTGTGAGTGGATGCGTTTGATGCGTGTGTGATGTGTGTAGGAGGCGTGCTGGCGGCGCGACATGTGGGGGTGTTGGTACGTCCGCGTGGCCTTGTGGTCTAGTGGTATGATTCTCGCTTAGGGTGCGAGAGGTCCCGGATTCGATCTCCGGCAAGGCCCTGCTCTTTGTTTGGCCTTTTTTTTACGTCTCCTGTCCGCGCTCGTTTCGGCTGCCACACGCTTGCTGGCGGGTCCGATGACAGCCCTGCTGCGTCCTGGCGCGGCTGGCAGGCCAGCACATCGGTCGACACGCTCGGAATGACCGGCACCGTGTCGAAAATAAAGAGCCTCGTTGCGTGGGCGGGGAGGGTCGGAGACGCGAGCTGAGGGTCGGCATGGTTCGGCATGGTTCGGCATGGCGACGGCGAGTGTGAGTGGATGCGTTTGATGCGTGTGTGATGTGTGTAGGAGGCGTGCTGGCGGCGCGACATGTGGGGGTGTTGGTACGTCCGCGTGGCCTTGTGGTCTAGTGGTATGATTCTCGCTTAGGGTGCGAGAGGTCCCGGATTCGATCTCCGGCAAGGCCCTGCTCTTTGTTTGGCCTTTTTTGACGTCTCCTGTCCGCGCTCGTTTCGGCTACCACACGCTTGCTGGCGGGTCCGATGACAGCCCTGCTGCGTCCTGGCGCGGCTGGCAGGCCAGCACATCGGTCGACACGCTCGGAATGACCGGCACCGTGTCGAAAATAAAGAGCCTCGTTGCGTGGGCGGGGAGGGTCGGAGACGCGAGCTGAGGGTCGGCATGGTTCGGCATGGTTCGGCATGGCGACGGCGAGTGTGAGTGGATGCGTTTGATGCGTGTGTGATGTGTGTAGGAGGCGTGCTGGCGGCGCGACATGTGGGGGTGTTGGTACGTCCGCGTGGCCTTGTGGTCTAGTGGTATGATTCTCGCTTAGGGTGCGAGAGGTCCCGGATTCGATCTCCGGCAAGGCCCTGCTCTTTGTTTGGCCTTTTTTGACGTCTCCTGTCCGCGCTCGTTTCGGCTGCCACACGCTTGCTGGCGGGTCCGATGACAGCCCTGCTGCGTCCTGGCGCGGCTGGCAGGCCAGCACATCGGTCGACACGCTCGGAATGACCGGCACCGTGTCGAAAATAAAGAGCCTCGTTGCGTGGGCGGGGAGGGTCGGAGACGCGAGCTGAGGGTCGGCATGGTTCGGCATGGCGACGGCGAGTGTGAGTGGATGCGTTTGATGCGTGTGTGATGTGTGTAGGAGGCGTGCTGGCGGCGCGACATGTGGGGGTGTTGGTACGTCCGCGTGGCCTTGTGGTCTAGTGGTATGATTCTCGCTTAGGGTGCGAGAGGTCCCGGATTCGATCTCCGGCAAGGCCCTGCTCTTTGTTTGGCCTTTTTTGACGTCTCCTGTCCGCGCTCGTTTCGGCTGCCACACGCTTGCTGGCGGGTCCGATGACAACCCTGCTGCGTCCTGGCGCGGCTGGCAGGCCAGCACATCGGTCGACACGCTCGGAATGACCGGCACCGTGTCGAAAATAAAGAGCCTCGTTGCGTGGGCGGGGAGGGTCGGAGACGCGAGCTGAGGGTCGGCATGGTTCGGCATGGTTCGGCATGGCGACGGCGAGTGTGAGTGGATGCGTTTGATGCGTGTGTGATGTGTGTAGGAGGCGTGCTGGCGGCGCGACATGTGGGGGTGTTGGTACGTCCGCGTGGCCTTGTGGTCTAGTGGTATGATTCTCGCTTAGGGTGCGAGAGGTCCCGGATTCGATCTCCGGCAAGGCCCTGCTCTTTGTTTGGCCTTTTTTTGACGTCTCCTGTCCGCGCTCGTTTCGGCTGCCACACGCTTGCTGGCGGGTCCGATGACAACCCTGCTGCGTCCTGGCGCGGCTGGCAGGCCAGCACATCGGTCGACACGCTCGGAATGACTGGCACCGTGTGGAAAATAAAGAGCCTCGTTGCGTGGGCGGGGAGGGTCGGAGACGCGAGCTGAGGGTCGGCATGGTTCGGCATGGTTCGGCATGGCGACGGCGAGTGTGAGTGGATGCGTTTGATGCGTGTGTGATGTGTGTAGGAGGCGTGCTGGCGGCGCGACATGTGGGGGTGTTGGTACGTCCGCGTGGCCTTGTGGTCTAGTGGTATGATTCTCGCTTAGGGTGCGAGAGGTCCCGGATTCGATCTCCGGCAAGGCCCTGCTCTTTGTTTGGCCTTTTTTGACGTCTCCTGTCCGCGCTCGTTTCGGCTGCCACACGCTTGCTGGCGGGTCCGATGACAACCCTGCTGCGTCCTGGCGCGGCTGGCAGGCCAGCACATCGGTCGACACGCTCGGAATGACCGGCACCGTGTCGAAAATAAAGAGCCTCGTTGCGTGGGCGGGGAGGGTCGGAGACGCGAGCTGAGGGTCGGCATGGTTCGGCATGGTTCGGCATGGCGACGGCGAGTGTGAGTGGATGCGTTTGATGCGTGTGTGATGTGTGTAGGAGGCGTGCTGGCGGCGCGACATGTGGGGATGTTGGTACGTCCGCGTGGCCTTGTGGTCTAGTGGTATGATTCTCGCTTAGGGTGCGAGAGGTCCCGGATTCGATCTCCGGCAAGGCCCTGCTCTTTGTTTGGCCTTTTTTGACGTCTCCTGTCCGCGCTCGTTTCGGCTGCCACACGCTTGCTGGCGGGTCCGATGACAGCCCTGCTGCGTCCTGGCGCGGCTGGCAGGCCAGCACATCGGTCGACACGCTCGGAATGACCGGCACCGTGTCGAAAATAAAGAGCCTCGTTGCGTGGGCGGGGAGGGTCGGAGACGCGAGCTGAGGGTCGGCATGGTTCGGCATGGTTCGGCATGGCGACGGCGAGTGTGAGTGGATGCGTTTGATGCGTGTGTGATGTGTGTAGGAGGCGTGCTGGCGGCGCGACATGTGGGGGTGTTGGTACGTCCGCGTGGCCTTGTGGTCTAGTGGTATGATTCTCGCTTAGGGTGCGAGAGGTCCCGGATTCGATCTCCGGCAAGGCCCTGCTCTTTGTTTGGCCTTTTTTGACGTCTCCTGTCCGCGCTCGTTTCGGCTGCCACACGCTTGCTGGCGGGTCCGATGACAGCCCTGCTGCGTCCTGGCGCGGCTGGCAGGCCAGCACATCGGTCGACACGCTCGGAATGACCGGCACCGTGTCGAAAATAAAGAGCCTCGTTGCGTGGGCGGGGAGGGTCGGAGACGCGAGCTGAGGGTCGGCATGGTTCGGCATGGTTCGGCATGGCGACGGCGAGTGTGAGTGGATGCGTTTGATGCGTGTGTGATGTGTGTAGGAGGCGTGCTGGCGGCGCGACATGTGGGGGTGTTGGTACGTCCGCGTGGCCTTGTGGTCTAGTGGTATGATTCTCGCTTAGGGTGCGAGAGGTCCCGGATTCGATCTCCGGCAAGGCCCTGCTCTTTGTTTGGCCTTTTTTGACGTCTCCTGTCCGCGCTCGTTTCGGCTGCCACACGCTTGCTGGCGGGTCCGATGACAACCCTGCTGCGTCCTGGCGCGGCTGGCAGGCCAGCACATCGGTCGACACGCTCGGAATGACCGGCACCGTGTCGAAAATAAAGAGCCTCGTTGCGTGGGCGGGGAGGGTCGGAGACGCGAGCTGAGGGTCGGCATGGTTCGGCATGGTTCGGCATGGCGACGGCGAGTGTGAGTGGATGCGTTTGATGCGTGTGTGATGTGTGTAGGAGGCGTGCTGGCGGCGCGACATGTGGGGGTGTTGGTACGTCCGCGTGGCCTTGTGGTCTAGTGGTATGATTCTCGCTTAGGGTGCGAGAGGTCCCGGATTCGATCTCCGGCAAGGCCCTGCTCTTTGTTTGGCCTTTTTTTTACGTCTCCTGTCCGCGCTCGTTTCGGCTGCCACACGCTTGCTGGCGGGTCCGATGACAACCCTGCTGCGTCCTGGCGCGGCTGGCAGGCCAGCACATCGGTCGACACGCTCGGAATGACCGGCACCGTGTCGAAAATAAAGAGCCTCGTTGCGTGGGCGGGGAGGGTCGGAGACGCGAGCTGAGGGTCGGCATGGTTCGGCATGGTTCGGCATGGCGACGGCGAGTGTGAGTGGATGCGTTTGATGCGTGTGTGATGTGTGTAGGAGGCGTGCTGGCGGCGCGACATGTGGGGGTGTTGGTACGTCCGCGTGGCCTTGTGGTCTAGTGGTATGATTCTCGCTTAGGGTGCGAGAGGTCCCGGATTCGATCTCCGGCAAGGCCCTGCTCTTTGTTTGGCCTTTTTTTTACGTCTCCTGTCCGCGCTCGTTTCGGCTGCCACACGCTTGCTGGCGGGTCCGATGACAACCCTGCTGCGTCCTGGCGCGGCTGGCAGGCCAGCACATCGGTCGACACGCTCGGAATGACCGGCACCGTGTCGAAAATAAAGAGCCTCGTTGCGTGGGCGGGGAGGGTCGGAGACGCGAGCTGAGGGTCGGCATGGTTCGGCATGGCGACGGCGAGTGTGAGTGGATGCGTTTGATGCGTGTGTGATGTGTGTAGGAGGCGTGCTGGCGGCGCGACATGTGGGGGTGTTGGTACGTCCGCGTGGCCTTGTGGTCTAGTGGTATGATTCTCGCTTAGGGTGCGAGAGGTCCCGGATTCGATCTCCGGCAAGGCCCTGCTCTTTGTTTGGCCTTTTTTGACGTCTCCTGTCCGCGCTCGTTTCGGCTGCCACACGCTTGCTGGCGGGTCCGATGACAACCCTGCTGCGTCCTGGCGCGGCTGGCAGGCCAGCACATCGGTCGACACGCTCGGAATGACCGGCACCGTGTCGAAAATAAAGAGCCTCGTTGCGTGGGCGGGGAGGGTCGGAGACGCGAGCTGAGGGTCGGCATGGTTCGGCATGGTTCGGCATGGCGACGGCGAGTGTGAGTGGATGCGTTTGATGCGTGTGTGATGTGTGTAGGAGGCGTGCTGGCGGCGCGACATGTGGGGGTGTTGGTACGTCCGCGTGGCCTTGTGGTCTAGTGGTATGATTCTCGCTTAGGGTGCGAGAGGTCCCGGATTCGATCTCCGGCAAGGCCCTGCTCTTTGTTTGGCCTTTTTTTTACGTCTCCTGTCCGCGCTCGTTTCGGCTGCCACACGCTTGCTGGCGGGTCCGATGACAACCCTGCTGCGTCCTGGCGCGGCTGGCAGGCCAGCACATCGGTCGACACGCTCGGAATGACCGGCACCGTGTCGAAAATAAAGAGCCTCGTTGCGTGGGCGGGGAGGGTCGGAGACGCGAGCTGAGGGTCGGCATGGTTCGGCATGGTTCGGCATGGCGACGGCGAGTGTGAGTGGATGCGTTTGATGCGTGTGTGATGTGTGTAGGAGGCGTGCTGGCGGCGCGACATGTGGGGGTGTTGGTACGTCCGCGTGGCCTTGTGGTCTAGTGGTATGATTCTCGCTTAGGGTGCGAGAGGTCCCGGATTCGATCTCCGGCAAGGCCCTGCTCTTTGTTTGGCCTTTTTTGACGTCTCCTGTCCGCGCTCGTTTCGGCTGCCACACGCTTGCTGGCGGGTCCGATGACAGCCCTGCTGCGTCCTGGCGCGGCTGGCAGGCCAGCACATCGGTCGACACGCTCGGAATGACCGGCACCGTGTCGAAAATAAAGAGCCTCGTTGCGTGGGCGGGGAGGGTCGGAGACGCGAGCTGAGGGTCGGCATGGTTCGGCATGGTTCGGCATGGCGACGGCGAGTGTGAGTGGATGCGTTTGATGCGTGTGTGATGTGTGTAGGAGGCGTGCTGGCGGCGCGACATGTGGGGGTGTTGGTACGTCCGCGTGGCCTTGTGGTCTAGTGGTATGATTCTCGCTTAGGGTGCGAGAGGTCCCGGATTCGATCTCCGGCAAGGCCCTGCTCTTTGTTTGGCCTTTTTTTTACGTCTCCTGTCCGCGCTCGTTTCGGCTGCCACACGCTTGCTGGCGGGTCCGATGACAGCCCTGCTGCGTCCTGGCGCGGCTGGCAGGCCAGCACATCGGTCGACACGCTCGGAATGACCGGCACCGTGTCGAAAATAAAGAGCCTCGTTGCGTGGGCGGGGAGGGTCGGAGACGCGAGCTGAGGGTCGGCATGGTTCGGCATGGCGACGGCGAGTGTGAGTGGATGCGTTTGATGCGTGTGTGATGTGTGTAGGAGGCGTGCTGGCGGCGCGACATGTGGGGGTGTTGGTACGTCCGCGTGGCCTTGTGGTCTAGTGGTATGATTCTCGCTTAGGGTGCGAGAGGTCCCGGATTCGATCTCCGGCAAGGCCCTGCTCTTTGTTTGGCCTTTTTTTACGTCTCCTGTCCGCGCTCGTTTCGGCTGCCACACGCTTGCTGGCGGGTCCGATGACAGCCCTGCTGCGTCCTGGCGCGGCTGGCAGGCCAGCACATCGGTCGGAATGACCGGCACCGTGTCGAAAATAAAGAGCCTCGTTGCGTGGGCGGGGAGGGTCGGAGACGCGAGCTGAGGGTCGGCATGGTTCGGCATGGTTCGGCATGGCGACGGCGAGTGTGAGTGGATGCGTTTGATGCGTGTGTGATGTGTGTAGGAGGCGTGCTGGCGGCGCGACATGTGGGGGTGTTGGTACGTCCGCGTGGCCTTGTGGTCTAGTGGTATGATTCTCGCTTAGGGTGCGAGAGGTCCCGGATTCGATCTCCGGCAAGGCCCTGCTCTTTGTTTGGCCTTTTTTTTACGTCTCCTGTCCGCGCTCGTTTCGGCTGCCACACGCTTGCTGGCGGGTCCGATGACAACCCTGCTGCGTCCTGGCGCGGCTGGCAGGCCAGCACATCGGTCGACACGCTCGGAATGACCGGCACCGTGTCGAAAATAAAGAGCCTCGTTGCGTGGGCGGGGAGGGTCGGAGACGCGAGCTGAGGGTCGGCATGGTTCGGCATGGCGACGGCGAGTGTGAGTGGATGCGTTTGATGCGTGTGTGATGTGTGTAGGAGGCGTGCTGGCGGCGCGACATGTGGGGGTGTTGGTACGTCCGCGTGGCCTTGTGGTCTAGTGGTATGATTCTCGCTTAGGGTGCGAGAGGTCCCGGATTCGATCTCCGGCAAGGCCCTGCTCTTTGTTTGGCCTTTTTTTACGTCTCCTGTCCGCGCTCGTTTCGGCTGCCACACGCTTGCTGGCGGGTCCGATGACAACCCTGCTGCGTCCTGGCGCGGCTGGCAGGCCAGCACATCGGTCGACACGCTCGGAATGACCGGCACCGTGTCGAAAATAAAGAGCCTCGTTGCGTGGGCGGGGAGGGTCGGAGACGCGAGCTGAGGGTCGGCATGGTTCGGCATGGTTCGGCATGGCGACGGCGAGTGTGAGTGGATGCGTTTGATGCGTGTGTGATGTGTGTAGGAGGCGTGCTGGCGGCGCGACATGTGGGGGTGTTGGTACGTCCGCGTGGCCTTGTGGTCTAGTGGTATGATTCTCGCTTAGGGTGCGAGAGGTCCCGGATTCGATCTCCGGCAAGGCCCTGCTCTTTGTTTGGCCTTTTTTTTACGTCTCCTGTCCGCGCTCGTTTCGGCTGCCACACGCTTGCTGGCGGGTCCGATGACAACCCTGCTGCGTCCTGGCGCGGCTGGCAGGCCAGCACATCGGTCGACACGCTCGGAATGACCGGCACCGTGTCGAAAATAAAGAGCCTCGTTGCGTGGGCGGGGAGGGTCGGAGACGCGAGCTGAGGGTCGGCATGGTTCGGCATGGTTCGGCATGGCGACGGCGAGTGTGAGTGGATGCGTTTGATGCGTGTGTGATGTGTGTAGGAGGCGTGCTGGCGGCGCGACATGTGGGGGTGTTGGTACGTCCGCGTGGCCTTGTGGTCTAGTGGTATGATTCTCGCTTAGGGTGCGAGAGGTCCCGGATTCGATCTCCGGCAAGGCCCTGCTCTTTGTTTGGCCTTTTTTGACGTCTCCTGTCCGCGCTCGTTTCGGCTGCCACACGCTTGCTGGCGGGTCCGATGACAGCCCTGCTGCGTCCTGGCGCGGCTGGCAGGCCAGCACATCGGTCGACACGCTCGGAATGACCGGCACCGTGTCGAAAATAAAGAGCCTCGTTGCGTGGGCGGGGAGGGTCGGAGACGCGAGCTGAGGGTCGGCATGGTTCGGCATGGTTCGGCATGGCGACGGCGAGTGTGAGTGGATGCGTTTGATGCGTGTGTGATGTGTGTAGGAGGCGTGCTGGCGGCGCGACATGTGGGGGTGTTGGTACGTCCGCGTGGCCTTGTGGTCTAGTGGTATGATTCTCGCTTAGGGTGCGAGAGGTCCCGGATTCGATCTCCGGCAAGGCCCTGCTCTTTGTTTGGCCTTTTTTTTACGTCTCCTGTCCGCGCTCGTTTCGGCTGCCACACGCTTGCTGGCGGGTCCGATGACAACCCTGCTGCGTCCTGGCGCGGCTGGCAGGCCAGCACATCGGTCGACACGCTCGGAATGACCGGCACCGTGTCGAAAATAAAGAGCCTCGTTGCGTGGGCGGGGAGGGTCGGAGACGCGAGCTGAGGGTCGGCATGGTTCGGCATGGCGACGGCGAGTGTGAGTGGATGCGTTTGATGCGTGTGTGATGTGTGTAGGAGGCGTGCTGGCGGCGCGACATGTGGGGGTGTTGGTACGTCCGCGTGGCCTTGTGGTCTAGTGGTATGATTCTCGCTTAGGGTGCGAGAGGTCCCGGATTCGATCTCCGGCAAGGCCCTGCTCTTTGTTTGGCCTTTTTTGACGTCTCCTGTCCGCGCTCGTTTCGGCTACCACACGCTTGCTGGCGGGTCCGATGACAGCCCTGCTGCGTCCTGGCGCGGCTGGCAGGCCAGCACATCGGTCGACACGCTCGGAATGACCGGCACCGTGTCGAAAATAAAGAGCCTCGTTGCGTGGGCGGGGAGGGTCGGAGACGCGAGCTGAGGGTCGGCATGGTTCGGCATGGTTCGGCATGGCGACGGCGAGTGTGAGTGGATGCGTTTGATGCGTGTGTGATGTGTGTAGGAGGCGTGCTGGCGGCGCGACATGTGGGGGTGTTGGTACGTCCGCGTGGCCTTGTGGTCTAGTGGTATGATTCTCGCTTAGGGTGCGAGAGGTCCCGGATTCGATCTCCGGCAAGGCCCTGCTCTTTGTTTGGCCTTTTTTGACGTCTCCTGTCCGCGCTCGTTTCGGCTGCCACACGCTTGCTGGCGGGTCCGATGACAGCCCTGCTGCGTCCTGGCGCGGCTGGCAGGCCAGCACATCGGTCGACACGCTCGGAATGACCGGCACCGTGTCGAAAATAAAGAGCCTCGTTGCGTGGGCGGGGAGGGTCGGAGACGCGAGCTGAGGGTCGGCATGGTTCGGCATGGTTCGGCATGGCGACGGCGAGTGTGAGTGGATGCGTTTGATGCGTGTGTGATGTGTGTAGGAGGCGTGCTGGCGGCGCGACATGTGGGGGTGTTGGTACGTCCGCGTGGCCTTGTGGTCTAGTGGTATGATTCTCGCTTAGGGTGCGAGAGGTCCCGGATTCGATCTCCGGCAAGGCCCTGCTCTTTGTTTGGCCTTTTTTGACGTCTCCTGTCCGCGCTCGTTTCGGCTACCACACGCTTGCTGGCGGGTCCGATGACAGCCCTGCTGCGTCCTGGCGCGGCTGGCAGGCCAGCACATCGGTCGACACGCTCGGAATGACCGGCACCGTGTCGAAAATAAAGAGCCTCGTTGCGTGGGCGGGGAGGGTCGGAGACGCGAGCTGAGGGTCGGCATGGTTCGGCATGGTTCGGCATGGCGACGGCGAGTGTGAGTGGATGCGTTTGATGCGTGTGTGATGTGTGTAGGAGGCGTGCTGGCGGCGCGACATGTGGGGGTGTTGGTACGTCCGCGTGGCCTTGTGGTCTAGTGGTATGATTCTCGCTTAGGGTGCGAGAGGTCCCGGATTCGATCTCCGGCAAGGCCCTGCTCTTTGTTTGGCCTTTTTTTGACGTCTCCTGTCCGCGCTCGTTTCGGCTGCCACACGCTTGCTGGCGGGTCCGATGACAGCCCTGCTGCGTCCTGGCGCGGCTGGCAGGCCAGCACATCGGTCGACACGCTCGGAATGACCGGCACCGTGTCGAAAATAAAGAGCCTCGTTGCGTGGGCGGGGAGGGTCGGAGACGCGAGCTGAGGGTCGGCATGGTTCGGCATGGTTCGGCATGGCGACGGCGAGTGTGAGTGGATGCGTTTGATGCGTGTGTGATGTGTGTAGGAGGCGTGCTGGCGGCGCGACATGTGGGGGTGTTGGTACGTCCGCGTGGCCTTGTGGTCTAGTGGTATGATTCTCGCTTAGGGTGCGAGAGGTCCCGGATTCGATCTCCGGCAAGGCCCTGCTCTTTGTTTGGCCTTTTTTGACGTCTCCTGTCCGCGCTCGTTTCGGCTGCCACACGCTTGCTGGCGGGTCCGATGACAGCCCTGCTGCGTCCTGGCGCGGCTGGCAGGCCAGCACATCGGTCGACACGCTCGGAATGACCGGCACCGTGTCGAAAATAAAGAGCCTCGTTGCGTGGGCGGGGAGGGTCGGAGACGCGAGCTGAGGGTCGGCATGGTTCGGCATGGTTCGGCATGGCGACGGCGAGTGTGAGTGGATGCGTTTGATGCGTGTGTGATGTGTGTAGGAGGCGTGCTGGCGGCGCGACATGTGGGGGTGTTGGTACGTCCGCGTGGCCTTGTGGTCTAGTGGTATGATTCTCGCTTAGGGTGCGAGAGGTCCCGGATTCGATCTCCGGCAAGGCCCTGCTCTTTGTTTGGCCTTTTTTGACGTCTCCTGTCCGCGCTCGTTTCGGCTGCCACACGCTTGCTGGCGGGTCCGATGACAGCCCTGCTGCGTCCTGGCGCGGCTGGCAGGCCAGCACATCGGTCGACACGCTCGGAATGACCGGCACCGTGTCGAAAATAAAGAGCCTCGTTGCGTGGGCGGGGAGGGTCGGAGACGCGAGCTGAGGGTCGGCATGGTTCGGCATGGCGACGGCGAGTGTGAGTGGATGCGTTTGATGCGTGTGTGATGTGTGTAGGAGGCGTGCTGGCGGCGCGACATGTGGGGGTGTTGGTACGTCCGCGTGGCCTTGTGGTCTAGTGGTATGATTCTCGCTTAGGGTGCGAGAGGTCCCGGATTCGATCTCCGGCAAGGCCCTGCTCTTTGTTTGGCCTTTTTTTTACGTCTCCTGTCCGCGCTCGTTTCGGCTGCCACACGCTTGCTGGCGGGTCCGATGACAACCCTGCTGCGTCCTGGCGCGGCTGGCAGGCCAGCACATCGGTCGACACGCTCGGAATGACCGGCACCGTGTCGAAAATAAAGAGCCTCGTTGCGTGGGCGGGGAGGGTCGGAGACGCGAGCTGAGGGTCGGCATGGTTCGGCATGGCGACGGCGAGTGTGAGTGGATGCGTTTGATGCGTGTGTGATGTGTGTAGGAGGCGTGCTGGCGGCGCGACATGTGGGGGTGTTGGTACGTCCGCGTGGCCTTGTGGTCTAGTGGTATGATTCTCGCTTAGGGTGCGAGAGGTCCCGGATTCGATCTCCGGCAAGGCCCTGCTCTTTGTTTGGCCTTTTTTGACGTCTCCTGTCCGCGCTCGTTTCGGCTGCCACACGCTTGCTGGCGGGTCCGATGACAGCCCTGCTGCGTCCTGGCGCGGCTGGCAGGCCAGCACATCGGTCGACACGCTCGGAATGACCGGCACCGTGTCGAAAATAAAGAGCCTCGTTGCGTGGGCGGGGAGGGTCGGAGACGCGAGCTGAGGGTCGGCATGGTTCGGCATGGTTCGGCATGGCGACGGCGAGTGTGAGTGGATGCGTTTGATGCGTGTGTGATGTGTGTAGGAGGCGTGCTGGCGGCGCGACATGTGGGGGTGTTGGTACGTCCGCGTGGCCTTGTGGTCTAGTGGTATGATTCTCGCTTAGGGTGCGAGAGGTCCCGGATTCGATCTCCGGCAAGGCCCTGCTCTTTGTTTGGCCTTTTTTGACGTCTCCTGTCCGCGCTCGTTTCGGCTGCCACACGCTTGCTGGCGGGTCCGATGACAGCCCTGCTGCGTCCTGGCGCGGCTGGCAGGCCAGCACATCGGTCGACACGCTCGGAATGACCGGCACCGTGTCGAAAATAAAGAGCCTCGTTGCGTGGGCGGGGAGGGTCGGAGACGCGAGCTGAGGGTCGGCATGGTTCGGCATGGTTCGGCATGGCGACGGCGAGTGTGAGTGGATGCGTTTGATGCGTGTGTGATGTGTGTAGGAGGCGTGCTGGCGGCGCGACATGTGGGGATGTTGGTACGTCCGCGTGGCCTTGTGGTCTAGTGGTATGATTCTCGCTTAGGGTGCGAGAGGTCCCGGATTCGATCTCCGGCAAGGCCCTGCTCTTTGTTTGGCCTTTTTTGACGTCTCCTGTCCGCGCTCGTTTCGGCTGCCACACGCTTGCTGGCGGGTCCGATGACAGCCTGCTGCGTCCTGGCGCGGCTGGCAGGCCAGCACATCGGTCGACACGCTCGGAATGACCGGCACCGTGTCGAAAATAAAGAGCCTCGTTGCGTGGGCGGGGAGGGTCGGAGACGCGAGCTGAGGGTCGGCATGGTTCGGCATGGTTCGGCATGGCGACGGCGAGTGTGAGTGGATGCGTTTGAT